TATGCTGAACCCAGTGAGATGACTTTAGAGTCTGAAATAGCACCAGTTGAAGCTTGCTTTAGTTACAGTGACTATAAGCATTTTGAAAAACCTGGTATTATGGAAATTGATCCTATTTTCGAAGAAGAAGAAGATGCTAAGATGGAAACAGAAATGAAAGAACGAAGATATAGAGGTTCGTACCGGTATTATAATCAAGCTGTCAAACAAAGATTTTGGCACTTGGTCATGGAAGAAGGTGTATCAGCTTACAAGGCTGCAAAATTAGAAGATATACCTTTGCAAACTGCTTACACATGGAAAAGAAAGTGGAACAAAATACTTGTGAATGAATTAAATGGTATCTCGAAGCCAATAAAGAAAAGAGGTCGTAAACCCCTTCTCACTGATGAACATAAAGAATTCCTTCAAAAATTGATAAAGGAGGATGCTACAGTGACTCTCGATTTTATGTTGGAGAGACTCAAGAAAGCCTTCACCAATGTAAGAGCCAAGGCTACAACAATCTATAACTTTGTAACCAAGGTCTGTAAGCTAAGTCTCAAACGTATTTCTAAATGGGCTTTGAGAAGAAGTCTGGAGGAATTGAAGAAACAGAGACTCGAGTGGGCAGAGAAGTATAAAGACAAGCTCGACTTTAGTCAAAACTGTATTTTCATCGACGAAGCAGGTTTCAATATCAGTATGCGGCGTGAGTATGGATGGTCTGCTGTGGGTGAAAAAGCAGTTCTTACTGTTCCCGTAACCAGAGGGCTTAATATTTCGTTCATTGGGGCAATTTCTGTCAAAGGTTGTATTGAATTAAAGGTCAGAACTCCAGTGGCTACATCCAATAAGAAGAGAAAACTTGATTCAGAAACGACCATTGACAAAGTGAGTAAAGGTACTACAGCTAATCACTTCTACAGTTTTGTAAAGTCAGTGATCCAGCAAATAGAAAATAACGAGGAGCTCAAAGGTATGAAATATTTGATCCTTGATAATGCTGCCATTCATAAACGACGTGATCTTCAGTTACTAGTGGCACTGAGTGGCTTGGAACTTGTGTTTTTACCTCCTTATTCTCCAGGGTTGAATGCTATAGAAGAATTCTGGTCAGTGTGTAAGAGTAAAGTCAAAAGATCAAACTTGAGCAAGAAGGAGCAATTAACTCCAAGGGTGAAAGAAGCCACAGAAATATTTCCCTTGATAGTTACAAGGGATTCTGCAGACATGCTTCTAGACATATTGATCTCTGTTTACAACAGCAGCTCTTTTGAAAACAAATACCAAAGATGAAGAAAAAAAATTAGAAAACAAACCAAAAAAAAAAAAGTAAAAACTATAAAAAAAATTACATAAAGACACAAAAAGGCTCAAAAACAAATTGATGAAAATTTAAAATTTTAAGGAAGGACGAAACCACTCCAAAATTTGGTTATGAGCCTTTGAAATGGTAAATGAGTATTGCAAAGGGGCTTTATTGGGTGTGCGGGTCCCCTATAACATGTTTAATAATATCAAAGATAAAATATTAATGAAAGCATAAGAATTTTATGCATTTAGTATGAATTTTATATTCTGTTGGTATGAATAATTGAAGTGCAATAGTATGAACTATTTTTCTTAGATGGTCTGAATAAATCCCACTGTGGTGGTACGAAAAATACCGGGGGTCGGTATGAATTATTTTTTGCCACTGGTATGAACATTTCCGGTGGTTGGTACGAATAAAAAATGAAAACACTGTACGAGAAAAAAATTGAAAAACTTAACGAAAGGCCCGCACATCCAAACATCGCATCAGCCAGTCTGTCTGTCTGTCTGTCTGTCAGTGTAGATTATGAGGAATGCACCACCCCAGTGGATGGAAAGAATACATATTATTAATTTTTAAAGCAATAAAAATACGAGTTAAAGGCCCAATCATTATTATATTATAATTATGACATTAAGAAAGATTGTTGAATATCGAATGATACCTGTAAGAGAAGAGAGAAGAAACTGTATTCTAGATATATTATAGACTCGGTCTTGTCCCGTCCAGTCCCCTATAATTCAATACAATTTACTGAATTCAGTGGCACCATCCTCACAAGGAGGAACTTGCAACCAATTGAGGGGATCATACTCGGCCTCTCCTTCAATGACATGAAAAACGTAGGCAAATCTCGAATTTTGCGAAGTGTTTGGATTCGATTTATGCAATACAGAATGATGTATCAAAACCAACGAACCAGCTTTGCACTCAACGTACTTGTAATCATCGGGATTGTCTTTTGGTACATTTTCAAGCTCCTCTTTGGATACTAGATCAATGAACCCACAACCTTTCTTCCCCTTGTCAACCTTGACAAATCTTTTAGCGACTGGGAATCTTTTGTGAGAGCCAGGATTATAACTAAGACAGCCGTTGGCGATGGTACAATCTTCAAGTGCGAACCAAAACCCACAAAGTTCAAGGGGTTTTGTGTAGAGAAATTGTGAATCAGTATGCGATGGGACTTCGCCACCGATTTCTTCGAGTTTACAAATCACCATGCTTTGGAGGATTCTTGGGTCTTTGAATTGTAAACTTTTAGAAACCCCTTTGACTTTGTCACTAAATGACACTTTTTCAAAATCGGGATCGAGACAATGAAGCGCATGGCCAATTTTGTTGATGGATTTTTCCTTCGGTTTGGTGAGTTTCCCATCTTCAAAAGCGTCATTTTCAAAGAAAAAGGAGATCTTATCGGAAGAATCAAGGAAATAATCATTACCGACATGGTTATCGGTATCGGTGGAGAACTTTGTGAGCGGGTGGTTGGTCATGTCGAATTCGTGGATCAATTGCTTACTTTTATCGAGCAAGGTCTTGACTTCTTCGGGGGTAATGAAATCGGGCAAGCAAAGACATCCATCTTGGTCAAATTGATCCAATTGAGCTTGGGTGAGGCCATTTGCATACGACACCATTTTTCTTTTCGATATTTCTGATAATGATAATAATGGCCGGGTCTTGACAATCTGATAAGAAGAGGCGTGAGTTTTTCGGGGTTCTTTGTTTTGTTGCTTGTTGTTTTTGATTGGCGTGCAAATCAGGTTTTGAGCCAATGACGCTATCAAAAAAGGTCTTCAACGACACTGTACGGATGGGTTATTTTAATATAAGAAGAGAAAAAAAAAGAAAAGAAAAGAGAAGAAAAGTAGTATATGGGAGGGTTTAGTTGCTTACCGGAAGCTTACCTGAGAAGGGTAGTGAGAAACCAATGAGGTCCTATGATTCGATGTCGTCTGTGGTATCCGGGGTTGATTTGGAATGATATGCATGATAAGACTTCTATTTTTTTTTTTTTTTTTTTGTGTGCCTCCAAATCATGGAGAAAAAGATTGTCAGTAGTGGGTAGGTAGGGACAACAGGACAAAAAACAACAACAAAACAACCTTGATGGTGATTTTTAGAGGATCATTCGAGGATCTTGAAGGATGATAATCACTGGAGTTACAACGAGGAAATGAAAAAACTTATAATATATCACCAACTTGGAATGATTGGGGAGTGCTTATCTGAAACTTTTTTTTTCTGCTGTCTGAGGAATGGAGTCGTGTGAGTAAAAGTGATGGTGTGTGTGTGTGTGTGTGTGTCCACCATAAGGTGTATAGTATAGTATTACCTGCAATACAATACACCTCATGGTTGTAAATCATATAGCTTGATCACACACACACACGTACTACTGGTGGTTTGGTTGAAGTAAGAAAGTGCGCGGATGCCCGAAGCTTATGGGAGCGATCACATCATAATAGAGTGAGTGGCCTGCCAACCAATATCCAGGGATGTTATATATGAACAGCATAATAATAATAATAATAATAATTATGATAATAATAATAATGATAATAATAATAACCGCGCTACGCAGCAATAAAATCCGAGCGCCCACCGACCCGCCCCGGTCTCGGTGTCTGGGTGCGCTACTCACACCCGTTTTTCTTACGGTCACCCGCCCACCGCAGGGCGCGTCGCAGTTTATCCCGCCGTTGATTGGCCAGCCGCCTGCTATCCGCACCCAGAGCCCCCTCGGCCACCTCGATGGTGCAGCACTGTATAAAAAAAAGCGATCTGGCAAATTTTTTTTCTGTTCTTCCCTCCTTTCTTTTCAATCTCCTCATCTTCTCTAAGAGTAATATCCTATATCCACGATGGCCGACGATTTCTTAGTTAACTTCCTTATGGGTGGTGTTTCCGCCGCTGTTGCCAAAACCGCTGCTGCCCCAATCGAAAGAGTCAAGCTTTTGATTCAAAACCAAGACGAAATGCTTAAGCAAGGTCGTTTGTCCCACAAGTACGCTGGTATCGTTGACTGTTTCAAGAGAACCGCCGCTGGTGAAGGTATTGCTTCTTTCTGGAGAGGTAACACCGCTAACGTTATCAGATACTTCCCAACCCAAGCTTTGAACTTTGCCTTCAAGGACAAGATCAAGGCTCTCTTCAACTTCAAGAGATCTGAAGGTTACTGGACCTGGTTCGCCGGTAACTTGGCTTCTGGTGGTGCCGCTGGTGGTTTGTCTTTGTTCTTCGTCTACTCTTTGGATTTCGCCAGAACTAGATTGGCTAACGATGCTAAGTCCGTCAAGAGCGGTGGTGGTGACCGTCAATTCAACGGTTTGGTTGATGTTTACAGAAAGACTATTGCTTCCGATGGTATCGCCGGTTTGTACAGAGGTTTCGGTCCATCTGTTGTCGGTATTGTTGTCTACAGAGGTTTGTACTTTGGTTTGTACGATTCTCTTAAGCCTGTTGTTCTTACTGGTCAATTGGAAGGTAACTTCTTGGCTTCTTTCTTGTTGGGTTGGATTGTTACCACTGGTGCTTCCACCGCTTCTTACCCATTGGATACCGTCAGAAGAAGAATGATGATGACCTCTGGTACTGGTGTCAAGTACAACGGTTCCATGGATGCTTTCTCCCAAATTGTTGCCAAGGAAGGTGTCAAGTCCTTGTTCAAGGGTTGTGGTGCTAACATCTTGAGAGGTGTTGCCGGTGCCGGTGTTATCTCCATGTACGATCAATTGCAAATGATCTTGTTCGGTAAGAAATTCAAATAAGCAACTCGTTGTTGACTGAGAACCGGTTCTTTGATCCAGCTGTTTAATTTGTTTTGTATTATTGAATATTTTGAAAAATTATTATGTATAATTCAATGTAAATATTCCAATATCATTTTATTCTTGTTGTAAGTCTTACAATCATCGCATTAGCATTGATGGCTAGATTTTTATGATTTTGATTATTACCTCATTTTCAGTCAATTAATAATTTGTCAGTTAATCAATAATAATCTCGGCAATGAAATTTTTTCGTTTTATTTTTTTTTTTTTTTTTCTAATAATAACCTTGAATGCTGTATTTTTTTTTTTTATTATTATAAACACGGTATGCTGAGTTTGGAATTATTACTTTATTTATCATTCTACGTAATTGGTATCCCTCTCAGTGTTCATTTTAGCAATACCGCAAACTGGTAGGTCCTCAAACTTCAACTATCAAATATGATTAGGTCTCCGAGTTTTCTGTACACATGTTCTATGCACGCACGTCCTTTAATTTTGGCTTTGGACAAAAAAAAATTGATGCAAGATGAATCAATGGAAAGAACAACATCGGCATAATCAATAGATAGAACTAGGCCACGCATAGTAGCCATCGAGGAAATTCCTCACACTCCCCACTCTATTTTGATAGAATTCTCCAAGATTTGAAATACCTACTTCAATTAATCACAAAATCACGAATTATGAATTCAAAATATAATACAAATGATATCAAAAACCAAGTTAGGTAGTAGTACCCCTCCCCCTTAAATATCAATCATCCACCACAAATTGGTCCATTTTCCCCCATTCTAACCCCAATTTCCCTTTCTTTTTACGATCTATCTCAAATCTCTTTTGCGAGATAATAAGCGACCGTAATTTCTTGTATCCATCACCATAATTACTTTTATCTATTAGCTCGTGAACTTTAATCAAACGTTGGCTTTTTGTACTGTGTCTAATTCTTGAAAATGTTTTACCTTCTCCATTTCTAACAGAAACCAATGGATCTCCAAGTTCATTCATCACCATCCCATTTGCCACATCCGCAAACCGATGATATAAATCCAGCTCTTGTTTCTGGGTAATGTACCCTGATCGCGCATGGAACTTCATCAGGTAAATAGTATCCCCAATCTCCTTCAAGTCCTGTTCCTTGTTCTTTGGTTTCTTATTTTTCAATTCATGTTGTTGTTTTCTGATCATCGCTTGTTCCAAACATTGCAATCTTTCAAGATTCTCTTTCCTAATCCGTTCCTGTTGCTCTTTTCTCAAAACCGCGCTCATTTCTTCATCCGTAATCATCTTCGACGTTTGCTCTCCCTGGGTCGGTCTTCTTCTCACTCCTAAAGTACGACGACGCTTGAGGGTATTATTGATGATCTTGTTATTTTTATACTGTAACGCTCCAAATGTGTTCTTTATCATACTCGTAATATCCTTACCAATATCTTTTTTCACAACTTTTTCAATTCGAAGATCACCATCAAAACTGCTCTTGAAGTCAGGATTGGATTTCAATGAGCTGTGTGCAAATGAATGGTTATCAGTATCAGGCTCACATTCAGAAGAAAAGTCTTCAGAAGAGAGTTCATCTGATTTGTTGTTGGGGGATATTTTCCCCAGTATTGAGTTGACAGCAGATGATGGTCTATTAAAATTTTGTACATCCGCTCGCTTACCATCAACAGAATGTCCCCTAGAGGAATCATTATGGGTATTTAGTGGCTTATCCTGAGCTACCAGGATATCTAGTGGCTTGTCCAGAATTACCAGGATATCTTCTTTATCAAAAGTAAATTGTCCATTATCATCATCATCATTATCATCATCATCAAAAAAAAAATCATCCGAATCATTGGTGATATCAACAGTCTCAACACCATTATTGTCGTTGGGTTTCGCTCTCTTTGGAGCTGTTGGCTCAATTGCCGTTGTTTTGCGTTTCCCAATTGCTAAATGTGGCAGCAACTCTCTTCTTTGGGAAGATTCAATAGACTTCCCAATTAAATCAGTTTCTTCATCCGAAGACTCTAATAATCGCATGATGTCATTTTCCCCAAGACTTTCCATTCCCAGGACATTAACCAGAGTATTATTATTACTATTATTATTTTCACCATCTGACACGAGCACCGAATTTTCTTCGGATAGTGGAATAGAAGAACCTACTCTTCTGACCAACAAAGAAGCATTTTTGAATCCGGTTTCAACACCATCTGGCATGAAGAATTTTTTTTTCGGAGCCTTCTTGTGCCTCAACATTAGATGTTCGATGTTTTGATCCATTGATTTCCCCTTATTTTTTTTAGGTTTTGAAGCTTTGCCATTCATATGTTGTGTTGCCCGTTTAATGATTTCGTCATCTTCTTCCTCGTTGGCAAATTCATCATCGACCTCAATGATTTTCTTTTCACAAATTGGCTTGTATTTGGTCGGGATGATTCGATCAGATTCACAATAATCGATATGTGATCCACTAGTGATTTGCTCTTGAACAACTTCATAACTATTCATCGATTTTTCAAACTTGGAATTCTCTTGCTTGGTCAACAACAATAACACTTTCCCATCTTGTTTTCTACCAGTTCTACCCATTCTTTGAATGTTTTTAATTGGTGACGATGTCGCATCATAACACACAATCAAGTCGACTTCCCCAATATCTAGACCTTCTTCCCCAATAGAAGTGGCCACGAGGATATTGTATTTACCTTGTTTGAACTCTTTTATTAATTGTTTTTGCTGTTTTTGAGACATCCCATTAATCTGGGCACTTTCGGACAGACCAGTTCTTCGCGATTCACGCTCAGCTTTCTCCTTGGTTTTCGCAGACTCTTTGGCCTTTTGCTTTTCAGTCTTTTCTTTCTCCACTTTATCCTGATCAGCCTTTTTTTTCCTACCTCTACCTTTTGGTTTATTCTTTTCCCTAAATCCAACATCGTCGAATTTTTCCTTTTCTTTAGCCTGTCCAATAAAAATATGAGGCTTCAAGAGTTCGGGATCACCGACGGAATCAACAGCTTTCACAATTTCAAGGGCAGACTCTCTCATTTCCGTAAAGATGATAACCCGGGAATTATCATTGTTGAATTTCTTGGAGTCTTTAAAGAACTCGGTGAGCTCCTCAACCAAAATTTCCAATTTTGGATGCCCAACAAATCCTGGATCAGTGGCTTTATCTTTATAATCCCTAAGAATTTTTTTAATAGAATCATGATAATAAAACGACGCGGCAGTTTTATTAGTCGATTTCCCTAAATCATATTTAGCCATGAATTCTTTCGATTTGTTTTCCAAATAACTGTAAAAAGTCTTGATGCCATATACTTTTAATCTTCTCAACATTTGACCCACGGCATTCAATAGCTGCAAAATAAAATATAGATACCATTTCAAACCTTCGTTGTATCGCGGGTTATTGATAACTCTTTGAGATGCTTCCATGGCTTTAAAGGCGTTGATTTCAGAAGGATTTGTCTCTTCGTACACTTTTTGTTTGTTGGCAATATCTAGAGTCGGTTTAATTGCTTCGGCTAACAAATCTATCACATCTAATATCTCTTCATTCATGTCGACAATTCGCTTATCCATATCTTTGTTTTTCATATATCTTTCAATGTCTGGTGATTTTTCTGTTCTGATTTCAATCTTGGAAGCCAATAAATTCGTGGTGACTTCTTGCACCCCAACAATATCCGATCCTGGAGTAGCAGTTAGCGCTAATATTCTGAACGAGAGACTGAATCTGGAAATGAATTTGATGATATTATTGTAAGCATAATTCCCTCTGGTTCGGTGCGCTTCATCAATGACAATTAAAGATATGCTCTTGGGATCACAAAACCCTGCCTTTAGATCATTATCAATGACCTGTGGGGTAGAAAAGAATACTCTTTTGGAATTCCAAATTTCTGGACGGTTCTTTTTTGATTTATCAAGGAGAATGGCAACGTCGTCTGACTTGATCCCCGTCATCCCCACTGCTGCTTTGATCTGTTGCGCCACCAATGGTCTTGTTGGGGCCACAAAAATAATCTTGGATTTAGGAAACCATCGATAGTAATTTAGCATGACACAAGAGGAAATAAACGTCTTCCCTGTACCGGTGGGGATTGCACAAATCAAGTTTTGGTAGAAACACTCTTTAACAATTTGGAATTGGTATTCTCTAATTGGGAAGTTGACTGGATAAGTATAAGTGGCCAATGCTTCATAATCTATTTCATGATGAGTAAGGGGTCCAATTTTTATGGTTTGTTGGGGGATTTCTTCGTATTGCTGGAGTTGGAGTGGGTTCTGATGCTGATCTTGTCCATTCACCTGGTTTTCAAGAAATACAATCTCATCATCGCTGCCAAATGAATCTGATAGGAAATCATCGGAGTCAGAGTCATTTGACATTTTTGGATCAGTAAGCCTTACTTCCAGCAAAATACCAATTGCAATATTATGACTTTTTGATACCCCTTTCGACGCCAACAATAAATGGAAGCTCATCTCATCTCTCGGTCTTTACCTGCTATTATCATTATTATTATTTTTTTTGGGATGGAAAAACACGTGACAATGGTAAGCATTACCCTGTTCGTATTCACACAGTAGGAGTACAAGAATTCCCCCGAAACCCTTTTTGTTTTTTGTTTTTTGTTCTTTTTGACACTTTCGATTCTTTATCAACTATTACAGCCGTTGATGAAGGGTTAGTTATCCGTTGATAACTCCGACAGTGCTCTGATCCGCCTTGGACTTCCATCATTTATGGTTGTGTTGAGATAGGTCTTTATGGCTTTGTTGGGGAGCTGTGGATAAGTTGTGGCCTCACCACCTTGAAGCAATTCTTAGAACCAACTGAGGCTGTCCTTGTTGATCATAGATATATATATATATATATATGCATATATATGCATATGTATTAGTTATGATACGTATATTAATGCTTATACAAATACGTTAGACTTGTTTGTAGTTGTCAAGATCAATCAGTCAAACAATCAATCAACTGATCACTTATTTTTATGTGCGCCAACATGATAACAACCGTTTCATCGTGTGTCACATTCTCAACTCCCCGATTACCCTATCAGACAGCTGGAACGGTGTCTCCGGACCGGGCGGGCCCACCGCACCTCATCGCATGTGTCTCTTTTTGCTTTGATCTCATCTCCTATTTTCTTCTCCCTCTTTTTGTGTTTCCTCGATATTTATTACCTTAAAAAACTAAACTGTGATAGCTATCGTTACAATTGATTTAATTATTATCACTAATAGAAATATAAGTGTGTAATAAAAATCTTTTCTACATATTTTTGCGGCCCTTTTTTTTATTTATTTGCTTTATTTTGTTGTTTACACCGGGTTCGAAAGCCATTTGTGTGTCTCTGTGTGTGTCTGTCGCCCCCCATCACCAACCATGTCCGCCAATTCTGATTCAAACGAGAATTATAAAGAGCGGCTCATCCAAGTTCATGATTCCGAGCCTATTACCATTGGTAGAGCTTCCAGATGCGCTTATAATCCCAACAAACCTTCATCTGTGAACAGGGAAGCTGCGATGAGCAATGCCTATTTTAATGAGAGAACCTTGTCTGCTGATCATGCTAAGCTTATGAGATTGGAGTCCTCTAAAAAGTTTGTCTTGTGGGATTCTGGGTCCCAACATGGTGTTGTCTTCAAGGGCAAGCTTTTGCCAAAGGGTGTCAAAGTCCTTATCAATTCTGGTGACGTTGTTGGTTTAGTTTTTGACAGCAAGAAGAAAGAGTTCAAGTCAAAAGTTTATCAGTGTTTCGATAAAGCAAAGGTCAAAAAAGGGATGCTCGGTGATTCAAACGGTATTGATGAGCCAAACCCTGAATGGAATGACGCAAGCTTGGATTATGCCAAGGTCTTGTTGAAGTTTGAACTCAAGCCATCATTTTTTGACGGCTCAAGTTTTGTAAAATTCACAAGAATTGATTCCGCTGAGAACAAAAAGTCTCAAAATAGCATTGACTATCTTTTAAATGATCCAGAAGACAATTCTAATGACAAACCAGAAAAACTCAATGACGGTGTGTACGAAGTTGAATCAAAGAGTGTGTATGGTAGTGCTGAAGAAGTTGAAACATCAGAAGATGAACCAGACGTGAAAAATGAACAATCAGAAAAAGATAATGAAGATGATAAAGTCAAGGAAGACTCTTTTGGAAATGCAGAGGAAGAAGAGGAAGAGGATGAATCCTATGTTCAAGAAGAAGGGGATTATGAGGAAGATGAGGAAGAATATTATGAGAAGGAAGAGAGAGATGAAGAGGATGAAGAAGAAGAAGAAGAAGAAGAAGAAGAAGAAGAAGAAGAAGAAGAAGAAGAAGAAGAAGAAGAAGAAGAAGAAGAAGAAGAAGAAGAAGAAGAAGAAGAAGAAGAATATGATGAAGATGAAACCAGTAAACCCGTTGTAATGACAGAAGATCAGGAACAAGGAGAAAAAGCGTCTGTTGATGATGACGATGACGATGAAGAGGATGAGCCCTATGTTGAAGAAGAGGAAGAGGAAAAGGAAGAGGAAGAGGAAGAAGAAGAAGAAGAAGAAGAAGAAGAAGAAGAGGAGGAGGAAGAAGAAGAAGAAGAGGAAGATGACCAAGAGGAAACATCTATCAAGGATGATTTTGAATTTTGTTTGGAAAACAATTTTGAAGACGATGAAAATGAATCTCCAGAGGAAACTGATGCTCGCACAAATGGCTGTGATGTGATTACCACCAATAAATGCGTGCCTATCGTTGATAAATATTGCTCTCCTTATGATTCTGCCGCAGTCTGCGATCTACAAACAGGGAATCAGCTTTCTAACGAAACCGAGGAGTTTGATATTTTCAAGGTAAATGATGGCTCATATGAAAATGCTTGCAACTTGATCGATGAAACAGAAGGGTTCCATGCCTTTGATGATGATGGTTCTCTATTTTCTTCCAAAGATGAGATGCTTAATTCTGATTCCGAATCAAGTGAATTTGGAAAACCGGTTATAGAATCTCCTCCATCTTCTTTATCTGGCGAGGTAGATAATCAAGATAAAGTGTTTATTACACTTAATTTGAAAAAAAGAAATTGTTCAGCCTTAGATGATGAAGAAAAAGAAGAAGCAGAAGACAACCATAATGAAAACAGTAATGCTGGCAATTCACTCAAGGAAGATAAGTCAGAAAGGGTAGTTAAGAAGCCTAGAATTGATAGTGGAAAGAAGGACCATACTTTGGCAAAGGGGATTGGAATTGGTATGATCTTAGGTTCCATAGTCACTTTCTCTACTTTAGCTACTATGGCAGAATATCTATATGAGTTTGAATAGATATGTTTTTGAAATATGAGCTAGATATCTACCAGAATCTATTCTTTGCTAACTTAACTTTTTTATTGTGGTTTTTGTCTATTTACTTTTTATTATTTCCTTTTTTTTTTTTTTTTTTTCCACTCTTCACCTTTTTCATATTTTTATTTGAGTTATATATTTTCTTTTTTCTTTCTTGGATGGGTATTGTTGATTTACTGATTTAAATGGTATGGTACGGTATAATTTGGGATGTGATGGGTTTGCTTTTGTATTTGTTTGTCTCTTTTATTGCTTTATGGCATATGCTCTTCAGGTAACCGCTTTTCAGATACTTCTACTTCTATTTTTTTTTTAACTCTTACATATGTATTTATTTATATTTGACTCACTTTCTATAAATTTGTTTCTTGTAAAAGTAAAAAATGGTGAAGGCACTGCTATAACCTATAGGTTCTGTTATTCGCTAAAGCCGCTAATGTTTGCTGCAACGTTTTTTTTTTTTTTTTTTTTTTTTTTTTTTTTTTTTTTTTTTTTTTTGTTTATTTTTTCTGTCGAACGATCTCTCATTTTTTTCTCAACCAAAAAGTCAGGATACTTTCCCAACACTACTGATCAGAGAAGGAATTGCCTAACCACAAGAAGACCGAGAGATAAGATCTGCAATCACCAGAAAATATTCTGCTATTGCTATTCTAGTTGATACCACCTTTTTTTTTGTTTAATTCTTGATACCTCATTTTAATCACCCTTTTTTTTTTCCCCATTTTTTAATTTTTTTTGTTTGTTTTGGTTTCGTTGTGTTGGTTTCTTTTCACCTTCAATTGAAAACCTTATAACTCAGATCCCAATACCAAGCGTTTTCCTTGCGTGTTTATATATGAACAAAACCATAACCTGCTTTGTGGTGCTTATATTTTGCCGATATTGATCAATTTTCTACCACCTTTTTGATTATTTCATTTTATTTGCATAATTAATTAACCTTGTGTCATGCCACTTCCAGAGATGTCAAGTTTCCCTAAGCTCAGGAAGCTTCAGGACGAAACCGATGAAAATGGTTCAACAATACCCCCTGTCAAACGTTTCAACAAACAGAGAAAACCAACCCCCAATGACTTGTTGTCACAATTACCAGCGTTGTCTAAGCGTGTTAGTAAAGAACGGTTAAGAGAGGGTCCAGATTCCAATAATTCCGCGATCGCGCCACCAATAAACCCTGGTCATCAGAGTAATGAACGAGATTTGAACTTCACAGTCAAGCTCTCACAGAACTTGATTGTGCAAACTAGAAAGTTGCAAGCCGAAAGTAAAATGAAGGACCAAAAGATTTTGGAACTTACAAAGCAAAATAAAGCGTTGAATACCAACGTTACAAATTTACAATCAAAAGTGTCGGATTTAAGTAATAGTGAACAAATGTTAGACGATACCAATTGGCAGTTGAATTTGAATTATCAAGAGAATTTGTCTGATTTGAAAAAATACAAGGAACTCTACATGAAAATGAACAAAGATTTGACCATTTTGAACAATACCAATAATGACTTAGCTCAACAGAACGACGAATTGAATTTGAAATTGAAGAGTTTGAATGATAATTATGCCGGGGTCAAAACTTCAGGCGACTCCAAAATCCAGGAATTGGAAGCGCATATCGATGAATTGAATACAGAAAATAATGAATTGACCGGTAAAATCTCCAATTTACAAGAGGAGATCTCAGGCGGTAACTCTGACGGTAACAAATTTCCTAAACTTGTTAACCACATTCCGGATTTGAAATTCATGAGTAGACAACATGACTCGTCGAATGGTGCCAACGAATCTATGGACAACATATTTTCCGACGAGTTCAAGGAACCAAAGGGCTCGCCGATCAAACAGAATGCCGGAAGAAATATCCAATTGGAATCTCAAACGGTAAAAGCTAATTTAGATCATGCGCATCAAGTAATTTCTAGATTAAGAGGTCAGCTTTTGAAATATAGACGCGAGAATCTTGGTTCTAACTCGAATTTCTCGCCTGCCGCTAATACCAGTGTTGATAATGCCGATGCTTCACAAATTTCTACTTCCTACAATAAGAAAATGACCTCTTTTGCCAGTTCCAAAGCAGGTTTCAAGCAGAAAGCTAAAGATATTAAATTGCAATCTGGATCAAAGAAGACACCTAAGTACAAAATAATCGATGATGAAACAGATAAGCTATTGATGGGTACTGAAAACTGGTTGGATTATGACCCAAGTGAACATGAAATTAGCAGTAGCGAAGAGGAAGACTTTGACAATTTCGGCATTGATGAAAGTAATTCATTCAATAGTAATCAACTTCCAAGCTTTTCTGAGCCTACCGCTCAATCATCATTCATTGATTCAAGTATGGACAAGAGCATTAGTGGAGATAGTATGAATCAAAAGAAAATTGTTGATGATTATGTGAAGAAGCATAACTTAATGCTAGTTCCTGTTGATGAATACCAATCGGGTATGGTCCCATCTGCTACCCTTACGAACCTTAATGAATTGCTGAATGACGTGAAAACTGCCGAGCCATTAAAGGACAAAAAGAGCAGAAAATCTTTGGGTGATGAATTATACGAAGTGCAAAATTTCAGCGAATCAGATATTGACATTGCTAACAGCAGCCTTATTGATGAAGATGACCTTGAGTTCATGGATGATTCAATGATGGAATCCTCAACTAAGGAAAGAGATGATTTTGTTGCTGTCAATAACAATAAAGAGATCAAGCAGGCAGAATTTGAGTCCTTGAAATCTGAGAATGAGAAGTTGAAGAACTTTTTGGAAGAAAACAAGGTTAATAGAGATAATATTCATAAATTCGCCGCTGAGTATGACTTGAAAGCTATTAGCATATCTGAACTTGACGAATTGAGCAACAGTAAAAAATCGTTGAATGTGGAGAAGGCTAAATTGGAAGACAAAATAAAAGAATTGAAAGAAGCAAACTCTAAATTGAATGAAGAATTGAAGTCTTTGAGTGAGTCTCACAAATCATTCATTAGTGGCATATCAGGGGAGCATTCTAGGGAATTGGATAATGTTCATTCCAAGCATGCTACTGAATTGAAGGATTTGGATAGTCAAAAATCATTGGTTGATGAGGAATTGAAGTCATTGATGGCCAAATTTGCTGCTGCAGAAAAAGGAAATAAGGAATTGGTTTCACAATTGGAAAATGTTAATTCTTCTAATACCAAATTTAAAGAACAGACTGAAAACTTGAGATCAGAATCTAATTTATTGAAGACTGAAAACCAAGACTTGAAGTTCAAGATTGATGAAATGACATTCCAATCTAATACTACCGCTAAGAATTACAATATATTGGAAGAGAAATATGAAGAATTGAAATCTCAGCAGAAGTCTTTGTCTAGTGCTTATGATGAATTGTCAACCAAACACAAAGACATTGTTTCAAAGAATGAATTGTTGGTGGCAGAAGTTTCCAACTTGAAGGAATGTCATTTGAAGGATTTGGAAGCTATAAAAGCAAAGGATTTGGCAATGCAAGAAATTCAATCTAAGCATAATGCTTTGATAAAAACTCATGATGAAGCACAATCATTACTTAAAACCAAGAATACGGAATTGGAAAACCACAAGAATATGATTAATGAAAAGGAAGCTGAATTCTCTGAGTTAAAGAAAACGCACGAAACTTTATCTACTAGTCATAGTTCGACTACCTCCAAATTGACAGCTGCTGCCGCCTCTTTGGTTGCATTGGAAGGTGCCCACGCTTTATTGAAGAAAGATCATGATAATTTAAAGAGCGTTCAGAGCTCAGCTAAGAAGCTGACAGAGTCACTTCAATCTAAGGTGGAGTCATTGACCAAAAAGAATGCCGAACTTGAATCAAGTATTACATCATTGAGAAGTAGCAACGAAATGGTTAAAGCTGATTACAAGTCTGTTTTGAACAAAAACAAATCATTGAGAGAGAAGATCTCCGCATATGAGCTTGAACTTGAAAGTTATGGTGACAAAGTTTCTGAAGTGGAATCTGAACTTGAATCGATCAAGAAAGAAAAAGACTCTGTTATTGCTGAACACAGTTCCACTAAGGGTGAATTGGAAAAGACAAAGTCTTCTATGGATGACTTGTCGAATATGTACAAGGGTTTGAAGGAAAGTAGCGAAGAACTCTCAGTTGCTTACAAGTCTTTGAATGATAGCCATAGTGAAGTCAATGGTAAATTCACCGATATTTCAACTAAATTTTTGGCTCTCACCGCTGCCCATGAAGCATTGGGTTCTAAAAACAGCACTTTAGAAAATGATTATTTCTCATTGGAATCTAAAAACAAGAACTTGGGTACACTTAATGAAGAAAAAGAGAGTAAGATAAAGGAATTATTGGAAAATATTGGTAACTTGAATTCAAGTATCGATAAATTGAAGAAATCACACGAGAAAGATTTGACTGCCTCTGCTGCCAAGGTTGATTCTCTTGAGACTTCTTACAAGGCGTTGACTGAAGAAAAGAGTTCAATTACCAATGATCATAATAAGTTAAAGGAATTGCATGCCAGTGTGGTGGAAGGTCTCAAGGGAGATATTTCCACATTGTCCAATAAGCATAATGAATTAATCTCTTCTCACAAGGAGCTTGAAAAATCGATCGTTACTAAGGAAAAAGATTTATTAACGTTGAAGGCAAGCCATTCAACAAGTATTGCTGAATTGCAAGACAAGGTAAAGGCTCACATTGATGAAATGGATAAATTGAGAACATCAAAATCAAGTGCTGAAGAAACTGCAAAAGCAAAGGATGCAGAAATTGCTGAATTACGCCAATCTATCACAAGTTATGAAAGTGATGTTGCTTCTAAAGATTTGGAAATGAAGAATTTGAAGGATTCTTATAAATCATTGAGTAATGACCATTCTTCAGTCACTGATAATCTTAAAAAGACAGCAGCTACTTTGATTGCATTAGAAGGCGCCCATGAACTATTGAAGAAGAATCTCGATCAATCGAAATCATCCGCCAAATCTTTGGATTCTGAATTGTCTAGCTTGAAATCAAGTCACGAAACTCAAACTGGTCAAATTGCTGCATTGAATAAGAATATCAAAGACTTGACTACTGAAAGGGATACTTCTATTGAGAAACTTGAAGCGGAACGCAAGATCAATGAATCTTTGAAAGATACTCTCGAGAAACAAAAGAAGGATTTGTCAAATGCCGCTGAGAAACACCAAGTTCTATTAACAGCACACGAGAAGAGCAAGTCAGAATTAGAAGATATGAAGGCTCAATTAGATGATTCTAATAAACAAAACTTGGCTGTGATTGCTGCAAAGGATAAACTTGCGGAGACTCATGTTGCCTTTGTTGATACCCACAATTCTTTGCTTGCCTCTCATGAATCTGTTAAAGGAGAATTAACCAAAAACAATTCTCTTCTTTCAAAATCAGATGCCAAGATCAAAGAATTATCCGATAAAAATGGTGAATTGTTGAGAAATCACGGCGATGCCGTTGGTAAATTGGAATCGTTGATGAAAACTCATAAGGATCTCGACGACAAGTACAGTGATCAAATGAAACAATTCGAAAGTTTGACAACCACCCATGAAGATTTGGTTTCTAATAACAAGTCTCTTCATGGTAAATATGTTGCATTGATTTCAAAGCAGGATGGTTTGACCTCTAAACACGATGAATTAACTTCCAAATATAATGAATTGACTTCTCAACACAAGGAATTGGCCTCTGAGCATGATATTATTACTTCCAAATATGGTCAATTGACTTCCCAACATAAAGAATTGACCTCCAAACACGACAAATTGGTTTCTGAACGTGATGGTTTGGCTAGTGAACATAAGCAATTGACCAGTGAACATGATAAATTGACTTCTGAAAATGATAAGTTGATTTCCGAGCACGGTAAATTAGTTTCCGAGCACGATAAGTTGGCTTCTAAGCATACTGGATTGACTTCTCAACATAAGGAATTCATCTCTAAACATGATGCTTTTACTGCTCAACATGATGACTTGGTTTCCAAACATGATAAGTTGATTTCTGAGCATGGCGAATTAAACTCTAAATATGACGGGTTGACCACTAACCATGATGAATTGAGCTCTAAGAACAGTAAATTGACCTCCGAACACGGTGATTTGATTTCTAAATATGGGGCATTGAGTTCTCAACATAAGGAATTGACTTCGAAACACGATGCTTTGACTTCTCAAAATGATGGCTTGATTTCTAAACACGATGAGCTGGCATTTGAACATCGTGAATTGACTTCTAAACTTGATGAATTGACTTCTAAGCATGGTGAATTATCTTCGAAGCATGATAAATTAGCCTCTAAACACGATGAATTAGTTTCCAAACATTCCGATTTGAATTCCAAACATGATGAGTTGAATTCTCAACGTACCATCTTACTCTCCAAGCATGATGAATTGGTATCCAAGCATAATGAGTTAACTTCTCAACATAAAGACTTGGTTTCTAAACATGGGAAGCTTACTGATGAACATGAGGGCTTAACTTCTAAATTTGATGATTTGAATGTGAAAAACTCGAAATATCTTGAAGAAATGGAGGAAGCAAGTAGAGAAAAGGCTGACTTGGAGAAAAATATCACCAAATTAAATGACAGAGTTTCTGAATTGGACGAAATGAATGCCCACTATGTCAAGGAGAAGGAGTTGAATGAAAAGAAGATGGAAGAATTAGAGAAATCGAAATCCGAGACTGGAAACACAGTGGAGTCCATCACCAAGAAGTTACTCGCTTTGGAAGTCACTCATAAGTTATTAGCCGCTGATAAAGATTCCTTGGATAAGAAACATGCTACTTTGAAGTCGGTTCATAATGAAGCTATTGAGTCCAAATCCCAAATTGATAAAGGTATGAAGTCATTACAAGGTAAATACGATTCATTAGTGACTTTGAATGGTGAATTAGGAAAGAAACTTAAGTCATCTGAGGCTGATGTTAAATCCAAGATTGACGAGCTCAAGTCTAAGGATAATGAAATCAAATCTAAGGACAGCGAAATCAAAACCATGGATGGTGAACTTAATGCCAAGAACGATGAAATCAAGTCTAAGGATAATGAGATCAAGGTGATGTCTGGTGACATTGAATCTAAAAATGCTGATATTAAGTCTAGGGATGATCAAATCAAGTCTAAGAATGATAAAATTGAAGCCAAGGATGCCGAGATCAAGTCCAAGGACATTGAACTTAAGAAAAAGAATGAAGAACTTGAATCCAAGAACAATGAAATTAAGTCTAAGAATGATGAAATCAAGGCCAAGAACGACGAAATTGAATCCAAGAATATCGAACTCAAATCTAAACATGGTGACATCAAGATGAAGGCTGATGAGATTGAATCTAGAAACATGGAAATCAAGTCTAAGGATAGTGAAATCAAGAATATGGCTGAGGAACTTAAATCTAAGAATGCTGAAATCAAATCCAAGGATACTGAGCTTGATGCCAAGAATGTTGAAATTAAATCAAAGATTGCTGAAATTGAATCAAAGGTTGTCGAAATTGAATCCAAGGAAGGTGAGATTAAGGCTAAGAATGAGGAAATCGAGTCCAAGATTGCTGAAATCAAGTCTAAGGATATTGAACTTAAGAATATGAATGATGAAATTAAGTCTAATATTGCTTTGATTAAGACCAGAGATGATGAACTTAAGACCAAAAATGATGAAATTGAAACCAAGAATGTGGAAATCAAATCCAGGGATGGTGAAATCAAATCCAAGAAGGAGGAGATTGAATCTAAGATTACCGAAATTGCTAGTTTGGGTGCTATTCATAGCAAAGCCCTTGCAGAGAAGGAAACAGAACTTGAAAGTTTGTTGAAAAAGACCAAAATTACTGAATCCGAACGTGATTCTCTTGCTAAGGAAATTGCCGCTCTTACTGCTGCCAAATCCTTATTGGAGAAGGAAATATCTTCTGCTAAATCCGATGTTACTGAGAAGCAGGGCTTGATTGACATTCACCAATCTGAAATAAAGAAACTATCACTGGAACTTGACTCGGTTAAATTCCAGCTTGAATCAAGAGATCACGAGATCAAGTCAAAGGGTGCTGAACTAGCCTCCTTAAAGGAATCATCAGAAACTTTGAGTAAACAGCACACGACTACTTCCAGTAAATTGGCGAATGTTGGTGGATTGTTAGCATCTTTGACTGCTGCTCACGAATTGTTGAAAAAGGACAACACAAAACTTCAAGAATCATACAATACTTCAAAGGGTTTGGTTGATAACAACAAGGATGAATTGAGTGGATTAAAGTCAAAATTAGCTGAAGCTGAAAAGAAATTGAATGATTTGACCTCTGAATTGAATGCCAAGAATGATGAACATTTGAAATTTGTTGAATTGCATGATGCCAATGAAGCTAAACTTAAGGATTTGAATATTGAATCACAAAAAATGAGCTCATTGCACAAGGAGAAAGATGAGTCATTAATGTTGTTGAAGCAGGAGCACGACCAATTGAAAACTAGTCATTCTAAGATTGAAGCAGAATTAGCAAAGAAGACCGATGATATCGAGAAGTTGACGGGAGACCATGCTTCTGAAGCCTCTAAGCTAATTGCGGAAGTTGAAGAAGGAAAGGCATTGGTGTTGAAGCTTACCAAAGAAATTGGTGCTAAGAATTCCGAATTGGCAGATTTGACTAGCTCCCACGCCGATACTACTAAGGTAAGAGATATGGAATTGAATGACTTGAAGAAATCTCACACTGAAAAGCATGAATTACTCCAAGATGAAATTGCCAAATTGAAGGAGTCCAGTGAATCCAAACAATCAACCATTGATGAAATCAGCAAAGAATTAGCGGCGTGTAAATCTACATTCAGTGAAAACTTGAGTGCTAAACAAAAGGAAATTGAGGAATTGAAAAAATCTTTCAAAGAAAAAGATGCCAAATTGGTGGCCGCTGCTGCTTCCATTACCGAGCTTCAAAAAGAAATTATTGATTCTAAGGTGAAGGAATCTGACATTCTTGATAGCAATAACGGCTTAAATAAACAAATTGAATCTATGAAGGCTACCAATGAACAATTACAAGTCCAGATTAATGATTTGACTAAGCAAAAGGAAAGATTGGACAAATCTGTGGTGGAACTTGAAGAAAGCAACAGAGCCCTCAAGGCCGATAAATCTTCTGTCGCTACCAAATCTGCGGAAATAGCTGCTGCATTGGCTGCTTTGAAGACTGCTCATAGTTCTTTGACCAATGATCATAAGATGCTATCCGATAAACACAAGAGCTTGAATGACCAACATACTAGAGTCAATGATAAGCGCTCCGAACTTGATTCTGTTTTGAACTCATTGAAGACCAAGTATGCTGCCGTTGAACAAGAATTGAGTGACGCTAAAAAATCCGGGGCTCAACTACAAGCCAAATATGACGATATTGTTAAAGCTAAGACCGCTTTGGTGACAGAAAAGAAAGAATTGGCAGGTGACAAGACTAAATTAGTGAAGGAGTTGGAAGAATTGAAGACAGTTAATGAAAACAATAGTCTGTTGACCAAGGAACTTGCTGAGTTGACTGCTGCCCATGAACAATTATCTTTTACCAATAAAGATTTGGTAAAACGTCAAGAAGAGTCGGAGAAAGAACATCAAGATGCCATTGAAAATACCAAGAGCCAAATGATGGAAGAAAAGGCGGAATTGATGAAGAAAAATGAAGAATTGGATAGTACTATTAAGGCTTTGACATTAGAGGTTTCTACAATTAAGACCACCAAGGACGAATTGACAAAGAATATGGATAACTTGAACAAGGAACTTGCTTCTATGAAATCAACGAATGAGGAGTTATCTTCCAAGTATAATGCCTTGGAAACTGAAAAACAAGACCTCGTTACTAAACAAGGTTCATTGGACAAAGAATTGGGTGATCACGAAAATACTAAATCTCAATTGAAGGATATTACCACCAAATTGCTTGCGTTAGAAGGCGTTCATAAGTTGCTTACTAGAGACCACGGGAACTTGAATGATGAATTGGTTTCTATTAAAGAATTGAAGTCCAATAATGAATCTGAATTGGAAAAATCTAAAGCTTCCACAAAGGAATTATCAAGCAAAGTTGAATCTCTCAAGGTTCAAAACTCCAAGGTACAGGCTGATTACGACAAAATGTTTGGGGACTACAATAAACTCTTTGATGATCATTCTAAATTGAACACTACTCACAGAGATTTGAACACCAAGAATTTGGACTTGTCGTCGGAAGTAGACCAGCTTTCTACAAAGATTCTTGAGCTTGAGGCTGCTAATAAATTATCCGCGAAGAATAGGGATGATGCCTTTAACTCTAAGGCTGCTGAGTATGATAATTTGCAAGCTTCAAATAACGAACTTGGTGCCAGATTTAAAGAATTGGAACAAATGAAGGCTTCATTGGATGCCAAGAATGTGGAATTATCTGGGGCTATTGCTTCTTTGAAAGATGATAACGCCAAATTCATTGATCAAGGTAAGAATTCTACTGCTTTGATTGCTTCTTTGAAATCCGAAAACTCAAGATTGCAAGGACAATTTGATGAGTTAGTGAAGTCTCAAAAGGAATGGGAAGTGAAATATGCAGAAGTCAATGAGAAATTGAAGGAAGCCACTGCCGTTAATGAGAAACGTACTAAAACTGTCAGCCGTACCCCTAGTGCTGAAGATTTCGTGGATGCTTCTCAAGATTTTGAAGTGATCAAGTCTGATGAAGAGATCCTTAAGGAGAAAGCCAGTGCATTGAATATGATTGTTGTGACTAGTGATAAATACAGAACCATGATTTCCAGCGATGATATTTCAAGACCTCAACTTGAAAAATATGCCAGAAAACTCAACCTTCTTGTTATTCCAGACAAATTCTACGTTGCCACTAATATGTTTAAGATCCCAGATACCAACAACGTTATTGTTGTTCCAAAGACCTACTACAATAAATTATCCAAGAACGAATCAACTGCCATCCATAAAGTGAGCATTGAGAAAATGAGGGAAGAAGCTCAAAAGAGAGGTTATAATTTGGTTTCCTCTACTATTGAAGAATCTGCGTCACAAGAAACCGAGAACGACGAAGAAAATAACGATAAAGATACCACTATCACCCCAACTGCCACCACTACCGATAGATTAACCAACAGAAAGTCCATTCGTTCTTTCTTAGGAAGAAGCCAGACCAAGAGAGATGATGCGAGATCTATGATGCCACCTCCATCCAGAAAGATATCCTCCCCACAAATTAATGCGCGTCAATCAAATTCACAGCTCACGCATAGATCTACCATCTCCACTAGACATTCTGCCGCCAATTTCAGCACAAGAAGTGTCACTGGATTATCTCTTGCCACCGAGGCTTCTCTCAGTGAACCAAATATTATCGGAGCGGTGACTCAAACCGTTATTGGTGAGTTCTTGTACAAATATTACCGTCGTTTAGGTCCTTTGAGTGTGATGTCTGAAGTTAGACATGAAAGATACTTCTGGGTTCATCCTTACACCTTGACCTTGTATTGGTCCGAAGAAAACCCTGTGCTCGGAAATCCATCTGATGACAAGGTTCGTGCTTGTGCTATTGTTGGGGTCGAGAGTGTTGAAGATAATACTCCATTACCAGTTGGTCTTTATCATAGAAGTATTGTTGTGCATTCTAGTGATAGAGATGTCAAGATTACCTGTCCTTCAAGATTACGTCACAACATTTGGTACAATTCTTTGAGATACTTGATTCAAAGAAACCTCGATGGTCTAGATTTTGAATGATCATGGATGCAATTTTACCTGTTGTTATCTTTTTTTTTTTCTTTTAATTTTATTTGTTGTTATTTTTGTTATCATTTTTTTTGTATCTGTTCATTTACACTATTGATTTTTTTTTTTTAAAGAAGCGTTGTTTTTATGATTAGAAATATTTTTATTATGTTCATTTGTTTTCTTTTGATACCTTTTTAGATAAATAATATATTGCTAGTTTGTATTTTTCGAATTGCCATTTTTTTTTTTGTCGCTTGATATATTTACCATAATATTAGTTAGGTTAGTATTTGTATTTGCAGAGAACGTCCCGAGTTTCAACTGATACCAACCATGTCGGGTAAGGGGCAGATGGGAGTTGGTGATAAATAATCTATCGAGCATACAACATGAAAAAAAAAAAAACCTGGTGCAATTGCAGGCCGCCTCGATCGTTGACCACTACCACCAAAAAACAAACAAAGAACATGGATCGGTTTTCAGCAACTCCTATTTTGATAATACATACTTCAGATAAGCTTGTCGACTTCATCAATGAAAACCACCCTGCGCTCTATGGGTCAGTGACTTACAATCGCCGGCTTTTCAAGACCGTGAATCAGGACGTCGAAGTAGCTCGGCTAGATAATTTATATACTCTCACGAACAATGGGCTTTTCGCGGCCATTGATTCGGTGGTCCGGTATATGGGGCTCATTAGTGCCGGGGTGATTTGGCATGTCCACGTCCAACAGCCGCAGATGTTACAAAGAGACCCTCAAGTGCGGCAGCTCATTGAAGTTAAAAAGTTCATCGAGACAGTATTTCCGAAATACTTTGGCAGTAGTTTGATCAATTTCAATAGCATCACCGCCAATGAAGTGGCGGCACGATTGCCGAGCATGTGTAATATTTGTAAAAACATTTGTGCGGTGCTCGATGAAACCTTGGTGAGCATGTTATCGAGGTACAAACTAGCTGGGATCTTCAAAGATTTGTCGTTGTTATTGCGGGACGCCCATTGGAAAATGAAAGATAATCAATTTTTCGTGAGGATTGACGACGACATTATCAGGCTCTTGGATATATTTTCGTTTTATTCGCAAATGGATAAGATTTTCTGTATTTATATCAATGAAGTTGTTTGTCAATTTTTAGAGAACTTCCGCGATGGGCTGCCAGTGGTCGATGAGGCGGTGGAAGGCATGCAGTGTTTTTTGTTGCTTTATCAGTTGGATGATCTGACGCTCCTCAAAAACAAGGATATATTGGGTTATAGCATCGATCATTGCCGAATCGCGGCGTCGATTGTAATAATGTGCGAGAGTATAACGAATTTGACCACGTTGATTTGGGTGTCGTTGTTCGATGACCTTAGACCGTTTTTCAAAAATACATTGGGTGGGAAAGAGTTGCAAGAGATTGAGGATTCATTTCTTAAATCACAAACCGATTTTGTGAATTTTAGAGCGGCGTTCCAAAACCACCAGGCGAAATTTGTCAAAGAAATTTCTGGGAAAATGAAAAAACATTATGGTAAATTCATTTCCAGCGTCAAAGATTATGAGACCATCACCAAGAAAATCCAGAATTTGATTGACCGTACTGAAAAGTTTGGCGATAAAATCCCGAGAACTAACGATCTTGACTTTGTCAAGGTACTGGACTGTCTCCATAGAATAGGTATATTATTGCAAGCCATGGTGAAAGAAGAAAAGTTAAGCCAAGACACGTATAGATCGTTGTATTTGATTACGCATAATTTACATTTTTTGGTACAAGGGATCATGGGGAATGATTTGTTGTTTTGGCAATAGGAAGAAATGGTTTTAACGTATTAGAAAAGGCCAATTTATTGTATTATATACAGTATTCAATAAATGAATAAAGATCATTATGTTTTTTTTTTTTTTTGTTAACAGATCTAAAATATTGCATCGAAAGCGCAACTATTGTAGGATAAGAAATTATGTTATTGTAACCGCACAAGAAGAAGGGAAGGAAGCACTTGGCGAATATCAACGTTAGCTCAAAAAAAAAAAAAGGACCTGTGTTTCCCTACAATGCTTTAAAAAATTGAAATGTGCGAATCATTGAGCTTACTATACTATGATTATTCTTTCTTTCGCTCTCATTAATTACGCCGTTTTTCATTTTCTTAATCATCTTAATGTTAATGTTATCTACATCAATCATATACCATTACCACATATCAATTAGCCTCCTTGGATGCATTCCAATCATTATACTTTTTTTTCATTTTTCTTCTTTTTTCATTTCAATTGAAATTACTATTGATAACATTAATCCAATAGGAAAATAATCCAATTTTTTCATCCAGACTACACAAGAACCACCGCCGTGTATTATCTATCTATCGTACATACTTCAAATAGCGCACCCAAATCGTGGATTTTTGGGTTATGAGCACCCGAATTGACATCACTTTTTTTTTTTTTTTTTTTTTTTGATTAAAACAAATGTATTGAAACCAACCCTTAATAATAAGATAAATTTAGTTTGAATTGAAATTTTCTGAAGAAACTAAAACAAAAGAGAATGAAAAACAAAAAAAAAAAAAAACAATCAAAAAAACCAAAATGTAACCTAACCTCCATAACACTGAGAAACTCAATTCATTCAATCAATCTGATCTATAAAAAAAAAAAAAAAGCTAATAAAACTCAATCTATAACATCCGGTCAGAGAAGAAGAATTCACATATCCTAAAGAATACTCTCTTGACCAGCCCGATTTCTCTGAAATTGCTTGTCAGCATGGATTCCTATCACGTATTCTAACTTCTGCACCAAGTCGATCGAGTAACTCCATTTACAACTCCTCAAGAGATGTAACACATAACAGATCACCCCTGGAGCTTTAGTCTGTCTATCCTCACAAACTCGTTTTCTTTTAATCATCACTGGGTCAATGTCACCCTTTTTTCCTTGTTGTTTCGTCCCGTCATCCTGCTGACAACTAGGGGATCTGCTGGAACCAGCCATACATCCCGGTCCATCAATTACCATTTCAAAGTACAGGACCGCATCTTCACATGCGAGTTCATGTTTCACAGAGCCATAAATGTCGAAATACTTGTTGGCGTTCAAGTTGAAATTGAAAAATGACCGAGAATAATCAGCATCATGACCCTCTTTTGTCACCCGGTGGCCGGCGACGTAGTTGGGGAAACTGTTAATACACAATTTTTGTTCGGTTTTTTCCGGTTGGTCATTGGAAGTCGTCAACAATGACGGCACACTAGAACAATTTCTATTGGTCTCAAGGCACCAAATCATAATAGCCGCTAAATACATGGTTCCTGGAACGTGGGAAAACGTGTTCACCGTCCCTTCATGTTTAAACACCAAGGTCAAGAACTTACTGGCTTCAACAAGTGCTAGTTCACCATTGAGGGACCTGGCCCATTGTCTGATATGCATTTGGTTCAGTTCACGTTCCATTTCGTTCATATCTTTATAAGTAGAATTTCTGTCCTTGGTATAGAACGATTTGCATTCACTGGCAAATTTCTTGATCGCGGTGATATCGGCATAAAGTGTGAAAAGCCCAGTATAGTAGAAGCTAAGGTTGGCCCATGAGCCATTAGTAGGAGAGTAATTGTTAAGAAACACTCGGTTTATCTCATTGGCTTGGGATTTCAGGAGCGGACCATCTATATCATGGATATTATTATTACTATTATTATTGATGGACAAAGTTGTTGTTGTTGCCCTGGTTTCTTTCTTCCGCGATTGGGTATCGTATAATCTCATGTGGAAATCAAAATAACCTCTCCAATTCAAAAATGCCCGCTCCAATTTTTTGAAAAACTCATTCAATTTCTCCTTTGAGGCAACCCCCAAGTCAAGGAAACCTTGAGATCTCATATCCCAACAAGTACGCATTAGACCGTGGAGAATGATGTACCGTGAAAATAACGAGTAGCAATTGAGGGAGTAATCCTTTTGGTTTTCCTTGTATTCCATCATCATCGATTTCAAGCTCCATAAGAAACTGGGCCATTTGTTAATCATATTAATTGAATGGGTGAATGTAGCTGCGCTATTTGAAGCATGGTGGTCTTGACCAGGTCTGGTGGTATTTCCAATATCATTGATAATAGTAGTAGTAGTAGTAGTAGTAGTAGTAGAAGTAATAGAGTTACTTTTATTGTTATTACCACCTTCTGCCAGTTCGTGACCAATTTTACTAGGGAACCTTCTATTTTGTTGTGTAATGTTTTGATGGGGAGGATTTTTCTCATTTTCTGCATCTTTAGTAATTTCCGCATTATAGCCTCTCCCCATTGGCATCTCCACCTTCAATTTATCAGATAATCCTTGTGGTTGCTTTTGATATTCTGCAAAGAACTTCGTAGGGTTTGCAGCGTACCACACTTCATCGGTACACGGTAGTTCTAATTTGATGTCGAACGCCGATAGTAATTTCAATCTGCTGAAGGTGACGTGCTGGGTATCACAAATAAATTCAAAGAACACCGTTCTTTTACAAGTCTCATAATAGATCCATTCATGCCATCGGTCAGAAATCTCTTTTTCCAGGCAGGCACTTGTCTGGTAAACTGCCGGCTCCGTCAAAGTATCCAACATCCCGCTAAATTTCAAGTACAAAATATTCGAGCCATGGTCTATTAGGGCTAGCTGGGTCAATTTTATATCACCGTAGTTCTTGGCAGAGAAATTATGGAGTACTAAAGATTGAATTATCGGGAGAGGTAGTTCGATAGTTTCATCGACGACATCTTTGATAATTCTCCTGAATTTTTTGTTGAGGGTTATGGAAAGCTCGTACTCAAACTTATCCAATGAATAAGCCATACCAATGATTAACATGCTAATCAATAAATAAATGTCGACGGTATTGGGGTTGAAAGTTGGTCTATGGATGATCGGGAAAGTTTGGGCAAAATTGAACCAATACAAATCCAAAAAATCGTCAAATCTTGATAATGGGATATTGTTGATTTCTTTTACCGTGGCAAACACATTGATGATGCTGGTTCTGGTGGCGTTGTCAATATTAATCACCAACGACTCGGTCAGGGAATTATCGGGTGATTTATAAACGACGGGATTGAGATCGAAATAATTAGATCTCTCCATGCTTTGCATAGAAGGAGTATTGTAATTAGTCGCAGAATTTGCGGCAACGCTTTTACCAATGCTATTATTGATACTGCCATCGGTTAATGGAGATACATCGCTAAATAGCCATAACAAATTATCAATGAACCCACCAGCCATATCGGGGGTTTGGGAAAACGCATTGAATACCGAATTATTATTATTATGAGGAGTAGGGAATAAATGATTAGGTTGCTGATTATTGCTGTCGAATACAAAATTCTGCAATCTACTGGCCCCGTTATCTCCCGCATTGTGGACTGGTTGATATTGACGATGATGATTGTTGATGCCTTTATCAGGTATTCCCGAAGGGTTTTGATTTGTCAATGATGATGATGATGTTGATGATGTTGATGTTGATGATCCTTGAAGAGTGTTCATTCCAACATCAATTTGCGAATTGTTTGGGGTGATATCCCCACGGTTCGTGAAATTCATATGAATGTTGGTACCGGGAATCATTGACGATGTTGCACCCAAGGACAATGAGGGAAGGATGATTGAGGGCTGGGGAGGTGGCGCGTGGATTTTTTCATCTTGATCATTTAAAAAATTAGCGATCCCCAATCTTTTGAATTTCTTGCGCTGTGGTTCTGATTCATCAGTGATTGATGGGGATTTTAGCGACGATGATGATAATGAGGCAGGGGGGGAAAATGAACCAATGCTTGTGGGATCGGTGAAAGATTTAAGATCATTATTGAATAAGGCATAGGAACTGATTGGATGGATGGACTGATCGAATAATCTTTTTGCCCTGCTTTTATTAGTATTTTTTGTAGTAGCACCAGTAGTAAGATTGGTAATTTTATCAGTAGTGTTTTTGGCAGAAGGATTTGTTAGGGTATTGTTGTGAGACGTTATTATCTTGGGGGTTTGGTTGAAGATCGTAGCGGAAGATCCTTCAATTTTGGTGCGGGCTCGCTGATGGGCCTTGGATCGGAAATGTTTAGCTAATAAATCACTTCGTGTGAAAGACAAGTTACACTGCTCGCACTTGAATGGTTTGACATCGTTGTGGTTGAGCTCATGTCTTGTCAAGTAGTCTTTTCTGGTGAACCGTTTTGAGCATGTGGGGCAAACGAACAGCAGGCCCTTTGGAACAACAGGGGGGACGGGGACGGTTGTCTGATCTACAGACATGTATGTATGGTATGTTATTGTATATGGAGACAGACAGAGTAGAATAGACTAACAATAATATATATAACCGATCCAACCAACAACAAAATTCGTGGTTTTGTCTCCGCAAAGAAAAGAAAAAAAAAAACGTCACGCAGTATTATGCACAGTCACACGAGACACGCATGAACAGAAAGAATTTTCCCACAAAAAAAAAATAAAAAATAAACCACAACAACAGGTATATATTTGTTGAGAAATATCTTTCAGCATTAATAGGCATTGGTTATTTTCTGTGGGATGTATCATCTAGTGATTGTGGGCATCCCGGATCTTGCCCCATGTAGCGTAGCGTGTAATTGGGGTGTCTCCCTCGGCAGTGCCTGGGCTGGCCAGGCCCCGGCTGGGGTGCGTATGGGGTAAAATACTCAACGATAAACTCAATTTTGGAGGACTGGCGCCATGGAAAAAAGCTAACAACCGTACTTGTAGGTTGTTGTTTTATTGACTACTTGCACCATACACCACTTTTCGTACTCATATTTCTCGGTAAATTGCACAAGAAAAACTATCTCGCCCCTCCAGCAAAATTAGTTCCAGGATTATTTGTGTGTGTCCATATGCAGCGTCCTGCATCGCTTATTACATATCGCTGAATAATTAGTATCACAATACTATTGAAGATTCTCTTGTCAATTTTCTCCATTTTTCAATTCCTTGGAGATTTTTATTATCACAAGCTGTACAAATAGAATAATCTATTGTTTATATAGTTGTTATCAAATCTATGTCTATATATCTATGCATCTTATTATTCAGAATAATTGACACTCATTGTCACATTACAATACCAAGACCTCGCCAACATGAAATCTTATTCACAAATGCCTGGCCACGGCATATCGATATCATTTCAAGAGGAATTTTATAAAAGTAAAGAGAGACAAAAAAAATCACTCTATTAAATGAATATATGTAAATAGATTAAAAGCATCAATCAACAGTAGTGAAGAAAAAAAAAACAGTGTCTTTCACTAAGCCAATTAATTTCTAATGTACAAAAAATAATTTAGTCAAAAATTCAGTTAAAAATCATCATCATCATACTCTGACTCTTCTTCTGATACTTCCGGTTCTTCATCTTCAGCAGATTCAAAATCAGATTCAATGTACTCGACTTTTTTCTTTGTCGTTGCGGCACGTCGTTGAGGTTTTCTCTTGACTATAGGAGATGTTATCACCACTTCCACTTCATCCTTACCATCATCACTGACATCATCATCATCAACCATTATCTCGTCTTCATCATCACTAATGATAAACTTATTCTTTTTAGTAGCTTTCTTTGGAGCAGCTTTTTTCACAGGAGCAGTTTTCTTAGCAGGAACAGCGTTCTTAGCAGGAACAGCTTTCTTAGTAGCGGTGGTCTTCTTTGCAGCAGCTTTACCCTTTGTTGGCTTCTCTTCAGGTTCAACAGAAGCGGTACTAGACTTCTTATCTGTGCTGAAACTGGTATCAAATTTATTGGCAGCAGCACTAAATCTCGAAAAAATATCATCATCCAAATCCTTCTCGTCAACTTCCATCAAATCATTATTACTATCATCTTCCTCTTCTTTTGGTTCGATGGATCCAAAAATCGTCTTGGCCCGGCCCATAATATTAGACATTCGATCGCTCGAGTTCTCCTTATTGGAATCAGTAGCCGCCGACAACGGGGTGTCACTGGTCTCTTTCTTAACTTTACCGTTCATTTTGGAATTAGATACTTGGCTAAGAATATCCGGCTCTGTCGACGCTTCCTTCTTCACTCGAGTCTTCTTTGGTTTAACTTCCTTAATCTCTGGCTCGATAAACTCCCCTTTGATCACCATCATCTCGTCAGCATCAGCCTTCTTCGTAGCCTTCTTCTTGGTCTTCTTGGCGGTTGGCATGAAGTCATCATCATCGTCATTAGCCTTCTTTCTGGATCTTTTCTTGGTCGGTTTTTTGCCGTTACCGAAGGCTTCGAACTCCATCTTCTCTTTATCATCTTTCAAAAACTTCGCATAAGCCACTTCAAACCCGTCCAAATCAATAAGCCATAAATCTTTGGCACTCTTAGTCAACAAAAGATTCAATTCTTCATCCTTGGCATCCTTTTGTTTCAAAAGCTTTTCGTACTTTTCTTTGGTTAACGACCACAATGGCATGTTAAGCAAATAATCATACGATGAATAGATGGTGTCAGGGGAGTGGGAAAGCTCATCTTCTACCCCACCAGCATCTTCCTCATCATCTTCATTGTCAAGGTTAATATCATCTTGGGTGATTTCTGCTTCAGACGCCTTGTCTTCAATTAATCTCCCATCTTTACCAAATCTTGGGAAATTCAATTTTTGCAACTCTCCAACCAATAATACTCGTTTACGATTACTAATGACCAATTTCTTATCGATGATCAATTTGATGAATCTTGCCTTAGCCGTCAATTGCAGAAGTTCTTCCCTCATAATAGAAGTCAAATAATCTTTTCTCTTTTGATAATACTCAAGACGCACAAAATAATAAGATTGGATGATTTCCAACGGACTTTCATATTTCTGCAATTTGCCTCGTTCATTGAAAAGAATCATGTTACCCAAACCAATGTTTTGGATCAATTTGAACCGTTCATAATACCCAACTTTTTCGGTCTTTTTCATTTGCTCATCCGACAAAGTGATGATGAATTTATGACCTTCAAGATCATCTTGCTCGGTGTAATTCTTAATGAATTTTTCAGTGACTTTTTCGGTAGTGGTGTTAATCAAAGCATTTTCAATGAATTCTTTGACGGTGCAGGTCCAGGTCTTGGCAGGGATTTCACTAATCACTAGAGTGTTGTCATCAATACGCTCAATTCTCCCAAACATCTTAAACTTATCTGGACCAGCAGGAATCACCGTTCCTTTCCAGTTTCTGAACCATGGAATCATCAGTTCCATTTCTTGACCATTTAATAATCTCTTGATATTAGCGACAATGTCATCGGGATTATATTGCGGCACCGAGGTCGACCAACCAGTACCAATTCCTTCGGCACCATTCACCAACACCATTGGGATAATTGGCAAATACCAGTACGGCTCGACGGTTCTTTCATCATCCTTGATATAATTCAACAATTTCTGGTCCTCTTCTTTGAAAATATGTTTAGTGATTTTACTCAACTCAGTATAAATATATCTTGCAGCGGCATGATCCTTACCCCCGACATCTCTGGTACCAAAACAACCATTAGGACTCAACAAATAAATGTTGTTACTGCCAACGTAATCTTGAGCTAAACCCACAATGGTTTGCACTAAAGACGCATCACCATGATGGTAATTGGAGGTACTGGAAACATAACCTTGAAGATCGTTGACTTTCAATTCTTTGACAATATTTTTTTTGAAGAAAGTGTACAAAATTTTACGTTGCGCTGGTTTGAAACCGTCACACAAACTTGGAATCGATCTGATATTATCGGCCATGGAAAATAAAATCAATTCTTTGTTGATGAAATCATCGTAAGGGATGATTTTCAAGTTAGGATCAAGATGAGTACCAAGCTCGAACCCTGCCAACCAATTCTTTCTGTCGTCGGCTTTTTTCTTGGCAAACGCCAATTCAAGTAAATCTTTGTCCTCAATCTTGAGAGTATCGAAACGTTTGATATGATGGTCCAAATTGCTGAAATATCTCATCATATCCCTGGAGTCAGAGGTACCCAAACCCTTGTAGTACTTGGACTTGAATTTTACTCTGTTACCCTCATTTTCAATCCAATTTTCGTATTCTGGCATGGTATAAAATAGTTTTGGTTGGGTATTTTTCCCCAAAGTAACTTTGACAATTGGGGTGATGAATTCCAACAAGAAGCCGGGAATGCTCAATAATCCAGGGAAACTGGATTCGATAAAGTTAATCACCAACCCTTTTATATGACTACCATCGTAATCTTGATCGGTCATGATCATAATATGACCGTAACGTAACCCTTTAACACTATCGTATTTCTTTTTGTGTTGTAATCCAATGATTTTTTTGAGGTTTTTAATTTCCTGGTTTTTCATAATTTGGTCGGTGGTGGCATCTCTAACATTGAGCAATTTACCACGGAGCGGGAACACCCCATAATAATCTCTACCAACCACTTTCAAACCAGATACCGCTAAAGCTTTAGCAGAGTCCCCTTCGGTGAGAATAAGGGTACAGTGCTCACTATCTTTTGTCCCGGCCTTGTTGGCGTCTTCTAACTTACTGACCACCACCCGGTTTTTTCTACCAGCACCATCGGTTTTTTGCAATTGTTTATCGGCATTGGCTTGGGCGATATCCAAGATTTGTTGAATAAACTCGGTTTTGATCACCTTCTTGATGAACTCTTCGGAAATTTGGAACTTCGAACCAAATGACGAAACCTTGGTGATCATTTGTTCTTTAGTTTGCGAGGTGAATGCAGGGTTTTCGATCAAACAATTGACGAACAAGAACATGTTGTTTCTGATTTGGAACGGCTTAACATGGGCATTCTTGTGTTTCTTCTTGAGGAACTCCATTGTCTTGTTGACAATTTGATCGGCGATGTAGTTGACATGGGTACCACCAGAAGTGGTGGCGATGGAATTGACAAACGATACTTGATTGAACGATGTTTCGGATACGGAAAACGCGATTTCCCATCTATCTGATTTTTCGTAAACGATAACTGGGGCATCGGAAGTTTCGTCGTCATCAAAAGATCCGTCTTTGGCCCTTTTTGCCGATTCCAAATATAATTGGATATACGACTTGAAGTCACGAAGTGGGACTTTTTCACCGTTCAAGTATACACTGACCCCTTTGACACTACCGGCGATATCGTAGACACGACGCTTTAAAAGCCCAAGGGTATCATCATCGAGTTTTTCCATGCCAAACTTGGCCAAGTCCGGGCTAAACGCAATTCGGGTGAACTCGGTTTTCTTGGATTTGGTGATCTTTGCTTTGTTACAAACGCTCATGTTGTTCTCCCATAATTGTTTATAGCCTTGGCCAGAGGCCTTGTCAGCGGTCTCCAATTCGAATCTGGTGGAGAAAATGTTACACAACTTGGCACCGTACCCATTACGACCACCGGTGACTTTTTTTTCATCGTCGTCATAATTAGAAGACGTCAACAAGTGACCAAAGATCAATTCGGGGACGTAGATTTTTTCCTTGGAGTGAATTTCCACGGGGATCCCTTTACCGTCGTTTTTCACCTGGATCATGTTTTGTTCAGCATCGATGATCACCTCGATTTTCTTCATGGTGGGGTCACGGATCTTGTTGTCTGCAGCGTTAACGAGGATTTCGTCGAAAATCTTGAGCATTCCGGGAACGAAGGTTATATTTTTCTGAACAAGCTTGTTCTCATTGTCGATGATCCACATTAATTCTGTGGTTGGTTCGGTAGACCCGATATACTATATATATATATGAGGTTAGTGGAGGGGGAAAAAACACGAAACATTTTGTTGCAAAGTGTGATAAATTGGGACAGACGTACGGTATCGGGTCTCCGTAAGATATGCTCCAACTGAGTGAGCTTGACATATTTGTCACCCTGGTTAGACATTTTTTTTTTCCAGACGTGATTGTCTTGAAATGAGACGTTAAGGTAGGTAGGTGGTGCCAGAGGAATGAGGAAAATGTTGTGGAAAAATAAATAAAATAAAAAAAAAAAAAAAAAAAAAAAAAAAAAAAAACAAAAACAAAACACGGCGTGACGTGGTGCATTTAGCAATATATTTTTCGAAAACAACCGTCTGCGTGGTACACCGATTGTGTGTAATATATATTGGCAGTAGTATATTAGCAGCAGTAGTAGTAATAGTATTGTTATATAATGTTGTTATTGCAGTGGTAGACTGAGGCTTTTTTCGAGTCTTCGGTGATGAGCCATGGTTAGTCGGTAACAATCAACACCAATTGCGGTTAAGGGAGTGGAGGTGGGTTGTTATTGGCATACTGTGTGCGTTAGTGACAGATGAAAACCACACAATACTTAGATTTTCAATACTCATATATATATATATATATCATGTGGAATGGAATTAGTGGTTTATTCATCCATAACAACAGCATTAGTGTTATTATTACCAATGAAAAATTGACGATTCCCCCACGGGGGGAGGAGAACTGCAGCCACGCCAACCGCCCGCATTGCTATCGATCGCTGGTTGTGATGATGTCTGGCTACGTCATAGGTGATTGATTGATTGATTGATTGATGGCAGAGGACGGCCCCCGGCGATTGCAATTATCATCATAATTATATTAATGGTCATTATTGCTGTTATTATCAGCACTCTGCTTGTTATAATAATCGCACAACGACGTCATATCACTATGCACCACGCACAAATAACGCTACACCATGCACGTGTGATTGTTCTGGACCCTTTCTTCTTCTTCTTCTTCTTCTTCGTTCTCTTTGTTGTTCTCTCTGTGATTCAAATAACAATCGTTGTTGTTGTTGTCTACTTATTATTTATTGAGTATCTCCAAATCTTCTTGTTCTCGGACTTGTCTCTCATGACTCACAATGCTATCCTCAACTATCAAATAACAATAATAACAACAATAATAATAACCACCAACAGCCTCATGAGACTAAGGTGTTGTGTAATCCAAGGCTGGTCTAATTGATCTTCTCCTTTTAGTTTTTTGCGAATCTCCCTTCAATATACCCCGGGGAGACCCTACATACCTCTCTCTCTCTCTCTCTCCATCTCTCTCCACAAGAATACTAATATTACTCATAAAATACTTCATATTAATCTTCATTAAGCACAATACCCATCATCCACATCTATTGTAGGCACCACCCACCCAATAATACCAAGTAAAATCAGTCAATCAATCAGGGCTTTTCCCATTCCGAGGGGGGTCCTTCCGAGGGCCACCACCCCCGAATGTACAGAAATTAGAGTTTCCACTCCACACATCAACATCAACTCCGGCACCCGCGCACCCCATAAGTTGGGATAATTATTATAAACGGTGGTTGTGGTTGTGTTGTCTGAGTTAGTGGAACAAATAGTTTACAATAAATATTAGATATTATATTTATATTCTCCCAAGAATCTTTGTTATTTTGTTTTGTTCTATTCTGTTCTGTTTTGTTTTGTTTTGCTTTTTACCACACAATCTTTCTAATGCTGCTGCCCCCCTCCCCCCCACACACACTCTTGACGTCTGGGGTCGATAAATAGTATACAGAAAAAAAAACACCATGTACTCCTAGGTACATATTTCATCTACTTAACCTGTTAATCATCCTCCCATTTAGGTAAGTCCAAGTCTGCACTGCACTATTAACAGGAATTACGTAATGTCCCTCACAAAAATCCTGCAACCTCCAGGCATACCTCAAGATGAATAGAATACTATATCTATCTATATAAAGGAGATCTATTTCTCTTTATTTTTCTCTCCTAAACAATAATTATATTATATTAATTATATATATATATATATATGTATATATTTACCATAATCAACAAAAATAATGAGTTCCTCTTCTGTTGAAAAACCTACTACAAATCACATCCTTGACGACCACAGCGATCAGCCGTCATACTCCCATGACAAGGAAAATACCACCATCTATTCATACTTGGGGATGAGTGGTTCAAATCTCAGTAATGCCGTGTCATTTATGGCCGGGATGGGATTCTTGTTGTTTGGTTACGATCAAGGGGTCATGGGGTCGTTACTCACTTTAGAAACTTTCAGAGACACTTTCCCTGACATCGACACCATTGATCATCCTAACAAAGCCACTTATCAAGGGTTTGTGGTCGCGGTATACGAAATTGGCTGTTTGTTTGGTGCCCTAAGCACCATGATGTTTGGAGATAAAATTGGCCGTCGTAAAACCATTGTCATTGGGTGTATTATCATGGTGATCGGGGCGATCATCCAAAGTGCTGCGTTTTCCACCGGGCAGTTGATTGCTGGGAGAATCATTGCTGGGCTCGGTAACGGGATGAATACTTCCACCGTCCCAGTTTGGCAATCCGAATGTGCTAGACCCGAGAAGCGAGGTAAATTGGTGATGATTCAAGGTAGTTTGATCGCTGGTGGGATTTGTATTTCTTATTGGGTGGACTTCGGGTTCTATTTTGTCAAAGATAGCTCGGTTTCTTGGAGATTCCCTATTGCGTTTCAAATCATTTTCCCATTGATCATTGGACCATTCATCATGTCGTTACCTGAATCCCCTAGATGGTTGTTGAAAGTCGGACAAATCGACGAAGCGGTCAAAGTGTTTTCTGCATTGGAAAACATTCCTGCCAACGATGAATACATTGCCACAGAGATTGCGGAAATTCAAGAAGTGATCTCCACCGAGCAAGCCACCGGTTCGACTAAACAACTTATCAAAGAAATGACCAGGCAAGGAGAACAGAAGAATTTCCATCGGGTGTGCCTTGCGGCATGGATCCAGATCTTCCAACAAATCACCGGTATTAATCTTGTCACTTACTATGCCGGGACGATCTTCCAGCAGTATATCGGGATGTCGGCGTTGAACAGTAGAATCTTGGCTGCTTGTAATGGTACTGAATACTTTTTGGCGTCGTTCGTTGCTTATTACACCATTGAGAAAGTTGGAAGAAGAAAGTTGATGCTCTATGGGGCCATGGGCCAGGCAATCACCATGGGGGTGTTGACCGGTACCAATTGGGCTGCTGACCATACCAGTGGCTCGGGGGCTGGGATTGCTGCTGCGGTGTTTTTGTTTGTCTTCAATTCGTTCTTTGCTGTTGGTTGGTTAGGGATGACATGGTTGTATCCTGCTGAAATCACCCCATTAGTGAGTAGCTGTTTTATTTTTATTTATTTTTATTTATTTTTTTTTTTTTTTTCTCATTATGATGATCTTACAAATAACTAACATCAGTGTTTTTAGAATATCAGAGCTGGGGCCAATGGATTATCAACGGCGAGTAATTGGGCGTTCAACTTCTTGGTGGTGATGATCACCCCGGTGGGGTTCAACAGCATTGGGCCATACACTTACACGATTTTCGCGGCGATCAACTTCTTGATGGTGCCTGCGGTGTACTTTTTGTTCCCGGAGACTTCTGGAAGGACCCTTGAAGAGATGGATAAGGTGTTTGCGCTTTCCAACCCGTGGACCCCCTGGGATGTGGTGAGGATTGCCAACGACTTGCCGCACGATTACCAGGAAGGGAAGTACGTCGAGCATGTCAAGGGAGATGCTGAGCATTTGGAAGAAGATGGGGCGAAGATGATCTGATTAGCGGTGTCTATTTTATTTTATAATATTTGTTTAGTTTTATGTGTTATGTTTTATGTTATATTATGTTATGTCATGTTATGTTATGTTATGTTAATATACAGTACGATATCTCTAAATACTGTTGTTGGGTGTAAGTAAGTGAAGCCAGCGTTCTCAATGCCGTAACCTGTGGTAGAGCCACGCGGAAAAAAGAAAAGAAAAGAAAGGACCCCGACGTCTGGTACTCTCTACATATTAAATTACTTACTTACTTCATATGGTGATCCTCAGGATGTGTAACAACAATACTAGTATATATATACACATAAATATAAATATAAATATAATACTCAACAGCCTCTATCACACAGTGTGCCGGGTGAGCAAGCGACCAAACCGAGCGACAGACCAACCGAAAGGATCGAAGCCGCCGCCTGGAAGCAAAACAGCTGGTGTTTTTCGCCATTTCATCGAGTGCCGCATCACCTAAACAAGCAACAGAAAAAAAAAAAAAAAAAATAAAATAAAAAAATTCTCCTTCCTCATCGCCATTCTTCTTCTTCTTCTTCTTTTTCCTAAATGACCCTTGCTCTGCTGTGCTTGAGAATCCTTCCTATAGTAATCCCCAGACCCTCTGCTTTCTCTCGTTTATTCTCCTCCTTCTCCTCTGGTGCAAAACACAATATCACGATGACTGCAGCAGCAAAACAGGCTTTTGTTCCTCTTCCAGAATGTCTCGCCAAGATGGCCCCAAAGTCATCTCCAGAACTTGACTACTCCACAAACTCGAACTACTCCGCTTTCAAAGTCCAGCAAACCGCGCTTGATTTCGAGCTCAAGTTCGATGAAAAAATCCTTGATGGGTCCGTCACTTATCAGTTGTCCGCCAATTCTGCCACCGACAAGATCATGTTGGACTTGACTACCGTGGTGGTTTCCAAAGTCTTGGTCAACCACCAACCAGCAGCCTACAAGATCGTATCAGAAAACCTCGCTAACAATCTCGGGAAAGCCTTGGTGATCCCTGCCACCATCGCCGCTAACGACCATCTCGAAGTCACCATCTTCTTCAAGGCCACCAAAGACTCCACCGCGTTGCAATTCTTGGATAAATCTCTAACTGATGGTAAGAAACACCCATACTTGTTCTCGCAATCCGAACCAATCCATGCCAGAGCCATTTATCCATGTTTTGATACCCCATCGGTCAAATCGCCGTTCGCCGTCAGGGTCAAGTCGCCGTACAAGACCCTTGTATCGTGTTTGATCGACGAAGAAAAACAGGCTGCCGAAACCGATCCAACCATTTACCATTTCGTCCAACCAGTGCCAATCCCATCTTATCTTTTTGCCATTGTCAGTGGGGATATCACCAGCTCCCGTATCGGCCCTAGATCGCTAGTTTACACCGAACCAGTGGGGATCGAGCGTTGCGCTAATGAATTCAAACACGAAGTGGTGGAAAAATTCTTGAACGTCCTTGAAAACCTTGTGTTTGATTACGAATGGAAGAATTATGATTTTGTCATTGCCCCAATGGCCTTCCCGTACGGGGGGATGGAAAACCCTCAATTGACCTTGGCCAACTCCACCGTGGTCAGTGGTGATTCCGAAAACATTGACGTGATTGCCCACGAACTTGCCCATTCTTATGCCGGTAACTTGGTCACCAACGCGTCTTGGGAACATTTCTGGCTTAATGAAGGGTGGACCGTGTATTTGGAACGTCGTATTTTGGCGGGAATCCACGGCGAACCTTACCGTCATTTCAGCGCGATTATCGGTTGGAAAGATTTGGAAGAAAGTCTTGAACGTATGGACGACAAATTCACAAAAATGATCCAGAATTTGAAAGACGGTAGTGATCCAGATGACGCTTTCAGTACCGTGCCGTACGAAAAGGGTTTCAATTTCTTGTTCCATTTGGAAAATGTCGTTGGTGGGTACGAGAACTTTGACCCATTTATCAAACATTATTTCACCACTTTCCGTAAACAATCGTTAGATTCTTACCAATTCATCGAAGCGTTGCGTGCGTTCTACTACAATTACGATTATGAGCTTTACCTCAAATTGTTGGAGGTCGATTACGAAACTTGGTTATTGAAAACCGGTCTCCCACCACAGCCGAAATTCGATACCTCGATGGTCGATGTGTGTTTTTCTTTGTCTAAACGTTGGTATTCGATGATTTTAAAAGCCAATGAAGCTGGGGAACAACTTAGTGCTTCACATTTGGCGAAAGTTTTCAACGACAATGACGTTGCCAGTTATTCTTCTAACCAACTTGTGGTGTTCCTTGATAACCTCTTAACTTTACACAAGGAGCACAACATCCTTGATTCTGTCAATGGTCGTACTGCTTTGCAATTCATTAGTCAATACTCTCGTATTGTCAAGAACAACAATGCCGAAGTGAAGTTCCGGGTGTATCGTCTTTTGCTTGTGGGTCGTGAATCATCAATTTACTCCGAATGTGCTGATTGGTTGGGAACCGTGGGGCGTATGAAGTTTGTTCGTCCTGGTTACATTTTATTGAACGAGTGCGATCGTGAATTGGCAGTGGCCACTTTCAGAAAGTTTGAAAAATCTTATCATCCAATTTGTGTGGCCATGGTGAAGAAAGATATTGATTTAGAATAATAGATCGAAAAAAAAAAAAAAAAAAAAAAAAAAAAAAAAAAAAAAAAAAAAAAAAAAAAAAAAAAAAGAAAACATACAAAAAAGAGCAAATGTTTAATGAAATTCATAATTTCCAAAAAATCTGGCATAAATATACGGTAATTAATAATTATAATAATAATAAGAATTGGGGTTTGTAAACGTGAGAGAATAAAATCAATCCAATGAAGTGATATTTTTGATTAACTTGGGAAACCACACTCTTTTCAATTGATAATTTCGTTTTTTTTTAGTTTGATTAAAAGGATATATATTCTGTAGTTTATGTGGGAATTTCTTCTTCTTCTTCTTCTTCTTCTTCTTCTCTTCAGTTATTAATTATTGAGAATTCATTTGTTCTTCTTCACATTAGTTAGTTCTAATAATTGAGAATCCATTTGTTCATCTCGTTCTGATGATCGATTTACAGTTTCAAATTCCAATATTATTTGGGAATTCTCATATCCAAAAAAAAAGATATAGGGTATGTATGAAACAAAAAAAAAAAATGCATGTATTTGAGAAAAATCATAAGAAGATTCATATTTAGGAATTAGTTGGAAATATCATCCGAAGAATGAATGATAAGACCACCACCAGCTTGTATAATAATAATAATAATGATAATTTCCTTTTCTTTGTAGAAAAATCTCTCTCTCTCTCTCTCTCTCTCTCTCTCATAAAACCAAAGTTAATGGAATTCAATCTAAAATTGAGCAACATCAGAGGTAATCAAATTGATTCTAATTTGAAAAGCACACATCAACCCAGAAAAATTATTCAAATTGATTCTAGTTGATTCAAAAGATTGAAAAAAAAACCATGAAAGTTAATCAAATTCATTGTGATATTTGAAAAAAAAAAAGAAAAACTAAATAATAATATTAATGCTTCTTCATCTTTTTTTATATATGCTTATCAGTAGACAGCATCATGGTAAGAAATTCCCATCAACTAATATATCATCTCTCTTCATATATGCTCATCAGGTGGCGAGATCATGAAATTCACATCGGTTTTCGATTGCGCTTTCTTATGCCCCTTGATTGGGTTTCTCGATGGCAGGAGTTGTCTTTGAGACATCGCACTAGGATTATTCGCCACTTGTTGGAATTGTGACATCAAGGGGACAAGTCCCGGCGATGGTTGAGAAATCGTTGGGCCTTGGGATATCGATGAATTAACACTGACCCCGGTGGCCGGGGACGAAGTCAAAGGAAACACAAAATTTCTGGTGATGGTGCCATCGATTGATCCTTGGCGAGAATGCGATGAATTATGACCCCGTTTATGATGATGATTATGATGATTAATATTGCTTGTGATGGTGGTGGACTTGGAAATTTTCGATGGGGATGACGATGATAATGACGGACCCATGAACTGTGATTGTCGTCCATTATGGTTGAATGCCAGGGTATCGGATAATCCACGTCGATGGCCGACGCTACGGCGAAGTGGCGATCGCGGGGTGGGCGAGCCCATCAACGGTGGGATAATCTGGGAGGTACTGATATTATTTTGTGATGATGATGGCGACATTAAAGTCGAGGTGGTGGTGCCGGAACCAATGGTGGTCATAAAACTTTGGTTTTGCCCGCCAGGAATCGACGAGGCGGTGGACACATCGGGCAGGGTGGCCATTTTACGAGACCCGATCGATGGGTGCCATTGATGGAATTGGTACTGGACTTGTTGGGGGATATTGACTTTAAAAACCGAGGTGGTTGGTTGGTTAGACGTGCTCAGCGAGGATATCGATGATGATGATTGTGAACGGCTGGTGCCTCGAGTATGGGTATATGGTTTACTAACGGTTCCTGATGGGGCCGTGGTGGTGGTAGTAGCAGCAGTATTACTTCTTTCTGGAAGAGTATTTTTATTATTATTGTACGCGGTAGTGCGGGCGGCGACAAGTTTTCTTTTAGCGTCTTCCAAAGATACTGGGACACGGTTATTGAAAATCAAGGCGATGGAATCGTTGGGGATTTTGTAATTGATGGCCATATTTAACACTTCCATGGTTTTCTTAATGTTTTGAAGTTTCAATTGTTCTTGTTGCGATCGTTCTCTTTCGATTTGGAGTTTTAACATTGACACTAATGATTCTTCTGATTTATCCCATTTGAGTAAATCATTTAATGAGAAATCTGAATGTTTGAATGCATTATTATGAGGGCTTCGCTGCTTGGATTCTTCAATATCAATATTCATTTTTTCTCCTTCATCTTCATCTTCATCTTCGGTATTATCTTTATTATCTTGATCTTGATTTTCTTCTCGATCTTCTTCTCGATCATTATCATCTTCTTGTTCTTCTTCTTCTCCATTATCATCTTGTTGTTGTTCCTGGTTATTGTCAGGTTTGGATTCTTTAAATTTTGATCTGGTGATCCTGGCTCTGGCAGGGGGCTCTGGATCATCGCCCATTTTCTGCTTTGATTTCCTGGGGAACTTGCTAAACATGATATTCAATGATATATGATGATGATTGTTGATGGTGGTGGTTTTATAGCAAGGGATATTATTGTAATTGGTGATATCTAATATTGATGATTCTCTAGTAATAACCACAAACTAGCATGTAAAAAAATGAAAATGATGATATAAGGTGGAGAGTTTTCTTAGAAAAAAAAAAAAAAAAAATCGTTAAAAGTGTCGCAGATATGATTGTTTAATATAATATGAATTTAATAGCTAAGCAAAAACAAACAAGGACAAAGGTGATGTATCTGAAATGTTATATCATTGGCGGCCAAAGCGTCTTGTCTTGTTAGAAATGAGGATAATGATAATTTGAGGACCCCTGGATACTTATAATAATAATAATAAAAAAAAATGATGATAATGATGATGATGATGATGATGATGATACGAGTCAAAAGGATAGACTGGAATGAAAAGAAAACAGAAAAAAAAAAAAACACGACCAGGCAAATGCAAGTATGGCGAAGTAGTAAGAACTAGCTTGTAACTGGGACAGCAGTGGAAGGATATACTATGGGAAGAGAGCAAAAATAAAGAAAAAAGCAGTTGCAGTTGGCATCAACAACAACAACAACAACAACAACAAAAATCAGAAATCGAAATCAGAAAATCAGAAAATCAGAAAAATCGCCCCCTTCGGAATGAAAAAGAAACACGGGAAACCCCTCCGCGCACTCCGGCCACCTTATCATATCATATCATATGTTATATTATATTATATAACATATTATTTATTATATCATATATTATATTACCACACACCCTCACTAATAATACTCTCCCCCTCAATAGAAAAAATCCTAAATAATATCTATTATACATCAGATATATATATATATATATATAAACATATTTGCCTCCTCTAGTTTCCCTGTCAAAACGATCGACACCCATTCATTCACTTGCAGTAATACACAACCTCAACCCGCTCAAACAATTGCAACCCTGGCCTGATCCCCAGCCCACAATACCCGTCTGTTTCTCTGTGGGCAATGCTGAACACCGTATTTCCACTACTTTCAGTGGTACTTGTCTTTGTCTTTGTCTTCTCCTTGTTCTTCTCGAAGTATCCGTGGAACCAAAACCCGCAATGGTCCACTAGTCCCAACCCCCACCGCGCATTACGATTACCCAAAACTATCCGGACGTCGCAATTGGTGTACAAAGGCTGCTTAAACCGGTAATACACCACATTCTTTGGGCCGCCTTCCGTCACTCCACATCGCTCAACCCTGGCCGCCTGCTGCTGCTGCTGCTGCTGCTCCCCTTGATAACCTCCCTCGGCTTTCCAAACTAGCCGCATTTCCCCTCTGGTGTCATAATAATCCCAAACCAGCACCCGCAAATCTTTGGGATCCAACTCCAAGAAACTCCGATCAATCACCCTAATCCCGTACACCTTCATCATCTTCTTCCCAGCAACAGCATTCCCCATTACTTTAATCTGTTCGAGTTTCCCCATTTTCGTCCATTGTTCAAAATACCCCAAGTATCGTTGTTGGCTATGAATCGATACCCCCGTCATCCCCCATCGCATTCTTTTGGCACTGTAGTACCGATTGGCCTCATCGGCCCCAATGTGATAATAGTTCATCAAGTACCCACATACCACGGTCCCTGAACGACCTTTCCCGGCTTTACAATGGATCAACACTATCCGGTCACCGTCCTCAGATAAATATCGATGGATGGTTTTCACAATCTTCACAAACATCACGAACGGTGGGGGTTGGTGGTCGGGAAACGGATGGTGCACCACATTGCCAAATACCTGACAATCTTCGTACTGGCTAGGCTCCTGTTGAAGGTTGACAATTAACCATTTATTGGGGTGATTGAAATTAAGATACTTGATCAATTCATTAAGCGAGTTTTTGTACCATATCGACGGTAACTTGCCAGTACTCACCGGCTCGGAACACACTAATATTTGTGACGTGATTTGTGAAATATCTAGTTGATTGTAGGAAGAAAAAGCTTGTGGTAATGATTGGTTTTGGATCGAATGAAGAGTTCGAAGAATAGAGGTGATTGTCATTTTTTTTTTTTTTTTTTTTAGAATATGGTATCTCTCTCTGTCTGGGAAATGATGAATTTGTGACTTCTTGTTTTTTGGTATTGATGTGATTTTATTTTCTATTATTACTGATTCTTTTTTTTTTTTTCTTTATGTTAATGATTTATATTTCAATTAGTTATTAGCACATAATTCATAAATATATATATATATATATATATATGTATTATCAAGGTATTTTTTGTTTTATGTATTGTGGAGGCTGAGGTTGTTGGAAATCTTCCATCGTGCATAAAAAGTTTGTGACACAAAATCAGACGAGAATAAACTAACCAACTAACTGACTAACTGATATATAATATTTCTTATTATGACATGAACCTATTTCCCTGAAAAATTATCCAGCATGAATAGAAGTTCATATCAACTTATTTCACCGAAAAGAAAACATCTAGCTAAACAGAAACCATTCAAATAAATGAATAAATAAATAAATAAATAAATAAATAAATAAATAAATAAATAAATAAATAAATAAATAAATAAATAAATAAATAAATAAATAAATAAATAAATAAATAAATAAATAAATAAATAAATAAATAAATAAATAAATAAATAAATAAATAAATAAATAAATAAATAAATAAATAAATAAATAAATAAATAAATGAATAAATAAATAAATAAATAAATAAATAAATAAATAAATAAATAAATAAATAAATAAATAAATAAATAAATAAATAAATAAATAAATAAATAAATAAATAAATAAATAAATAAATAAATAAATAAATCCCACTTCAAAAATTGAATTCTTTCCTAAACTGATCCAAATTCATATTTGGCTCAACTTTATCCAACAAATCATGTCTTTCCATCGAAAGAAAAACCCTCTTCAAACTCTCTAGCAAACTATTACTCTGGTTATTATCGATATTAAATATCTCTCCATCTTGGATATCTTTCCCTCCTTCAACTTTATGTAAACTTAGCCCTGCCAATAAATGCTCTGCCGCCTCTTTATAACAGCCAATATTAATACACGACACCCCCAAATTGTACCGAGCTCTTACAAAACTTGGTTTAAGTTGTAACGCCCGGTAATACGCATTGATCGCTTCTTCTGACCGGTTGGAATTGGCCAACGCGGCTCCTAATCTATTCCAAAGAATTTCATCGTTCGGCTGGATTCTCAACGCAGTTTGGAAACAATCAATGGTCTTATTGAAATCACCAGTGGCGTAGAAAAGCGCCCCCAATCCTAATTGAAGATCAGCGTCGTTTCCTGCTGTCGCGGGATCGGCCCTAATAATCGACAAAAATGTCTCTGTCAACGAAGCAAATCTGTCAAGGTAATGGAAATGCATCCCGGTTTCTGAATTCTCGGTTTCTTTAGTTTGGTCTATTTGTTTGAAAATCGCTGCCGATTGAGGGTATTTGGTGAAGATCCATTGTTTCAAGTTCTCCAGTACCAGGTTATCGTATCCTTCATTGATGTACCCAATGGCTGAATTCATTAATGCCGTCAAATTATGAGGATCCAATTTGAGTACCTGGTTATAGGCAATGATCCCTGGTTTTTCCTTCTCGTTGGCACTTTGAACTTCCCCGAGTTTCAACCAGGCATCGATGTGTTTTGGATCTTTTTGGACCGCGGCTTCAAACGCAAGGGCCGCCTCGCTTAATTTCGCCCCGTTTTCCATCAACTGAAGCCCAATCAGGTATGGATCATCAAGATCAAGGAATTGGTTATTCTCGGTGTCTTCAAATTTATAAACGTCGAATCCAGGATGCATGCTGCTATTACTATTACCCCCGAGAAATCCATTATGGATATTGTCGTAATCAATATCGTCATTTTGTTTCATGTTATTCCAAAGTTCTTCAAAAGTTTCGGACATCCCGTCTTCTTGAGCCTGGGTATTGGACAGGAGGATTTCTTCGACCACTTCTTCTTCTTCTTCTTCTTCTTCGTCGTCGACGACTTGCAATTTTTCTTTGGAGCTGGAGATTTCCTGCTCCACGTCCTTGAAATGATCATCCCAATTGATATTAATATTCTGATTTGAGACTTGGGGGGCTTGACCTCCGACATCCATTCTTGCCATGGCTGAATTGGCAAACATTAACTGATTCATAAACCGGGGTTGATAATGGCCTTGACCAGAGAAATTTTGGGAAATCGCCGCATTGGTCGAGGTTTTTGCTGCCATGGTAACACTAGTAGTCCCCGGTGAGTTGAATTCTTGAGACCAGTTATTACTGGCGGTGGTGGCGGTGGGAGCACCAGTCATTGATCTAGAAGCACCACCACCAGCTGCAATCATCGAGCGTTGGATCGAGGCAAGTTCACGGTTCATCGATTGCATATTTAAAGGCATTGCCATGACATTGGGAGATGTTGCTGTTTCTGTTGTTAAGCCATGGTTATTATCACTGTGGTAGAACTGGTTGAACTTAGTGGCGTCGTTGGCGGACATGGCCCGTTCTTGGGCCATTTGGTTAGGGAAGGAGGAGGAGGAGGAGGAGGAGGAGGGCCCATGAAGGAGCGACGGGCCCTTGTGGAGGGAGGTGTCGGTGTTGATCCCTCTGTTTGCAAACTGGGCGAGGGGGTTCTTGCTAGTCGAGCACTCTGCACCAGAGAACATGGTAACTGTACTTAATTCTGTGCCTGGAGAGTATATCCAAAGAGTATATTATATAACATTATTTGATACCCAGTGATAGTAAAAGTATCCTATCCAAATTAATTTAAAATCTCCGGCTCGCATCGAAAACTTATCAGTCACGGGGGGGGGGGGGGCCGGTGTCCCGGGTGCCAGACCTCCTTTTCTGTCCTCTGTCCGTCCTCGCTCTGAGAGAGAGAGAGAAAGAGAGAGAGAGAGAGAGAGAGAGAGGGTGAGGTGTGCGTGTGGGTGTGGGGGCAGGTCGATCCCGACGGGAGTTTCCTACTACAAAAGAGCCCTCTCTCTCTCTCTTCTCCTCCTCGTCCTCACTCCACCATTAATTGTCTTCCTTCGCTGTTTTCTCCCTATCTTTTCTCCCCCTCCCCCTCCAAACAAACAAACATGTCCTTCAAACGTCTTATCAGATTCGTCTCCACCGACAGCAAGGTGTACTTTGGCGATGCCATCGTGCCTTCCACCACCACCCCGGAAACTTTCGACCCCAGATTCACCAAGGAGGCCCACGTTATTGTCGGCGATGTGTTTTCTTCGTCCTACACCATCACCAACCAGATCAAACCAGTGGCCCAATTGCTTTGTCCCATCGCCCCATCTCAATTGGGAACCGTCCGTCTAATTGGCCTCAATTACTCCAAACACGCCGCGGAACTTGGGTCTCCTAAACCAAAGTTCCCAGTAGGGTTTTACAAGCCTGCCACCGCCGCTGCCGGGCCAAATGACTCAATTATCGTGCCTCGTTTTGCCCAGGTGGTGGGCAACCCAAATGATCCAAAAGATACCAAGCCGCAAGTCGATTACGAAACCGAATTGGTGGTGGTCATTGGGAAAGCCGGGACCAATATCCCAAAGGACAAAGTTTCCGAATATATCCTCGGGTACTCTGTAGGGAACGACGTTTCTCAAAGAACCTGGCAGATTGCTAGAGGCGGGTCGCAGTTCACTACCGGGAAAATGTTCGATACTTGGGCGCCATTTGGCCCAGCGATCGTGTCGCCATCGGTAGTGGGTAACCCCAACGATTTGCAAATCTCGTCGTACGTCAACGGAGAGCTTCGTCAAGATAGTACTACCGGGGACATGATCTTTGACGTTGTCGAGCTAGTGCATTTCTTGAGTCAAGGCACTACTTTGATGCCGGGGGATATCATTTGGACCGGGACCCCTGGTGGGGTGGCTGCGGGAATGAAAGATCCAAAATGGCTACAAGATGGCGACGTTTGTGTTTGTAAGTTGGAGAAAGTGGGTACTGTGCAAAATAAAGTGGTTTTTGAGAAAGACGGGTTCAGGGATTGGAAGTTATGATTGACATGGTCTTTTGTTGTTGTTATTATTATTATTATCATTTATATACATATATTATTACATTACATATCCCTACAACGGTCTAATCAAATGAAACTTGTTAAATAAGCCATAATAAGCCATAATTAATCTCTTTATTATTAAGAGACAATAACGATGTGCTGTCAGTAGATGCCTTTAATGTGGGTGTGTGTTGTGTTATATTGTGTTGTGTGGTGTGGTGTGGTGTCTTTTTGGGAGGGGGGCAGATTATCTGTAATTTTTCATTATCCTTTTTTTTTTTTCACTTTCCTTTGTTCCCTTACGCCCGGGAAGAGTTGTTATTTGACACCACTTAATTATACTTATTAAAGGGCTTTCTTGTGAGAAAAAAAAAAATTAATTTGGAAGAAAAAACAACAACAACAACAACAATAAAACATTAAAGGATAGCCTTTCTCTTGTCGAATAACAATAACTGGACTATCTATCTTGGAAATGACGTCTCAGGATACAAGACGTGAGTATTTATCATCTTTCCTCCTCCTCATCATCGCCATCTCCGCCCCGCACTTTTGTTACTACGGCAATGGCAAGCGACGAGCACCACCACCAATTGCCCATTACCCATTGCCCATTGCCCATTACCCATCTACTAACACAACTTCTAGCCCTACCGTTCGTGTACCAGTTTATTTCTGGGGCCGTTGCCGGAATCAGTGAAATTCTCTTGATGTATCCTCTTGATGTCGTGAAAACTCGTCTTCAACTCCAGGGTCTCTCCTCCAGCCCTGCAAAGGCGGGGGCCGCCACCACCACCACCCACTACACCGGAATCATCGATTGTGTCACCAAGATTGTCAAACTCGAAGGCCCTTCTCATTTATACCGGGGAATTTCCGCCCCAATTATCATGGAGGCTCCTAAGCGGGCTACGAAATTCGCCGCCAATGACGAATACTCCAAACTCATTCCAAAACTCCTCGGTTACCCCCAAATGAACCAACCGTTGGCGATCCTCACCGGGGCCTGTGCTGGGGCCACCGAATCGTTTGTGGTGGTACCGTTTGAATTGGTCAAGATTAGATTACAAGCCCCTGGGGGACCCCGGTACTCTGGTCCATTGGACGTGGTGAAAAGTATTGTCGTCAACGAAGGAGGGATCAAATCTTTATACACCGGATTAGAAGCCACTCTTTGGAGACATGTCATGTGGAACGCCGCGTATTTTGGATCGATCCATCAAATACGCTCGTTGATGCCAAAGTATGAAGGTACTAAAAAAACCATCGCCGATCTTATCAGTGGGAGTATCGGAGGGTGTGTTGGTACCATTTTGAATATTCCATTCGATGTGGTGAAAACCAGAATTCAAAACCAAGTGAAAACTGAAGGAGTCAAACCAAAATACGTGTGGACCTTACCAGGTTTAGCAATCGTGTATCGTGAAGAAGGCCCGAGAGCGTTATTCAAAGGATTATTACCAAAAGTTTTAAGATTGGGACCGGGAGGTGGGGTCTTACTCGTGGTTTTCACCAAAACAATGGATTTTTTCAGAGGATGGCATTATGGAAATGACGAGGTCAAAACAAGAGAAGAAAAGCCTTTCAAATAATCTAATTTTATTTTTGCATTGATGTTTGTTTTGTTCTGTTTTTTTTTTTTTTCGTTTGCCTTTTTTTTGCTTGTTAGTTTCTCCAATAATGCATTTGGCAATACTCTCTTGCTGTTTATTTTGTTCTGAAGTTTTTAATTATCGTCTTGTTCTCTAACGTTGTTTATGATTGGTGGTTGCAATTTCGGTTCTTTATTGTGTATTTTTTCCATTTTTTTGCTAAATTGATGTTGCTAAAAAAATTCTACCATTATTCAATTCTCATGATTCTTTATTATTGGATTGGTTCCATTATTAATTAAAGGAATGTTTCTATTTAGTATGCCTTAAAAAAAAAAAAACCTCCCTAGAACATGTAGCCTTAGAAATGACATGTTATATTATATTATAGTATGATCACAGAGCCGTAGAATATCAACTCAATTATTATTATTATTATTATTATTATTATTATTATTATTATTATTATTATTATTATTATTATTATACAAGCTGGTGGTGGTCTTTATTTGCAAACAGTGGAATTTTAGTGTTGTTTTTTTTTTTGTTTTCTAGGTGAATATTCAATCATATTTATATTTCCCTATGAAATCACAGTTCTATTGTCATGACAAGCTTAGCACTCACCTCACACACTGCTTATAAAAAAAAACCACGGGAGCGTGGCGTTGGGCGTCGCCTCTTATATGCATGCAGCAGATCAATTTTTCCTCAACATGAATCGTCCACAAACTTAGTGGCTCGCCAGTAAAAAGACATTTGGAAAATTCTATAAATGAAAGAAAAGACTGTTTAGTAAGGAAAAAAAAATTAAAATAAAAAAATGGTTGGTTTCGACTCATCAACGAGGCTGTCACAGTTACTTACTTGCATCCATTGCACACATCTTTTCCAACGTTTTTCAACATTTCCTGCCATTTAAACTCCTGAAAATCGGAATTTTTTTAAAAAAAAAAAAAAAAAAAAAAATCACTCTCTATTTTCCAAACTTCTGAATGATGAATTTTCTAGATAAAAGTAATGAGTGTCTATTAAGTTTCTCACAATACCAATAAAAAAAAAAAAAAAAGATTAAAAGGCTCTCACAATTTCGTGTTACTTAGTCTGTCCCAAGTTGAAAAAGAACAGTAAGGAGGAGATCACGACATGAACGGTAATGAAACCAATTACCATGAAGGAGGGGATTTTCCTGATACCACCCAAGATATCTTTGATGATTTTGGAACGATTTCACCATTATTTGATTCCAAGGAAAGCTCAGTGGAGACAATGTTCAGCCTCTTGCCACAATATGAAAATCCCGGAGATGTCACTACTGCTACTTCGAGTTTCGATTTGTTTAAGCTAATGTCACAAAACCATGATGATTTTGATTTTAATAATAATAATAATAATAATAATAATAATAATAATGATTTCTCATATCATCAGAGATTAAATTGTTTGATGTCCGGGAACCCACATGAGATCAATGTTCTTAATGGGAAGTTAAGAAATTTGCCAAAAAATGTTGAGCTTGGAAGTAATGAATTTCCAAGAATTGAAGAGGATCACAATAATTCAGGAGGAATTTTTCCTGCATCAGATGTAAATTTAGAAAGTTGGTTAATGATGGTACCTCAATCTGACCCCTTGTTCCATCAAGGCTTAGAATATCAACTGCCTTCCCATCACCATAGTACAATGGCAGTGAATAATAATAATAATAATAATAATAATAATAATAATAATAATAATAATAAATCATCATCATCAACAACATTATTATCTCAAATGCCATTTGATTTGCAATTTCCCACTACCAATCATTGTTCGTTTCTGAATACACCGCCCCATTTCTCTCCAAGTTTCAATGAAAATTATGAGGAAGTTACAATCTCCAATGATGATCCGTTTCCAAACATAAACTATCTTCTCAGTCCGACTTTTGAACAATTGAAAGAGGAGTTCAGTATCAATGATTATTTACAGAAACTTTCCAAACAAAACCACCATGCCGAACTTTGTGCTAAGCGATACTATTATAATCACCATCTTTTGAATAATAATAATAATAATAATAATAATAATAATAATATTAATAATAATAATCTGACTCCCGCCGATATACCCATTGGTGGAAGCTGGGAGCTTGCTGGTAGGTCTTCGTACCGTGATTTTGTATCGACAATGCATCCAATAAACTTCATCCATAAACGAATTAATCCTCAGAACTTACCCCTCGGAACCATTGAAGCCTCTTTCTTGTCGATCAAGGAACAAATAATCCACGCTTACTGTTATTATGACCCCAGAGAAGAAGAAAGAATCTTTAGGATCGAGGAAACCGATTTCTACGCCATGTTTGTTGCCAAACGGTTTGCCAGTCATTGTAAAGCGGTGTTCCAACATCTTAAATTTTATGAAATTGAAGGAACCATCGATAACGTTCCTTACACCAAATCGATGATCGCCAATGAGATTTTCAGTTATTTCACTTATAAAAAATCTACAAAAAGGGATCCTCCCGAGGTGGCGGCGTTCTATATCTACGATAATACCTCCAGAGCCACCACGTCAAGAATTTTAGGGGTCACGCCAATCGAGGTGTCAATCATCGAGTTGTTGATCGAGCAAACTGCCGAAGATTTGGGGATTTTGATCAATGGTGAAAGAATGCCCCGAACACTGATCGGCGAGGTATCACCGGAGAATGTTAAAAACTTGAAGAAAAAAACCTGGAATAAGAAACCAGATAAGGTGAAGGAAAGATTGTATTCTGTGGCCAAAAAAGTATTCTGGGAAACCTTTGGATTCCAAGGAGCGATACTTGAGTTTTTGGTGAAGAGAATTGCCTCGGGAGTCGCCCAAAACAATTTCAAGAGGAAAGAGAAGAATCGTGGTCAGATTGAAGGTAATACTAACAAAATCTTCAGAAAAAATGTCGTGCATGGAGGTGATCTTCTAGATAATAGAATTGAAACATTACTTAAATTAAGAGAAGCTAAATCGGCCTTGAGAGAGAAAAAAATTGATACCAAAGGTAAAGTTTTAAAGGGTAATTGATGAGTATTATTTTTGGGGGCCTTTTTTTTTTTTTTATATATATATTTCAGAGATCTGGTTAACTTTTGTGGTGTGGGAAAAACTTTTTTTTTTAAAAAAAAGAACTTTAATAATAATTAATAATTAATAATTAATAATTTGAGTTTTTTGTTTTGTTTTTAGTATAGTGTTGGATATATAGTTATATACTGTTATATACTGTTATATAAGTTGAATTATGGATGAGATTTTCATTGTCATATGGTTTTTTGTTTGTTTGTTGCATTATAATTTACTAATTGATTTTTCTTTTTTCTTTTTTTTTTTTTTTTTCTTCAACATAGTTCTAGTTGATCCACTTTGTATTCTCCAATACATCCAATATTCTAGGTATTTCTAATCGGTAATAATTAGAATCCAAAAGCATTGGGAGATCTATTCAATAGCTTAATAACTATTTTCCATTTCCCAAGGATAATTTATGAGTTGGAAGACAAACATGATATTTCTTTCCGGTTAATTTTGTAGTTTGAATACAGCTAAGTTATGTTCCTTGATGACTTTTGGAACCTTGCATCTGATGACGAAACTAAAAATCACAGACCATGTATTAGATCTTGTCAACCAGCTTCAGCGACACTTACTGTTAAGATTTTGGCCTATCTTTCTCTTTCTCTTTCTCGTACACATAGATAATGATATATATCAAGAGTTACAGAGAACGATGCGGACTGAAGGATCTGGCAGATAATGTATATTTGGGATTGCCTGAATTGTAGCAGTGTTATTTCCATATTATCATCCCTGGACCACGTAATTTAATATAATAGCCGCAATTGAGGCTCTAGAGCCATGGAATCATCACTAATATTCCTATTTCCGGGTGCACTCATCTGATGGTGGTAAACGATTAGGGGGCTAGACACGGCGGTTCAATAATAGCTGCTGTGGTTGGATCATACAGTTGTTTAAACCACTGAGAAATCGGGGATACAGTTTACGAGGGATGGCCATAATAATACCTACGATAGCCATAAGTAAAATAAATAGAAACAATTGCAAAAGATCAACAACCATCATCAAATGTTCGTTGAAATAGTGCTTTACGAGACTATTGCGGAGACAACGGATCCGGCACCGATCCGACACATTGGTGATAGGATAGGATAGTCTCTGCACATCATGACGGGGAGATGAGGTCAGGAGGAAGCAAACTTCAATCAGTAAGCCTTCACCACGGGATCTGCTGTGTGACCACCAGAACTGCCGTGTATCGTATATATCTGAAGAACGAACGAACGAACAAACAATCGATCGATCGATCGATCGATAAGTAGGCGAATATCACCGATGCCAATGGCGTGAAAACAACTCGACTGACGCCGGCCGGAGATCCCTGGTTATGAGCGTCGGCTGGGATCGGAGATTTTTAGCCCTGTGCCGTCGTCGTACCCCGGCTATACGACCTAAGCGAGAGCATCAACCATCTCAAAAAGGGAAACGGAATTAACCAACAACGGTATATAAAAGCCTAAGGGGGTTCCGGATTCTTCAGCATACCATTCCCTGTCGTCGTTATTATCTAGAAAACTGTCTTATTCTTTTCAAAATAGGACTTCCCGTTTATTCATTTGATCTTTTCACAATCAGAATACTTAAGTTCTGAAGGTTCCAATATTTTTTTTTTTTTTTTTTTTTTTTTCCATCCCAGAGACTACTAAATCACACCTTTTCGTTTTGTTATTTTTTTTTTCCTCACTTCAAGATCAGTCGATAATTTATTCCATTAAACATTCAGCTATAACTGCCACACACATATAGTATATATATATTGTTTTATATATATATATATATATATATATATACACATATCAATAAGAAAACGGTGTTGCCTGCTTTTTTTGATATCCCAAAATTATCGTCAAATATCATTATACCCAACATCAACCGGTGAACCATGGATATTGTCTTGGAATTTGCGGACTACTTCTTCTTCGACAAGGTATATGCCACCTTGTTCCCTACCACTCTTGCTCAACACTTGCCTGCTGCGGTGTCCAAGAACTTGAGGCTCGGTAATTACTCTTCAAAAGCGTTGGACTTTGCCAACTCTCTCTCGTACGTCCCATCACAATTCTCCAACAATGACGAATTGTACGAGTTGACCAAGAAATATATAGTCGAAAAGGACATCTACGGGTACTTCCCCCATTTCTTACCAGAAAGTGTCGATATGTACTCGTCGGTATTCCCAAGACACCATTTCTTTAGAGAAGCCCTTTCTTTATGGATCATCGGCACCATTTTTGGGTGGATTCTTTATTTACTTGCTGCCTCATTCTCATACCGCTTTATCTTTGATAAAGCAGTGTTCAACCACCCAAGATACTTGAAAAATCAAATGTCTCTTGAAATCAGACACGCCATGGGATCAATCCCTGTCATGGTTTTCTTAACTTTACCATGTTGGCTTGCCGAATTGTCCGGTTACTCTAAATTGTACCTTGGCATTAACGAATCCACCGGAGGCTGGACATCGGTGCTCTTGCAATACCCATTATTTGTGATGTTCACCGATTTCGGGATTTATTGTATCCACAGATGGTTGCACTGGCCAAACGTTTACAAATTGTTCCATAAACCTCACCACAAATGGATCGTCACCACCCCTTACGCTTCCCACGCTTTCCATCCTTTCGACGGCTACGCCCAATCGCTTCCTTATCACATTTACCCAATCTTATTCCCATTGCACAAAGTTTCGTACTTGATTTTGTTCACTTTTGTCAACTTTTGGACCGTGATGATCCACGATGGTGAGTATCTCACCGATGATCCAGTCGTCAACGGGGCCGCTTGCCATACCGTCCACCATTTATACTTCAATTACAATTATGGTCAATTCACCACTTTGTGGGATAGAATCGGTGGCACTTATAGAAAACCAGACCAAAGTTTGTTTGATAAATCAAAAAAGAAGGAAAAGCAAACCTGGGAACTTCAAGTTGAACAATACGAAAAAATTAGAAACGTGGTCGAAGGTAACAATGATTTCAGAGTTTATGGTACCGAAGAAAACTTGGTTAAGAGAAAGTGAATAATAGACAATAGTCACTGAGTACACTTTGCCAAAAAAAAATGAAAAAATTATTCAATTCTAATTGCCCATTATTCGGTTGTATCATCTATCATACATACTATGATATTTACAACGATAATGAATAAATAATAAAAAAAAAAAAAAAAAAAAAGTTATGGTTTTTCCTCTCCTCTTTCCTATATTCCTCTCACCTTTATTATATCTCTCTCACATCACTATCCCTTATAAACTTCTTTTCTTTTTATTTTTCTATTATTAATTTTGTTTTGTTTGTTTTCCTCCTATTATTATTTTTTTTTCTTTCTTCCTCGCTGTTTCTTTTTTTTTTGTGAAACATATTTTCTTTCTGTTTATTATAGTAATCTCCATGGCACACCTCCTAATTACATACAAATGCTACTAATCTGAATTTTTCTTGAATTTCAAAGGTCTTTTATTGTTGATAATTATGAAAAAAAAAAACAAAAAAAAAACGTAGAGCTAGAAGAATGGTCAATCATTAGATGCTCTCATTAGAAAAAAAAAAAAAGAAAAAACGACCATCCAAACAAACAAAGAATGCAGTGCTTGATATCCCACAGTATTTTATTTCCATTAAGGAGAGTCGATGCTAAATATGAAATCATAACTGACAAAATACATTTACCAACCCCTTTAACCATTCAAACCATTAATAATTACACCATCAACTATCTGGAACAAAATATTACAACATATATTCATAGAATAAAGGAAAGCTTAAAATAACAAAATACGGTATAATATATATATATATGTAGGAAAAGAAATTATAAAAAAACAAGAAAAGGAAAGGAAAAGAGGATAACGAAATTAGGCAGTACGAATGATTCCCGCACCAATCAAGATATTAATCTTCTTGAAAATTTCAGGGTTCTTCATGTGTTCTTGCAATGCGGCAGGGTTGTTACTGGCTTGTTGTAAAATGTTCTGCATCACTGGGTCTTGCAAAATCCCTTGAACTTCTGGATCTCTGCTCAATCTTTCTCTGGTTTGCTCTTCAGTTTCCCCATCCAATGGAGCAAATCTTTGACTCATAGCCTTAGAATATATTTGACTGATCTCGTATGCCGACTTGCTATCGTTATGTTTAGCATCAACTTCCTTGGCAGCGTCCAAAGTGGCAATACACGCAGCAAATTCACGCATTGTCAATTGGGCAGTGGCCTTTCTAATAAAAGCCTTCACAAAGTTTGGATCCTTGGCAATGGCAACATCACAGTCCTTGACCGCTTCAGGGAACGACATCAACTTGATGTAAGCAGCAGCTCTGTTAGAATAGCCTCTGGCATCTTCTGGGGCTCTCTTAATCATTTCACCGTAAGCCTTGACAGCATTTGGCCAGTCACCTTTAGTGAAATAATCTCGACCTTCTAATCTGGCTTCTTCAGCCTTTTCTGGGTTGATATATTCTTCAATTTCCTTCTTCTTCAAGAGTTTTTCGGCATTTCTCAACTTGGTCAAGACATCGGCGTTTCTATGTTCGGTTAACGATTTGTCAAAGAATTGGATCGCAAGTTTAAGATCGTCTTTCTTCAAGTAACAGTTACCGATTCTGGCAAATGATTTGGCAATGACTTTGTAGTCGGCTCTAACTTCACGACCCTTGTCAATAGCGGTTTCACAGGTCTTGATAGCAACGTCATAATCGCCTTTTTCAAATTCCGCAGCAGCACGGTTGTTAAGGTATGTGATATCTTCGTGAGTCTCGTATGCTTTATTATATAATTCGATAGCTTCGTCAAATTTACGTTGCTTGTAAAGGGTATTGGCTTCGGCCTTGATCTTATCAGCCTTGGCCCTGGTGTCTTCTTCTGGTTCTTCCATCATTTCAACATCTTCCTCTGGAATTGACTCTTTTGGATCATCGTCCTTAGCCACAGGAGTTGTTTGTTGTTCTGGAGTTGTTTCTGAAGCTGGAGCACTGCTAGCAGCACTTGGGATATCAAATCCTAAAATTACACTCATCACGTCCATCATTCTTGGATCGCTCAACATTTCTTGCGGATCCAATCTCGATGGGTCATTTGACAGCATCATTCTTTGGATCTTTGCCACGAATGTTGGATCACTCATATGGTTTCTGGTCTTTGGGTTGGTCATCAATTTGCCAATCAAGTTTGGATCAGCCAAAGGGGAAGTGGCATTGGCACCGACAGATCTTGTTGATTCAACTTGTTTCAAACCTTCTTTAGCCATAGCATTGGCCGGGTCCAATGAGAGGGCCTTCTTATAAGCAGCATCGGCATCATCGAGTTTATTTAACCCCAATTCGGCGGCAGCAACTCTGTTGTAACCTTTAGCCCAAGTTGGGTTGATTTTGACACATTCTTCAGCATCACTCAAGGCCTTGGAGTATTCTCTCATCGAAGTATAACAGGCAGAACGATTGGAGTATAAAACATGGTTTGGGGTAGAAGAAACATTTATGGCCTTGGTGAAATATTGGACGGCAGTGGCAAAATCTTTACCTGAAAATGCCTTGTTACCCAAAGCCTTCAATTCATCAGCGGTAGACATGATTCGAATTCAATAACTATTTACTATTATTTTTTTTTTGAAACAGATGCCCAATGGATATTAGTTTACTATTATTAAATGTAGCACACACCTATGGATACGATATGCTGGGTGGGTGGGGGAGGAAAAATGGTCAATTATTTTATATTTTTTTTTCTTGTCCTTCCGCACTCAGCGAATTTTCTAGAAATGCGGTCGCACCATCCCTCACAACCATGCATGAAAAGCGCACTACTTCAGGAGGAAGTTACGTGATATATATATGTAAACCAGGGAGGCATCGTTTGTATATATTTATGAGATATATTAACAAGATATATATTCAAATAACTATTGCTGAACAATTGTAACAATTACCTTTTTCCATATAGTTCCAAAGCTTTAGAACAAACACCATACGCACAGGATAGAATAGAAGTTGCAAGAAACACTTTCGAATCCCCAAATACCTTCTTTCTCTTTGTGGACCACGAAAGCTCTATATCTTTATCCTCTGTGTTGACCGTTTCTTCAAATAACCGCTTTCTCTTACGAGATCCAAGAATGTTAGAGTCAGGGGTCAGACAGTGGCTGGGGTGCTTCATATTCCCCCCTTCTTGATCACCCAAAGAGGTTTCAAATGACACCCCTTCTACTAGTGTAGATTCTGATGATGATGAGACCGAAGATTTTTTAAAATCTGTTGATTCTATTTTCTTGAATGTTTTAGCTTTTTCCAAGGCTGTTTTCTTGTGAGTATCGTTTATCATTGCTTTAATATTATTATCTTGCCAAACAATCTCTCTTTTCATCTTTTTTTGCGTGGTTGGTCCTTCCTGTTTGTAAGCTTCCAAGTTCAATTTCTTGCCATATTTTCTTAATTCTTTTAGTTTCTCATCCAGTAATCGATGAACCTTACCAGTTGATAGTGCAATAGTGTCACAGATTATCTTATCGCTCCCATCTCCTGAAAAATCCAAACTGCTGGAACTCTGATGCCCAAAGTTGTACTTTATCTGTGATACTGGTGTAGTTGGTCGGGACATCCAAAATGATTAGAGATAAAGGAAGTCAAATGACGATAAAATGAAAATCAAAATAAATATGTGTTAAAGTATTTATATGAAAACCCCCCTCCCCCTCATTAATAGGAGAGCCTCTTTATATAATGCGGATTTCCTGAAACATGAAAAAAATACAGGTCATTTTTGAAGCCACAATTCAGAATACTCATCTTCTAGTTATAACTTTGTCTTTTTTTTTTTTTTCCTTTTTAATTGATCAAAATAGGAATCTGCCACAAAATCAGGATAGCTTGAGTTTCAAAAAAAATAATGTAAATTATCATTAGACTTCTCGCCTATCCAAGGACACCATCATAGAGTTTGGAAGTTCAAAAACTTGTAACTAGTCTGTTTTACATGTTTCAAAAATTAAATCTGAGATATACTAATTATCATAATACATAATTCAATTAAAGATACAGATTAATAGAATTCATAACAATCATATTCATTAAAACGATCTATTTACAATACCTTGATCACTGAAAGGGGGATGGAGCACGAAGAGCAAAGGATAGAAGAAGAGAAAAAAAAAAGAAAAAGAAAAAGGAATTCGAAGAGCGGAAGATGTGAAGAGAGCTCCAATCAAATCAAAAATAAAGGAATATTCAATTCTCTGGATTTTGTACATTTTGCCATATACACATTATTATTAAAGTCCCTTCAAAGCCCCTCTTTGAAAATAACTTGTTGATCTAAATGAAATCGGTGGTTTTTCTTCTATAAGCATTGCAATCCCTCAACCATTGCTTGTAATCCTTCAAACTGGTGATTTTTTCTCCGTAGAAATCTGGTACTGGATTGGAGAAACTTTGTCTGGAAGCATCGACTCTGTTCTTGATGATGTGCTTCAAGAAGGTGGAGTTCTTTTGTTCGTATAATTTCAACACCCCTTTGTTTTTAGCTTTGAATAATGTGGATCCGACCAAAGGACCAGATAAGAAACCCAAGGCACCACAACTGATTAACGCAACACACATCACAAGAATTGGATCAAATCCATAGATCTGGAATGACAAGTCCATCTCAAGTTGTGAAACATAGGCAAGACCAACGGAGGCCCCGATCCAGGCAGTGAAAATAGATGAGACCATATTGATACGGCGCTCTTGCTTTCTAAGTTTGAGAAATTCGTTCCATTTCAATTGTGGTTTAGCAGCACTGACAGATTCTTGGAGACGAACAGTGCTACGAGAAAAGTTTCTTCTAGCAATGCTATTGATGGTGTTGATACGGGCAAAAGTAGCGCGGGAGATGATACCAGTGCTTCTGAAGCCAGTAAGGCCCACAAAACGGCTGAACATGGTGATTTATTATTTGATGAGGCTAACTTAAGATAATGATAATATATAACATCCACCCACCTTAATTTTTTTTTTTTTTTTCTCCGTGTGAAAAATAATCTGGTTGCGCTTACCCGCAATAATAAAAGACCCGGCATGCATGTGGGTTCTTCACAAGTATACTAGTTTTATCCAAGTATTTCTTGGAAGTATTTCATATAGTTGAAGGCTTAGCGACCGTTGATAACAATATACAGCTCATAAACAAGTTATAACATCTTTGAAGACAGTTCATACCCTAACTGCTCGAACTGATCCTTACTTTTGCAACACTACCACGATACTTCAACAAGTAGAAGGTTAGAAACTTCTTCCCATTTATACTAGTACTCTACCTCTATGGATAAACAAATATAGGAATCCATACCTAACTTATTCTTTGCTAAAATCATACATACTGTTGCTGAGCAAGTAATATTTTGTAAGCAATTTGTTTTTTGTTTTTTTTTTTAGAACGTAGCAAACATTTTTTTTCTGAACTATTGCTGCAATTATTGGATTTGCTCATCTAGTATGATTCTAGTGGAATCGGTGTGTCCTCTCACTGCTGCTGTTGTTTTTGTGACTAGTGGTGCAGCATAATCAAGGATGTTTGAAACTGCCCAATTTTCCAAGATATATTTACACCTTGAAGGTGTTTGTAAAAATTGTTACTAATACAGATTGATTAGAGTGTATTTTATATAATCATATAAATGACGACACTTTTCTCAAAATCCTGTTGGAATTGGGATTTTTCTGAATCCTTGATTGACAAATGAAAACAAACAAACAGATAAGGCAATAGAAAAGTGGAAAAAAAAAAAAAAGGCAAAGCAAAGCAAAACAAAACAAAACAAACATGTTTCATTAATAAAGCATGAGTTTATTTCATTTGGATATGTCATTAATATGATAATTTTAAAGTAAGGGACTTTTCACTGCTCGCTACCAGCAGTGTCTTGCTGGTAACGATCCGCGATATCCCCCAAATGTGAAACTTTCGCCAACATGAAACGATCGCCAGCATGCATAAAAAGATTTTATGATCTTTCAACAGCGAGGTACAACAAAAAATAATGGATTGTTTTATTATGATACACTGAATATCCACTACTGCTACCCTGTTACCGTAAGATTAAAACTCTCCAAAGCAAGCTAGAATATGGGAATATGACCCTCCTTATTTTTTTCCGTTGACAGATACCCTTTGTGCTACATTTGGTGATCGAAAATATATTTAAACCAACATAGATCCTTCAATATTTCGCACTGAATACATGAACATATATGTCAGTGTGGCTTTTAATCATAATAGAAGCATTCTATTCAAAGAAAAATAAAATATAAATAAAAAATAAATCAACTTTTCCAATGTCTGTGTTGCAAGATACCACTTCCGTGCTCAATATCCAAATAGATCGTAACCAGTCAAAGACTTTCACAAGTCTCAAGTGCAGGGTCCTCAGATTGCAAAAAACTTGTATTATCGAATTAGTTAAGCTTAGCTCTTTCCAAAACTGGGTTACGTTGGTAGCTACTGCCAATGAAGTGGCGGTCATTCAACGTATCTCGAAATTGTTTGAACAACGAGAACAGTTGATCAAATCTTTGCTAAGAATGAAACAGTTTCCAGACCACGATGTTGACGAAGAAACTGAATATTTCAGAGATCAGCAAATTCAAAAATTAATGGCACAGCTTGATCAAGACAACCAAGATTTCGCATTATTCAAAAGCTTGATCACTTTAGAACGTAATGCTTTAAAGGAAAAATACTTTAGATCACAACATGGAATTGACACAAAGGTACCAACATCGAAATCACCTTCATATTACTCTTGCTCATCGTCATCATCATTATCATCCTCCTCTTCACCGCAAACATTTTCGCCATTATCCACACCCTCACAGCGTCAACTACAAAAAGAACCTACTTGTTCATCACCCGAAAGTTTGTTAATGATGTCACCAGAATTAGGAAACCCATTCACACTAGATACTGGCGATAATGCATCTGAAAAGACTGTGTCCCCGATACTTGGTCAATATTATGATGAGAAATCGAGTTTCTCTACTTCCTCATCACCGTTCCTTAGCAATTCTTCAACTCCATTCATATCCCCTAGACCAGCCAAGCATATATCATCAATAAGAGCACGTTCTCATAAACAAGAAAAAGTGGTTTTGAGAAAAAGTAATAGAAAGTGGTGGCGTAAACCAAGCTCTAGATTTTTGATCCTTTTTATATTTTTGTTCATTGGAGGGCTATATTTATTTGCTTTAGCATGTGATAATTATGTGACTATTCCGAGAGTAGAATCTGTTATGAATCCTGAGTTGAAAAGCAAGCAATCTTCTAGTTCTGAAGGCAAGAGTTCTAAAGCCCGTCCTCTTCTCAGATAATGGATATTGTGACAAAGTATTGTTTCTTCCGATTATCCCCCCCTCTCCTTATTTATACACCTATAATATCGATAGATTTATTTCCTAGTAATGCCATTATTCAGAGTTGTAAGTATTCACTGGTAAGTCTATTTATTAAATAGATTAATTACATTAAATACCTCCCCATCATGTTGGGAGTATTACCGCATATAAAAACTACGGTGCCCCGTTAGCCAAAAAAAAAAAAAAGACAACTGCAATCATTGAATTGGGTGTGCCACCAATTACACCCAATCATCTCATTAGCAACAGTTAATATTCTACTTCAGATTCGAATTCTTTTCAAAATTCAACTGTGATTTGCGGTCCCCAAATACAATAATAATAATAATTAAAAAGAGACCACACACAAGTATAAACATAATCCCCTTCTTTTGCTTATAAATGGTATAAATATGGTATCACCAGAGACAAAAGAGACACTTGAAAACTTAGGAAAGGTGGTTTTCACCGCAACCCTCCTAATTGGGGTTATTCTATACTCAATAGGTCCGGTACTCAACCGATTCTTCTTTGTGCCATCGCTTCATTACAAGCAGAAGATTATTAAAGTGATTAAGAGCAACAAAGCCACGAAAAGACTCAGTAAGAAACGTCTTGGGGTGAAGCTTGGGGCTTATAGACGTCGAATTTTGTTTGGTGCTAAGAATCCATCTGCTTATTCTACTAATGACACCGATTACAATTTCATCAGGTTGCAAGATGAAGACATTAAAGATGAAGCGACTTACAATGAGTTCTTCGGCGAAATGAGTGCCAGAAGAGTTGACGATGATGATAGAAAGCTCATTTTTGGTTTCTTCCATCCGTATTGTAATGCTGGTGGCGGTGGGGAAAGGGTTCTTTGGCAAGCGGTTTATCAGACATTGAAGCTATCTAGCCGTCATATTGCTGTGATTTATACCGCAGACACCAAGGATGCCACGCCAGAAGAAATAATTGCCAATGTTTCAAAAAGATTCAATTTGAAATTACAAACTTCTAGAGTGGTATTCATTTATCTCAATAATCGTCGATTTGTCGATGGCAACTATTGGAAGCGGTTTACTTTGTTGGGTCAAGCGCTCGGATCGATCATTTTGTCTCTCGAAGCTTGTCTTGCGCTTCCTCCTGATGTTTGGGTCGATACTATGGGGTACCCATTTGCTTATCCAATTATTAGCTATCTATTGAAAATTCCAATCTTATCGTATACACACTTCCCGGTAATTCAGCTGGACATGTTGCATAAGCTTGTGGTTCAATTGCGAGGCTCATCAGGAACTGTCAGCAAATTGAAGATCATTGGTAAATGGATTTACTGGAGAATTTTCATCACCGTTTATTCTCTTGTCGGATACTTTATTGATGTTCCTTTGTGTAATGGGACTTGGACTTACAACCATTTAAACAAAATTTGGTGGGCTATTAATGGGGAATCAAAGAATGAACATCAAGTGAGAATGAAAATTTTATATCCACCCTGCTCTACGGAAACTTTAGTCGATGGTCAAGACAAGGAAATTGAAAATGAAGATGGAGTTTTATGCTTGTCTGAAGACGACGAAAGTAGTGAAAGACAAGATATCTTTTTATGTTTGGCACAATTCAGACCGGAAAAAAGACATTCGATTATCATTAAAGAGTTTTCGAAATTCATTAAAAGTTACAAAGGTGATGGAGAACCTAAGCTAGTTTTAATCGGGTCGATTCGTGATGACAGAGATCGTGAATTTGTGCAAACACTCAGAGCTCTAGCATCATCATTGGGACTCGATGAACATGTCGAATTTATTCTTGATGCTCCGTTTGAAACGGTGAAGGAATATTTCCAAAAAAGTTCTTTTGGTATCAATGCTATGTGGAATGAACATTTTGGAATTGCGGTGGTAGAAACAATGGCATCCGGGCTTATCCCAATTAGCCATGCCAGTGCTGGACCATATTTGGACATTGCTGTTCCATGGGATTATAAAAAAAGTTGTCAGTTGAAGATCAGCGAAACCAACGATAGTAATCGTACAGGGTTTTTCTTCAAGAGTAGCGAAGATCCTGATTTTGAGACCCAAGGGGAATTCAAAGAATTGCACCAATGTTTCAGCGAGGCAATGGGATTATCCAATGAAGAAGCAATGGGTATGAGAACTCGCGGTAAGGCATGTGTTTTAAATAAGTTCAGCAATGCGAAATTTGATGGGCAATGGAGTGAATATGTGGAAGTATTGAAAAACTATGATGTGTATTACAGAGAACGGAAAGGGAAAGTTGAGCAACTCTATTAATATTGTTATTACACTTGTGGTCTCTTTTTTTTTTTACATTTCTGTGATGTAGCTGTTTTCTATTTTTTCTATCGTTATTTGAGATGGTGTGTTAATTGAAGTTTTGTGTAATATTAATTATTGTAGTTATCAGTTTTTGAGTCATTGGTGATAAAGCGGACCCCGTTGTGTACATACACAGATGATAATTATTTGGGGAGATGATCGATATGGATTGTGCTCTATATTATATACCCAATATTACAATACCCAATGATCATAGTAACTATAGCAATCACCATACGGGATAATATCATATATACATACATACGTGATAACAGAGGATATAATCTAGTATGACTCTCTCCCCCAGAATCACCCGGCCCCTTCCCCCACAACCCGGGCAAAAACCACAAATAAAAAGAAAAACGAGCCAATTTTTTTTTTTTTTTTTCTGGGGCATCTTCGCTTCTTGTTTCATGCTGTTGTTGTTGTTGATCCGCCACCGTCAAGCTTTCTCTTCTATCGCTACTCATAACAACGTCTTGCTCGCGTGTCATCACCTATCCAGCTACAACAATCACTGCTATAGTCATCTCCGCACAATGTCTTCTACCGCCCAGCGCCTCGGCCAAATCTCTGGGATCTTGAACGCTACCCAATCAGCTTCATCCTCGTTGGTGCTCCCAGCCAAGCCATACAAGGTCTGTGTCATCGGATCTGGTAACTGGGGTACTACTATTGCCAAGGTGGTTGCCGAAAGCACTGCCGAAAACCCAAAGCTTTTTGCTCCTTTGGTCCATATGTGGGTGTTTGAAGAAAAAATCAACGGTCGTAAATTAACCGAGATCATCAACACCGAGCACGAGAACGTCAAGTACTTGCCAAACATCAAGTTGCCTGTCAATGTCGTTGCCGAACCAAGCATCGTCGAAACCGTCAAGGGTGCCGACATCATTGTTTTCAACATTCCTCATCAATTCTTGGGTAACGTCTGCAAACAATTGAAAGGTAAGGTCCCACCTACTGCCCGTGCGATTTCTTGTTTGAAAGGGTTGGATGTCACCCCTCAAGGTTGTAAATTGTTGAGTTCATACATCACTGATAACTTGGGAATTTACTGTGGTGCCCTTTCCGGGGCCAACTTGGCTCCAGAAGTCGCCAAACAAAAATGGTCTGAAACTACCGTGGCTTACAATGAACCAAGCGACTTCCGTGGACCAGGCAAAGATGTCGATAAGTCTGTGTTGAAGAAGCTTTTCCACCGTCCATACTTCCACGTGAGAGTTGTCGCTGACGTTGCTGGTGTTTCCCTTGCTGGTGCCTTGAAGAACGTTGTCGCCATGGCTGCCGGTTTCGTCGAAGGGTTAGGCTGGGGTGATAATGCCAAATCTGCGATTATGAGAATTGGGCTTATCGAAATTGTCCAATTTGCCCAAAAGTATTTCCCAGATTCCGACCCAAAAACTTTTACCGAAGAATCTGCCGGGGTTGCTGATTTGATCACCACCTGTTCTGGGGGAAGAAACGTTAGAGTTGGTAAATTCATGGCAGAGACCGGTGCTTCTGCCGTCGAAGCTGAAAAGAAATTGTTGAATGGTCAATCTTCCCAAGGTATTGTTACTACCAAGGAAGTTCACGATTTGTTGGCCAACGACAATGCCACTCATGAATTCCCATTGTTTGAGTCTACTTATCAAATCATTTACAATGGCTTGCCAATGGAAAAGTTGCCATCTTTGTTGGAAAAGCTCGGAGACAGTTAGGATGATTATCATCTTGTCTATAGAGATTGATTAACAAGATAGATATATTAATATATTACAATGTTTGAGTCATTTTGATTATTTTTGAGTTAATGTAAATTCTATTTTTTTATTTAGTTTTTCATTTTTTAATGGTATATTTGAAAAAAAAAAAGTTGTAAATATCAAGTGGTACAGAAGTCCCAGACTCGTTTAACAGGAAGGGAACTCTCACTTGTTTAAAGTCAGTAATGCTCCAATATATGAAATTTTGGGTTGTAGTTGGCTTGTTTATAAAATACACAAAAGTTTCCTGCTTATTTACTATTGTGTAGCATGGAGAAATTTCCTGAGCTTGCATACACTACTAACATGATTTTCTTCGCTTATCTATTAAATGCGTACATCTTGGACTTCAAAACAAGGAAATTTGATTCAATTCTCTTTTTTTTTTTTTCCTTGTCAGAGTATTCTGCATTTAAACGGAGTATTGGTTACAATAGGCTATAAGCGAGTCAATTATGCTGTATCACTCACATACTCCGTCAAGCAATTTCCTTAATCTTTCAACATCACCAATTAAAAGTAAATAACAAAGAGAGAGAGAGAGAGAGAGAGAGAGAGAGAAAATAGATGAAAAAGAAAAAAGAAAAAAGAGAATTGTCATTTGAAACAAATTGGAAAGAATTGCGAGGAAACAGGAATGAATCAACTGGGTCTAACTAGTGCGAGATCAGCTGTACGCTAAAGAGGGTTGGAAGATCGTACCCCGAAAAGATTCACGTTGATAATCTCGAAGTCGCCTCAAATCAGACCCTGATGGCACCATAGGGGTAGTATCGCTTCTGGTCGAGAAAAAGGATTTTGTGGTTTTTTTAAGGAAATCCCCCACTTATCGATCTGTCAACAACCGCATACTGGCAAAAACCTGTCAAAAATCACAATAAATTTCCTATTGTTGATAAGAAGAAGAAAAAAAAAATGTCATCCATCACCATCAATGGGCAAAAATACAATGAAATCCCACCATTGGCAACGGATAAACTAAATAAAATAAAATATAGACGATTATGATGAGGGATGGAACCACCGATCAACAAATATTATCCAAATATAATTGGCAGGATACAGTCCCGCCGCTCCTCCCACATTGAGACACTCTGTCGCCTCATTTAAGGGAAACCGCCTCATTTCACCCATCATGTTATAAAGAATCAACAAAATCGCATCAACAAATAAAGGAGAGAAAATAAAATGAAGTACTCCCGGTTATCACCAATTTCCACAGTAAAAATACTAGAAGAATGCCCGAAAAACCAACACGAAGCGCCCTAAGTCCTCTTTCCAAACTTGTCAAACATCCACTGTCAGTGCCATTCTTCCCACTGCCACCAAAATTCTCAAAGACCAGAGGCTCATCGCCTTTGACGATATTCACTGCACATTCTAACAAATCCCAAAAGCCCCTGAACAGCTTCTTCCTGTCGAATGGCAACAAAAGGTCCTTCTCTTCTTCTTCCTCCTCTTCCTCCTCCTCTTTCTCTTCGTCGTCTCCGTCATCTCCTTTAGCATCTAGTCCAAGTGATATTGTGAAGCGTCACTCCATCTCTTCAACTTCATCTCTGACTACCACCTCTTCTTCATTATCGTCGTCCAAAAATAAGTCGTCCTCAAAACACCCAAAATATCGTAAACCAAGCCATCGCCGGTCAATCGTTGGCTCTAATTGTGCCCTTTGTGCTGATAAATTTCAAGTATCACTTGCAGCCACCGAGACAAAAATCATCGAATTAACATGTGGCCATGATTGCCATTGGGATTGCTTTTTGGGCCACATGGACCGTCAAAATATTAATCAATTCCCTCATTGCATGACTTGTGGCAAGGTTGTTAGACCAGCAAATAGTCAAGATTTGGAGGCAATCTTGGAACTGGCATTGTCAAGAGGTGGCAATGAGTTCATGTACCCATTAATGCCAGTGTATGATGCCTCATTAGGTTCAGAGATATTGATATCCCCAACTTACTTAGAAGACAAATCTTTGGTAACCCCAATAACTGCTTCGACCATTAAATCATCCTTTAGTGATAAGGTATTCAATGGGCAACAACTGCTGGCCGACGAATATTTGCAAAACCCCTTCTTATCGTCCCCAGAAATCGGTATCAATATTGAAGAAGAGCTACCACAAGTTGAACCAAGAGGCTTAGTTAGTCATGATGAGCAACTTATCGATGAAATGACAAAGCCAAAAATCACCATTATTCCCGAATATTCAACATTGGTCCTCAATGAATCCACAAAAAAACATGAATTGCCATGCGTTTTGAATATTCAATTGAATGAACACTGTTTACCCAATGATTTGCAACAGGATGAAATCGAAGTGGAACATGAGAACCATAAAGTATTATCCAATTGGGTTATACAAAATATGCTTGGCAAACTTGACAACTTTGCCAATTTCAATATCACGCCTTGCAAAGTTAAAGAAGACGCTTTTTTAATCACTGAAAATTATCAAGAAAATCAAGAAATTAATGATGAAAAACTGAAAGTTGATGATGATGATGATGATGATGATGGTGACATGCTTGTGATGTTCGACGTTCTTCAAGTGGAAGAAGCTGGCGATTGGGAAATCTATCAATTCTACCTTTTTGATAAAGGTAAGCTTTTGCTCGTTGATGCTTCTAAGAATATGGTATGCGGAAATATCAAGTACAAGTCTGATTTGACCTCAATAACCAAGCAAGACGTGAATACCTTGATCCTCCGATTCTCGAGCTTGGAACTTCCTGAGCTCAAGATCAAGTCATCGGATAGACTCATCATTAGAAAATGGGAGAATTACCTCAACTATCAAATCAACAACAGTAAAAGTTCCATTGGATTGAAATCCAATAATTGCTTGACATCCAAGATGACTCCATTCGTCCCTTTGATTCAAATGACCACAAATGCCTGGGGACTAATTGATCGACGCTTCATTCCCGAAGAAGTTAAGCACATGAACGATTTGCTTGCCAATTCCATGGAATTACCTTTACCTTTATTGAAAAAACTTATCCCGAGTCCTGATGCGCCTCCTATTAGATTGATAATGTGCATTTCCCTCATTAATAAACAGTTTCCCAAGATATCTAATGAGTGCTATATGAATCAAATCAAGGAAGTTGTCAAAGATGCAATTACTCATCTAAATCCAGCCTGTGATAAATTCGGATTTGTTTATATCCTGAAACAGGTAGATAATAAGACCATCAAGAAGATTCTGAGTTATATCACTGGTATTTCTGATTGGGAGTCAATGGAAAAACAATTTAACTATTTGCAAATCTACGATGATGATCCAGACCAACAAATAAATAATCTTGAAGAGCAAGTATTATATCTAGATGCTTCAGAAAGACTTCTTGAATTCTGGGGTGACTGTGAATATGATCCAACCAAACCTGATTATGAAAACTTCCAGTATGTGAAGAAGCTTCTCATGATAACTGATGGGTATGAGGATGCTAAAACCGGCAATTATAATATGCAGAGTTATCAAGACAAAGTATATAACAAAATGTTAGGCAAACTTCTTAAAAGAATCATCAGAAGTTTCAAATTTTCGATCCATGCCCATCTTTCACAAAGCAAGATTGATCATTATACCATTAGATTTCTTCAGTGTTTGATCAGTGAAAATTATCACACTTTTGGGCTGAATTTTACTAGGATTGGGTCAATCAATGATATTAATATTCCAGATTTGATCATCAATCACTGGAGAAAAGTGGTAGTCCCTTGCCTTCGAGTGAATTTGAAGAGTTTAAAGCCTCAATCTGTTAAGCTTTGCAAAAATGAATTCAAAAACAATCAATTGAATCTTCTTGAATGTCTTTTGGAATCTCCCAATGATATGGCCAATAATGATGCCTGTTTGGTGATGACTGATAATCGGGGTATCATTGATGACGAAGTTGAATATTATGGTAACATCAATGCCCCTTCTTCCAGTGGTTCTGGTTCTATTAGCAGTTATATTATGAATGATAACAGTACTGCTTCGATGTCTACTTTAAATGTTAATAAGGTCCGTCGCTTTAGTTGCAATATTGTTGGTGCAAATTCCTCGCCAAGAACTGATTGTTCGAATATTGGCGGTAAAAATTTAATGTCAAGAGACAGTCTTAGTAGCACCACTAGTAGTAGCAGTGGCCTTCTAACTTCTTTGCTGATTTGTTCCACTCCCCTTCGTACAAACTTCAATCCCCGACTTTTTGGCTCTTCAAGAAGTTATGCAGCAGAAATTGATGCTGTGTCATATTTGGCCAATGATGATGATGAAGAAGAAACAGAGGATGGTAATTCTGAAAAGGAGGAGCTTGATATATTTATAAATGACATTACTCCTGGATATTGCAAAAATATCATCATCAATAGTGTTTTTGATTTCAACCGTCGTTTCAAGCAAATTATCAAATATTCTACCGATGCCACCAGAATCGATGAGCAATTTAGTAATGAGAAAAGTGGCATTAGTGGTATGTTCCTTTGTCCTTTGCTTCAGTACTTTGCATCCTACGCTAATGAAAAACTCGCTCCCCAGGATTTATCGGTGGAAATATGTCTTTCAGGAAAGAAGTACGATGATGATAATGTTTCTGATGAAATTACCTCTCTGTCCCAGTATGCTGCCTCCAGAGACTCGATCCGCAAAAGTGTGAATAGTTTACTTTCTCGTGAATCGTCGCTATTCCGCACATTATCTACAAGAAGGAAACCACTGTCACTTGCTATTAATCAAAATGAATGTGACGAGGATGATGATGATGATGATGATAATGATGATGAATTTGAGCTACCGGTGTTCACAATTCCATTATCTAATGACAGAGACCATCTTTATGCCAAACGTCAAATCCAATTGACAGTAATTTCCACCCTAATTTATCTGTTGAAGTTGATTCTGAGTAAGAATCCTAATGATGCAACCCCTGAAGAAGTCAAAGCCAAAGCAATTGCTGCCAAATCGTTGGTATTAGGATTAACATCAAGTATTTTCGCTATGGGTAAGAACTGCTCCGGTGTGAATCCCGCTGCCGTTAGTGCCATGGATTTTGGACGAACAGCAAGTGGTAAATTTGATGGAGGATTGGTTGAGGAGGAAAAAAATTTGAAGTATATTGAGTATTTGAGTTTTATATTGGGGTTAATTGGTAATCTACTCTTGGAGAAACCAGAAGAGGCATTTGTCAGTTGTTATGAATTGATTTGCGATTTGTGTTTCCAATGATGAAACCAAACAATAATGAAAAAGAATTACCCAAGATGTGCATTGTTAGGGACTGGGAAAAACTATTCAAGAATAATAATTATTAGCCTTTTTCCTTTTTTTTTTTTTTTTCTTCCGAGATCTTTGTGTGATAATAATTTCTTTTTTTTTTTTTTTCTCTTCAAAATATTTAGTTTGATTGATATCATTTATTTCTTATCATTTGCTTGTTTTTTATATGAATCCATAAATTCTTAGTGTTCTTCAACTTGTGATTTCCTTTATCATCGATTAATCCACCAAAGTAAGTATGTAACATATACCACCAGTATTGTTCATTCATTGTCTAATCAATTACTTCTTATCAGATCTTTTCTATATTCCTGACCTTATTCTATAATTAGATCTATCTCCTATTCTCTTATCTTGTTCCCTATCTTATTCCTTATCTTGTAACTACTATTCTATATTCATTATCTATTGAAAGAGGTACTTAACCACCTATTCCTTATGTATTATTTTAATCAAGTTAATATTACAAAGTACAAGACAATAAACACAAAATGTCAAAGACAAGCAGAAGAGAAAATGGCCAGCCAATGAAGAGCTTGGTCTTTCACCTAGGGATTTAACTTCAAAATATTGCTATTGTTTTGTGTGTGTTTCCAGTGTGATTTTTCATCACTGTGCATCAGATATGCATCGAGGGTTAAATCATGACGGTATGATGATCACCAAAAAGCCCAACTTTACCAGAATGTTGGGCTTCTAGAACGAACTTCAGACCCCAAAAATAGAAGGAACAAAAAAAAAAATAAAATTAAATAATAAATATACACTATCATTCATTGACCATTAATTGCAATATATATATATATATGTTATCTGGCATACAGTAATCAACACAGAAGAATAAAGGACAAAAAAGCAAACCCAAGAAACAACCAAGAGAATTAAACCGTTCCAAAAAAAAAAAAAAAGAGAAAAATAATAAAACAAAATAAGAAAATGTATAGAATGTTCTATTCTGAATAAAGGATGTTATAATACAAAAAGGAATGAATGAAAAATAATAATAATAATAATACTAATAGGGAAATAAAGGAAAAGACACCAAGATATAGACCACAAGGTACAGATAGACAGCAGATGACCGACTTCTTTTTGGATTTTTTTCTTTTTTTTTTTTTTTTTAATAAAGCTAATCAAAGAACGATCTCCACAATTCCCTTTTCGGCGGACGTGGTAATAAAACTGGATCTTGTACCTTTTTTAATCGGTAGTTTCACCGCCTCAATACCCCCAGGATAAACATGGGCATATTTGCATTGTGAAATATCAAGGTACTCTAATGGACAACAACCGGATAATAATATATCAACCCCAGCCCTAGTGACACGAATACACCCTTTGATAACCAATTTTTTCAATTTTGTCAACAGCAACAGCAATGAAAGAAGCAGATTATCACTCACGGCATTACCACAAAATGCAAGGCTCAATCTTTCAAGAGATGGGCAACCAAATCTTAATATATCAAGACATGAATCATCTAAAGCACAACAGAATGAAAGATCTAAAACCCTTAATTTCAGGGCGGCGAAGGTTATTGCCAGAATCGCGATTTGGGTTAGAAAAGTACACTCAGACAAGACCAAGGTATGAAGATTAGGAAACCGTTTATAAACCCAGTACTGGAAACCTTGATCAGTGATGGTGGTGCATCGTTGAAGATTAAGGTATTCAAGTCGATCTGCCATAGAATTGGCAATATGATAAATTGAGGTGTCGGTGAGGTTTTTACAATAACTAAGATTGAGACGTTTCAAATTTGGACAGCCAAAAGGTAAAGCAGCACGAAGGCTACTCCCCGGAACCCCCACAAGTCGTTCTATAACTTCATCTCTTACTTTTTTGCAATTCCCAAGATCAATTTCCTCAATTTTACTTCCAACACTAGGTGATGCCACATCCATAATTGACATTGAATTCACGAGCCACACTGATCTCATTCTTAATACTTTCAATTGTCCATTGATTCCAAGCTCATTGATCATATAACTGAATCCTTTGTCTGTTATGTGATAACAGTTGCTAATATCTATCAATTGAGTTCTGGTCCCCACAAAATCAGCAATAGAAATCAAAATGTTATCGGTTATTGCGGTATGGTACACTGACAAATCTAATCTATTAAATAATTCTGGAGTGAAATATAAAATCCGCCTCCAACGTTGGCAAACCCGCCGAAGTTTCATCAGATCTTTGATATCCAAGAGCTTGAAGATCTCAATAAGAATATTATCTGGTAATGATGGGGTGTATCTGAGAAGTGACGATGGGCGACGTCCGTTGCTATTATTGATATAAGAATACTTCAATCGTTTGGTATGTGGCATGTATTTGAAAGGCTGGTGCCTTGGTAGAAAATTCTGACCGGGAAAATTGTTAAGTGAAGGAGTCAAAGGATTTATAGTCGGTGAAGAAAGATTGATAGGATCTCTTTTCAATGATGACAAGCGATCTGATAATTCAAACGCCGACAAACGCCGCTTGTTATTATTATTACTATGCAAAAGTGATTGTCGTCTATAGGCTTTCTGATGGTTAAAAAGACCTGTAGAATCGTGAAACGCAACCGTCGCAATTGAAGATCTTCGCCTTTGGGGTGATGAAAAAATTGAGTCATCACTACTGCCTTCCACCTCGCTCCTGGTTTGCTTGCCACCATAAATATTAGCACTATTGGAAATAAAATTGGAATTCCATTTTATCGACGAGGGCAATGATGAAGTATCGTTGTTAATATTTGTTTGGCTGTGCGCGGAGGTATCCCTAGGTTTCTCAAACTCAAAGTTGAAAGGTGTGTCAAGAGGAGCAATGGAGTTCATTATTCCGTCGCCATCAAATTTTGGAAGGATTGCTGATACTGGAGAAGAAGAAGAGGAGGAGGAGGAGGAGGAAGAACTGGACACAATTGGTGGCGGTGTCAATTCATCTGTTGGAATCTGCAAAGATTTATTAGCATCCAACCGTTTTGCTGCCTCTATTTCGAAACCAGTAAAAATTGACAGATATTTATCACATAATTTCTGAAGCTCATCGCAAGAAAATACCAATAAAGTAACTTCTGTTGCTGCCACAACATTCGCAGTTCGCTGCTTGAAATATTCATAATCCATTGGTAAATTCTTAGTTTCTGCATAATGGTGAACAAACGACATTTCACCAAAATAATCGTATTGATTTAAAGTGGCCAACACTTTTTCAAAACGAGTACCTTTCAATTCACTTCGTTCAAAACGGATCTTTATGGAATCGACAACTTGCACTTTACCCTCCAAGATAAAGTATACCTCTTTGCTGGTATCGTCTTTTCTAAAAATATATTCATTTTGGTTCTTGTGGACTATCGTATTCAGCATTGCGAAATCATAAAGAACATTGAAAGGCACAACATGTGAGATATTAAGTCTCTCAGCTAGGCGTCTTATTGGGATGAAAAGATCGGTCAAAGTATTTTCAGTTTTCGATGCCGGTGATGATAATAAAAGATGGGGGGACTGGGAATTTGGATCTCGTACTTTGATGGTTGAGTTATTTTCAAGATCAATCATACTTGGTAGAATGATAGATTTTTTCCGTTCGCGTTCATTGATAAATATTGCTGGCGGTGCTTCAGGTAATTGCGGTGGTGGTTCGAGCTTCAATTGATTGCTGAGCCGTTTTGCACGCTTATTTTCCTGTAGCGACAACCTTTTCTGGGCTTCATCACGGATGACTCTTTCCACATATGGATGATTTGACAACAAGCTATTTAGTGATTCTCTGGTGATGATTGCCGATAATGATTTTGTCTTTGCCACCACTGTTGCGGTACGAGGTCTTGAGAAGAGTACTCCGATTTCCCCAAAGTATGACCCTGGATGAAGCACGGCATGGACTGTTTCCCCATCAGGAGAAGTGATGGCCACTGTACCTTTCATCAAGATATAAAATGCTTTGGAAGGTTCGCCGGCTCTGACAATATACTGCTGGGGATGATGAGTGACCCACTTGACGTTGGCGGCCAATGCACCATAAAATGACTTTGAAGCACCCTTGAACGCTTCCATGAGAATTGCTATCATTGGAAAGGTTTCGTCGTCTTCTGATGATAGTTTAATTTCGTCATCTTCGGAATAAGCGCTGTTCTTGTCAGGTTTTGTCAAGAAACTCGAATCGGTTATATCATCCATGGAATTTGGGGCTCCTAGACCATTGGAAGTTGCTGAAGAGAGTCTGTGTAATCTTGAACGACTGCTACTCAGAAAAGATTTTGACGCCAATGGCGAGTGTCTTGTTGGGACAAAAGACTTTCTTTGAGATTTGCTATTGTTGGTGCTATGACGTTTCATGGTTGGCACAGGCAGTGACTACTAGGTGCTGGCTTGAATGCTTTGATGATTGGGGCATTAAATGCCAGAGATAATGATTGTCTACCTAAATATTACCACTAATAATAACGATTTGCCGGTTTTATATATAATTGTTAAACTGACACATTCCTTTTTATTATTACTACGGTTTCTATTGTTATTATTGTTTTATCTTTTTTTTTTTTTTTTCCTTCTGGAAATATTTTTCTTTGCTTCCAGAAAAATCCGCCAACTTGTCGAATCCCTCCACCCAAAATAAACCTTCATAATTCCCAGAATTTTACCCTTGGTGGCATGAAATATTAAATAAAAGGAAATTGTGACAACAAAAATAGTTTTATCTGTAAGGCAACCAAAAGACTCATTTAATTATTTCCCAGTATCCATCGACCTGTGACAAGTTGTGTGCAACGCATGGTCCCCCTCCACCCTAACGGCGCTGCTGCTTGACAGCTCAAATAATCAACTAACACATTCCGCAGGATAAGACTCGCCCCTCAAGATCTTTGGTCTATTGAAGTTTACTGGTAATCCGTACTCACTAGAATCTGTTTTGCCTTTTGTATTTTCTCATATTTTTTATCTTTGGATTGTGTAATATAGTGAAATGCCGACTAAATATAGCAGTAGTCTCTTCTGAAAGACGCAAACTACAATTGTACACTCAATAGCTGATTCATATAATTATTGTTAATTCTTTTCTTTTTCCATCATATAAAGTCAGACCTACTAATTAAAATCTCATTCGATATGTGAAGATTCTGATTGGATTTATCTAAACAAATAACTATATAAAAGTGGAATTTGAAAGAAAAAAAAAAAAAAAAATGAGCCAATATAGAAAATACACATCTACATATATAAGAGACAATCATTCAAGTTCTTTTCATAGACCCTGTCAAAGGATGTTCTTTGATGAAAAGATTACAAATAACACTAATAACACACGCAATCAATCCAAACAAAATCGCTGCATGACAACCTCTATCATACGCAGAAAGAATCGCCTGCTTGGCAAACTTTGGAGCTTCTACAAAAGCATAACTTGACAGCCTCATTGCCTGGTCAATTATTTGCCTTAACATTTCCTCGGTGTAGCCTGGTGGAACATTACGCAACTCCTGGAAATTCTTCACCAAGTTACGTTGTAGAGATTCCTCGAAAAACGCGGTAGCGATAGCAACCCCTAGGGTTGACCCGACACTTCTGAACCCATATTGAATCGAGGTAGTCAATGCTTGTTCTTTGTGATCAACCGAGCTGATCATTGCTACTAAAGACACAGTAAGCATTACTGCTGTCCCTAATCCCGGCAAGAAGAGCACTATTAACTCGTACCAATCATTAGAATCTTCTCCAAGCAACCAGACCTGAAATAATCCAACTATCGAGGCTATTCCTGACACCAAGGCAAGCTTATAGTATTTCCCAGTTTTATGCATGTAGTGGCCAGCCATGATCGAACCTGTAGAAACTCCAAGAAAGTTCGAGACAAGTCTTAACCCACTGGCCGAGGCAGTATAACCTTTCACCGATGTCCAAAAGAATGGAGCAAAATAAATCATCGTGAACATGGTCATAGACATGAAAAAACAATTGAAAGAAGACGCAAGCACCGTTTGTTGCTTCAAAAGATGGACTGGGATAACTGGTTCCTTGGCCACTCTCAATTCATATTGATAAAACAAGAATAATCCAAAGATACTTCCTGAAATAAGCAGCAAGAACGTACCACTACCAAATGAAATATCTTTACCACCAATAGACGCCGCCAACATAAACGCGATCAACGAGCTAACCAAAATGAAACTCCCTAATAAGTCAATCTTAGAGAATTTGGTCCAAACATCATGGCCATGCACTCCTAATCCTGGGGATCCTTTTGGTAGATTCAAATAACACAATATCATTGTGCCTGTAAACAAGCAGATTGGAATTTGGAGCAAGAACGCCCATCTCCAAGAACTGAAAAATCCTGCAACGATTCCTCCACTAGCGGCTCCTAATCCATAGGCAATGTTCCCATATCCTTGATACACTCCTCTTTCTCTTAATGGGATAATATCCGACATGGTGATGGTTCCCAAAGTGTTGAATCCCCCGCCTCCGATCCCGGTAATGAATCTTCCAAGCGATAATTGCCAAAATTTCGGCGCTACTCCGCACAAAAGACAACCACCGGCAAACATTACATTACAGATTAATAGCAACCGCTTGCGACCAAAGATATCTGAGAGCTTTCCGAACAATGGTTGGAATGCCAGACAGGAAAGTAAGTACGACGTCGCGATCCATGACACTTGAGGTAATGCATCAAGATCGCTGGCGATGGTGGTCAACAAGGTAGCAACAATAGTAGTATCCAAGGCCCCTAAAAATATTGACACATAGATCGAAAAAAGAATCACTTTTTGACGTCCTGGCAGAAGAACCGGTTCATCAATAATATTAATTTGTGGCTCATCTGGTTGATGATCGATCGATCCATAGTTTCCAATTTGCTCGTCAATTTCTGTGGAGATTTCCGTGGCAACAAGCCCCGGGGATGTAGTGGAAGGATCAAGCAATGGTTGTTGTTGTTGACTCATACTGGCCATGCTGAACCCATTCTTGACAATAAATTGAGTCAGGCCAAAAAAAAAAAAAAAAAAAAATCATTCACGGAAAGCGGCCGTCACGGCCGTGTCGGTATCACTGGACAATGTCCCCTCATCATAAGTAACGGTTTGGATTTCCCTATCTTATTGTATTGGTAACCTTCAATCATACTTGAATTATTCATGAATTCTAGGATGTGCAATACATTTTTTTTTCCAGTTATCCGAGCAAGTTATTGATGATTTTCACCAAATACATGGGGCTTGTTGACATAGTATTCTTGAGACTTCTTTCTAGTTGAAATTAATATTCTCTTATTAAAGTGTATAGCAAAAACCTTAATTATTATGTATATAGAAAGAGGTGGCGAATGTTAGTTGAAATCGGTCTTTTGAGTTCCTTGCCGTCACCGACTTTCAGCGGATCTCCTATTACGGTTGCTGCATGTTGAAATATTCCTAATATGCATTCTTCACGTGCCAAAATGTGTCAACTGTTATCAGGACCACTGGCAGTGATACCCACACAGAGATTGAGATGATAAACAAGACATGAAGATACTGGGATAATCAGTATTTTAACAAAAAGAAATAAAAATAAATTCAAGTTGACAGGGAGAAAGTAGCTTGTAAGAAAAAAGAAGAATTAAAATTCGTAAAGGACACAAAAGATTAGTTAGGAAAGAAAAATGTCGTTTTTTGATTTTTGATAAGGTGAAGAGATTTTTCAATTTTTTTTTTTTTTTTTTTTAAAAAAGCTGGCAGATCTTTGGGGTTGTGTAAATTATCTTTTAGGCTCTTATAATATGATTTAAAGTAAGCTGAGAGCAAAACGAAAATCCATCAACATCTTTTGGAAACACCAAGCACCGTTAACTTATGAGAACAAAGATGAAATATCGGGAGATTATAATAAGTGTATACATCACCACATCACCACTGGGAACTAGTGATTACATTTGGCATAATCATGAATAACCATGGACAGTAGTAAAGATATTATTGGTACAAGATTAGGAACTAAGGCATGGCTATAAGATAGTAGTAACAGTAAGCAAGAACGTGACGAGGAGACAAATAGTTGTACAAAATGATCTAATTTAATAATAAAATAACACATGAGATGGCATAAAACAATAAGATACAAAATAATTTCACACAAGGGATTAAGGAGGGAAAGAGGAAAACAATTAGACGATGCCGGAATAACCCATGATTTGGGAAAAATTGAACATGGTTGTGGCAATTTGGTATACTTTGAAAAAAATTGCGATGGAATATAAAAAGAGAAACAAAGAAAAATCAACATCCTCATCACAACAGTACAACAGGACTAAGGAAACAAGGAAAGTAACAGGCCAATGAAAACCGGTAGACCAGTTTACATTTCATCTAAACAGTAATTACTGGCAAAACAAAAATCAATTCAAGCATCCAAACTTCCTCCGGATACTACAGCAACTTTCGTCGCAATTCTTCTTCCATGTGCAGTATTTCTCACAGTTGGTAACAACGGGCGAATCAAATCTGCTAATTGATTGAATTTCGTTGGTTTTTCAGCTACATCAAGAACAGTTTGCAACACATAATTTCCATATGGGTCATGGAGAAGCTTTGAAAGGAAAATGTTTTGAGTCACCATAAAGGAATCCGGTGAAGTAATGTCACCATCAGTAGTAATCATTGTATTGGTGGTTGGTCCAGTACTTGAGCTCTTCAAAATTTCTTCAATAACCAATGAGCTCAACCCGTCAATACGTAACACTTTTTCAATAACATTACTACCGAATTTATGGGTTGACAAAAATAAGACTTTCTGTAAGACTGATTCCACAATAATGCCGATACTTTCTTCTTCACCCTTTGACAAAACGTATTGCACCACATAGTTACCAAATGGATCAACCGCAAGATTAAGACAGTTACGGGCAATCACAAGTGACAATTGCTTGCATTGATCCAAAGACCCGTAGTCCAAGCAGCGTTGTAACACACAACACCCGTGTCTATGAGTAGAAATCTTGATGCAATGTTCACAAGCAGCATCAAAAATAAATTGAATATTTTCTGGTCGGTAATTGAATTTTGTCAAGATCTTTTGTACCACATGATTACCGTTCAAATCACGAGATAAAGAAACAATATCATTAGCAAAAGCATCAATGATGATCAAATTTTCTTCTTGAGTAGAAATCACATCAATCAATTTCTGCAATGCTCTGGTACCATGTGAATCTAAGGCAATAGAAATGAAATTAGAAGACAGGTTTTTAATCAAGGTGATACGTTGCTTTGTGGTGATTTGGTCAAGCAACTTTTGAATCAAATAATTTCCAAACTGGTCAGTCATCAATTCAACAATATGAAGATAAATTTCATTGAAAATAATCGTGGCAGCATAATTTTCTGGGCGGCTCTTAGTACCACTAGCAGCATCGTTGGAATCACTGGATTGATTGTTATTGTGACTATTAGAATTCACATCATATAGATCTAATTGTCTTTGCAAAAATCTACATCCATGCTGATCTTTGCACAATGAATAAACTTGACCCTTAAAATCGTCAATAGTGACACTGACAAATCTGGATCCATCATCACCATTTCCGGATCTTTTTCTATTTCCATTATTGGAATTAGCTTCCATATTGTTGAATGAGTTTGGATGGCCATGATTACCGAACCCAAATTTGTTATTAGATCCGTTGGAAAAGTTATTCCCTGATCCCATCGAATTTCCAGCACCTAATCCATTCGCATTATTAGCAAACTTATTATTGTTCAAGTTGCCATTAGCAAACCCTGAATCACCATTTTTCATAAACTTAGGATTAACGTTGTTGTTGTTATTGTTATTATAACGTCTTTGGTAATTATTTTGGTATCCATTGTTTTGGAAGCCGGACTGTTGGTTAAATCCATTATTTCCAGGATTACCACCCAATCTCATATTGTTCAATTCACGTTGCTGAGGTGGCTGTTGACCAGTCATTCTATTATTGACATCTTGCTGCAGAATATGAGGATTTTGAGCCAATGGATGGTTATTCATAGACATGAATTGTGGTGGTGCCATTTGCATGACCATTCCTGATCCATTATTACCAAGGTTGTGAATCATAGAGCCATTTGAAACCTGCAACGGCATATTAGGAGGATACCCTGATCCAGGGGCACTAGAAGGAGCGCCAGCAACACCTCCAGCGAGGTTCATATTCATGTTCATAAGATTCATATTGGTTAATCCGTTCATTCCCATCATTGGATTAACGTTCATTCCAGCCATTGGGTTAACTTGTGGTTGAGCAGCATAACCATTCAACCCCACTTGAGGAGCGTTATTATTCATTGCATAACCATTATATTGCCTTGGTTGTTGAGACTGTTGCTGTGGTTGCTGCTGTTGGTAACTTTGGCTAAAACTCATGCTATTCGATCTAGTCACTGACCCAGAAGTAGAAGTAGAAGCCGATGTTGGAGTAGGAATCTCTTGCACCACCGCCAACTCCGACTCCATGTCAGCCGAATTGGGTTTGTTGGAAATCACATTGGTAGGGTTGTGAGAGCCCATGGAGTTTGGTTTGTCAGAGTCATTCTGGACCACAGAGTAGCTGGCAATTGACCAACTTCTTTTGTGGTTGGCACCGGAAGCATTATTCTGATGATCGATGAATCTAGTTTTCAATGGTTTTTGCCAAAGGGCTGGCTGTTGTTGAACGCCATTTGGGTGATTCATGATCGGTACCTTATTACTGGATCCGGAAAAATTAGTGGATATCAAATTTGGATCAATTTCAGAGAGCGGATAGTTTGCGGTGGATCTTGATTCATCAAAACTGCTATTAGCGTCATTGTTGATATTTGCATTACCGAGCTTGTAACCAGCGGCTGAATAATTAGTACCACTAGAGCCACCTGAGCGAGTTCCATGCAAAAGAAGGTTCTCCCCTGATCCGTTTTTATTCAAACTATCCAAATTAATTTTATTTTCCAAGTAAGAAGAGGTAAACGAAGGCCCAGACACCGATCTACTGGCAGCATGTGCAAAACGAGATTTAATATGGTCAAGTGGGGTGATTGTTGGATCAAACGATGAAGAATCCGGCTGGCCTGGTACAAAATTCGATGCCAAAGACCATGAGTGTTGATGTTTTTTTTTCTCAGGGTTCAAAGATCCGGCGGTGATAGTTCCAGAAGAGGAATTAGAAGAAGCAGAAGAGGTTTTTGCGTTCGGAGGTTGTTGGCTCGCAGCACCAGGGTCCGCTAACCTGTAAGACGTGGCAGAGGAGGTCCCATTACTGCTTGGACGACGGGTAGGTTCGTTGTAATCCAAATCCAAATCACCGAGCACGGTATTAAGGTCCAAATCGGTAGCAGGTGGTTCTGTGGTGGAGCCCCCGTTCATTGAGGACGTGGCACCGGTGGCAGCACCGCTCAAGTTTCCCAACGATGTGTTTGCGATGGAGCCGGTGCTGATGCTATTGTCAGAGGAGTCGCCAAAAAGCGGAGAGGTAGAAGACAATTTTTTAGCGTTAGGGGTCAAGTCGTTGGAGGTAGATGATGAGTTACGAAAGAAATCATGGACAAAACTAGACAGCACACGGCGTTGATGAAAAGTAGCAGAGGTGGAAGCAGCACTGGCAGTGGTAGTGGACTGGGCAGAGTCAGTACCGGAGCCACCTGTGGAACCGATAACTGAAGAGCCAGAAATGATTCCCATTATTTGGAGAGCTGCTAAGTAGAAGGACAAGAAACAGTGCGAAGGTAGAGGAGAAGACTTGTTGTGGTTGTTGTTGCTGTTTTACAATCTAATGGAAGGATCTAGATCACCAGAGTGGAGAATGAAGGGGGGGAGAGATTGATAAAATAAACCAAGATTGAATAACGAAAGGATACTCAAAGAAGAAGAAGAAGAAGAAGAAGAAGAGGGAGGATGTTTAACAGAGTGGTAGTGGAAGGAGCAGTGATGATCCAGAGTAGAGGGTCAACAGGTAGATGGTGAGGAAGTGGCAATAATTATGTTGACAAGCGAATTTCCAGAAGACCAAATTTTTTATTGGTAGTAGTGGTCATAGTAATTTAAATCAAATGATTTGCACCAACACTACCACCACCCGGGTGCTGCACCCTCCCCTCCCACCATCGGTGATACAACACAGTCTACAGAATATAAAATATATATATATATATATAATATAATATAATATTACCAATAATATGCTACAGCTATCCCGTTCAATATATATGATTCTCTTCAGCTACTCCCAGCTGCTGGACATCCCCTCCTCCCCATTCTCACGGTTGTTGATGGCAGTGGGTGGTTGTTGCTGCCTGACAATTCGTGTCACGTGTATACACACCCACCCAACTATATATGTATAGCCATCACCATGTAAGCACTACAGGTTTCACAATAATATTCCCTATATCGTCACTAGTATACATCTATAATACATAAACAAATGAATAAATAAGCAGCAAAGCACAAAAGATCCACACTAGCAGTACTGCTCTCCATTTCTCGCTTCATCTTTAATCTTCTTCTTCTCCCGCTCGTATTCTTCATTCAATTCCTTCAATTCCGCCTCCTCGTCCTCGGTCAACTTCGCATATGTCGTAGGTGCTTCATCCATTCGCACACTCGGGGCCCCATTGAGAAACCGCACTTGCTCCAAAATCCGGATCCTCACACTCTCCAAGTACTTCTTGGTATTCCTATTTTCGATTCGATCTCCCAAGTTAGGATGCATCGAAAAATCAGGACCAAAAAAAGACTTATACGGTAAAGTATCAGGCAATTTACCATTCGGCAACTCCACATTGTTCAATACCGCGGTTTCATGACACCACAATCGACTGACATTCCTCGGAGTGTATCCTCCTCCTCCCAATACAAGCATTGGTAATCCAAAAGATTGGATATACTTCACACACGCTCCATGCGCCTTGATATTCAAGTTAAAGCATCCCAAACGATCACAACCCAAAGAATCAGCACCACATTGCTGGACAATCACACTAGGTTGGAAACTAGAAATGATCGGTTCCATAATGGATTTGAACAACTTGACATAATTTTCATCCTCAATGCCGTCTCTTAGCGGAACGTTCACTGCAAAGTTTTTACCCCTGCCAATCCCCACTTCGTTAAAGTTCCCAGTGGCCGGGAAGAAAGTACCATTGTACTTATGGAACGAACAGGTCATAACTCTATCAGTAGTGTAGAACGCCTCTTGAACCCCATCGCCATGGTGCAAATCGATATCGATATACAATACCCGGGGGTAATATTTCAACAATTCGAGAATAGATAACACGATATCATTGATGTAACAGAAACCTGAAGGCCCATACTTCTTTGCGTGATGCAAGCCTCCTGACCAATTTATTGAAATATCACTGATCCCACTGATCAACTTCGAGGTAGCATCTAAAGATGAGCCAGAATACATTGAACCATATTGGTACAATCCATCAAATATTGGGCAATCATCACCAATATTAAACTCTCGGGATGCAGTAGCGCGATTGACAGTGTCAGGGCTGACCTTCTGTAAAAATTCAATATATTCTGGAGAATGAAACTTCATCATTTGTTCTTTTGACGCCGGAGTAGTTTGGTATAAATCCATCACTTCGTGTAACTTGTATGCAGAAACCAAATGATCCGTCAATAAAAGTCTGAACGGCTTCATGGGGTGATGAGGCCCATAATGGTAGTTTGAAACCTCGGGATTGTAATGGTAAGAAACATGCGATACGTTAGATGACGTGAGTTGTGAGTACAAAGGAGTGTTGTCTTTGGTTTTGGTATCGGGGGTAAACGTTTCTGTGTCTGTGAATGCTAGTGACATGCTCGGCAATCTTGAAATACTTATGGGTCGTTGATTCGATTCCTCTGGGGATTTTCGATGTTTTCTATGAAGATTTATGGTACCGTCTATTTTCCTTTATCCTCTTTTCCTGAGTATTTTATGAGACATCAATTTTTATCTATGAGCCTTGTTCACGTCCACAAGAAGATAGCACTATAGTTCGCTTTCTCTTCCACTATATATATGTATATGTAAATATCTCACCCAAGTGATGGCGACTATTCAATAGATGATGATGCCCTTCATTCCACTGTCAGCAAATTGTTTTTGCAGTGGAAGTTTTTTGGGAGGTTTTGATAGTCTCACGTGCCAGTCCACATGTCAACATTTTTTTTTTCCCTTCATTTTTTCCCCCCTACAAAAAAAATTTATCGATTTTGACTAATCTCCAATCAAAAACCCCAGGAAACGACACCAGCAAAAAGAATAAGAAGAAGAAGATAAACAAAAGCTGAGAAGGGTGATCACTCTTTTCATTAACTGTCGATATAAAATTTGGTTTCTTTCTCCTTTCTTTTTTTTTCTTTTACTTTCTGGCATCAAGAGGGAAACTGTTGCCTTGTGGATACCAGAAATAGATTAAATTAGACACCTACAATAAACCCTGCCTACTCGATTTATTAAGATAGCCCTGGTCAGACTCGTCGCTCTCCGGGGAATAGGCAAGATACTATATACTTTTTTTGATACTGCATCCCAAAGTCACTGCAAAACAATATTAAAAAAGTAACTTGCGAGCTATAAGGCAGGTCAATTGAGTATAGTGTGACCAGAATAATTAGCAAACACCCAGAATGCAACCACGCTCTCAGGAAGGGACAAGTGATAACGAAGGCATGTTGCGACATGATCAAGGTGGTACTTTTCGGATTTCAAACCCTGTTGTGGAAGAGGTCGATGAGTACGAGCATCAGCAAGATTTGACAGATCAAGCTCTTCGGAAGCTATCGATGTTGGGAATGGCGACTTTTGAAAATGATGAAGATAGTTATGATGCAGAAAAGGAAAAAGTAGATAACAGTGGTGATAAAGTAAGTGGATTAGACCAAGAGAAGGCCAAGGTATTTACTAGTGCAGGCAATAACACGACATGTTATCCTGTCACTCAGAATCAGAATCATTCAGAACAAATCGATAAAATTAAGACTCAAGACCAACAGATGCTTTTTTCACAAAATAAAGATACCAGTCGTCCCAGCCCGTATCTTAACGAAGATAACAATGACGAAAATGACTTTCATACTGCGAATTCCCGACTCCGTAAAAGCTCTGATAGCGCCACCAATACCACCGCTACCTTTGATGATAAATTGAATCCTAGCTTCGTTAGTTTGACTCATCAGTTTGCTAGGCACAGGCGTGCCACAGATAATAGTCAAGAGTATATTGAAAGAAACGAGGAGGACGATAAAATCAGCGTTTCTAATCCTCAAAGCGGTGATAGTGGAGTGTCTGTCTTGAATGAGGAGGTCGATGTTACAAGATCAAAGAACTACGTGTCCTACATTGAATCATCGGAACTAATTCCATCAGGCAATACTAATGGTGATGGAAGTACTTGTAGTGGGGATTATAATGATATTAGGTTTGAAGGTAGTGGGAGGTTCCGCCAACTAAAAGTAATAGGAGAGGGTGTGCCATATGCAAACCTACGACAAGAACAAAATCAGGAACGACAAGTAGATATGGGTGAAAATAACATGCAAAAAGAAAAGTACCCAAATCATCAACCGGTATCTCAACACCAAACACAGCAGCCGAAGCAAAAGCAGCTAACAGAAGAAACACAGCAAATTCAGGATCATAAAATGCGTCAACAGCAACAACAAGATGAACAACATAAACAACAGACACAACAAATACACCGACAGACACAGCAAATACAACAGCAGACGCAGCAAATACAACAGCAGCAACAAAAACTATTACAGCAGCAAAAAGAACAACAGATACAGCAACAGCAAAAAGAACAACAGCTACGGAAACTTCAGGCACAACAGCAACAGCAACGTCATCATGTTCATCAACATCACCATCATCATCACGCCCAGCATGCGCATCATAAACCAAATACTGTGGATCCTAATTCTGTTAATATTTTTTCAAATCAAGAAATTATTAATGATAAACTCAAACTCAAACAGCATCATCAACAACAGCAACTTCTAAGTGGAACTCTGGTGCCGCCGCAAGATAACAAATCTGATCGTGAAGATCGTCGCTCATCGAATGCTAGTTTGTTACAACATCAAGGCCCGCCAAGTATCAATCAGTCAGTATCCGTGAATGCTGTCAAGATGAATACCAGCATCTCTGATACCACTTTAGGATCTGGGGGCTCTATTTCCAACTCGACTTCAGCCACCCAATCGAGCACCTGTTTGGTCAACCACTCCAGTGATAGTCTTGCGTTAGTCAATGCCGAAGATGACTTACCCGAAGGAATTTCTCGTCCTCTTTACGTACCGGCAGTCATTCGTAAAACTGAGGAAACAATCAACTTGCAAGAGTATTATATTAATATGAAAGAAAAACAGCGGAAGTTGCAGCAGCAGCAACTACTACGCCAACAGCAACTACAAGCCCAGCAACAGCAGCAACAACAGCAGCAACAACTCCAGCAGCAGCAACACCAGCAGCAACAGTCACATGGTGATCATTCGCCGATAGTTCCAGGTATGGCTAGCGGTATTATTATGAAGTTGAAGAAGAAGACATCGGGATCTAGTTCTCAGCCAAGCTCTTTATCGTCTACCTCACCGATTAATGTCGGATTACATTATTCTACTCTTGGAGGCATTGATCATCATGGACGTGATATCGGTAATCGTGTTCTGACAAACTATTTGTCGACTGGTGGCAATTCTGGCGCGAATTCTATAGCACAGAGTCCGGTTGATGCGGCTCCGGGAAAGGTAGCTGAAGCATTTGATGCAGTAAATGGCTTAACCACTACTGGTGGTGTTGATGGATTGCAGAGTAACAATAATCAAAATGGGGCGTCTAATTTGGCATCGTCAGGAACTTTGAAGCGGTTTTCAGGACAAGCACCATTAATGCAACGAAACTTGACCAATGGCTCAGTCACCAGTTCTAATGCTTCGCTCAAACTGCAACGGCAGAGTGCTTCACCAATGAGCAATGGCAATGGTTCACATGGTAATCTTGTGCAATTGGTGGCCACCACTTTTAGTCATGCCAATAGGGAGCAAGTTTCCACTGCCAATTGGAAACCAGATGGTTCTACGAGAAGTTGTTTTGGATGTACCCGGGAATTTAATTTGTTGGTACGTAAACATCATTGTCGGAAATGTGGGGAGATTTTCTGTGACCAGTGTTTGATGCATAAAGTGAAGTTGGATTACGATTTAAATTTCAAAGTTTTTGGACTGAACGAGTCTATGAACCGGGTGAAGATGGGTCAATTGATGAACGAAGGGGTTGGTTGGGAGGTGAAGGCGTGTGATAGATGTTTCAAGAAGTATCAATTATTCTTACAGGAGAAGTTCAACGAGATGACCAATCAAGGGGAAGGTGTTGTTGAGTCGTCAGGTTTGAAGGGTATTATTTCCCAAGACCAATTGGAAATAAGAAAGAAGGACCCTGATGCCGAAGGAGATGACGATGGGTATGATTGGAGTACGTTTTAATATTGGCTTATCTATTCAGATGTGATGATTGTATAAATATATATTTATTTATTTATTGTACGTATTATGTTGGTGTATCTATAAATAGCGCAAACTTAAAAAGGACGACGATACAGGGTAATGCGAATTGAGGAATATAACTACCGATATAAACTAGTGATACTACCGTAGACGATACCATAGCAGTGATAAAATGACTGCCAACCACCGGAAGCTTCATCAGAATAATATATATATATATATATATATACGACGTGTAACAGACCAGCACCTTCCCGTGTCAAAGGTGTTTTGAGTTGGGTTGTCTAAGGGCGGGATCACTGCATCCCACTGTGCCATGACGCAGTTGTTTCAAAACAGCCTGCACAGTGAAGAAAAATTTGTCACTTTTGCAACAATTATAAAACATACTAGCGTTCTCACAAATTATCTTTATTGCCACCGCTTCCCCTGAAGATTTATCGTCCTGGAGTCTATCTATTCATTTACTTCTTCCTGAAATCCATCTTTTGCACAGCTCTCCCAACCTCTTTTTCTTCTCCTGTCAACCATCGCCAAGCCCCCTCGGGAAAAAAAAAAAAAAGATACGCTGCCAAGCCCCTCCTACTGACAAAGGCCATCACACATATTAACACAAAATGACCATCATCCTTTCCAATGATAGTCCCCTGGTTATCGATCTCGAGGCCCAGGCAGCACCTCTGGAGAAACAACATCTCTGCCGGACCACCAAGGAGCATCATACTGACAAGCGTCGTTGGCATCAATCTCTCATCTATTACTTTATTATTGTGTTCTCAACCTTGGTGATTGTGATTATCCTTAATGTTTGTCTGGTGGTACTAAAGGTTCCTCAGGCCGCAAATGACCTGTCGCTGAAGATTGGTGAGTTGTTGGAATCGTCGTCCAGCGTTATTAACCCATCGTCGCAGTATATCGATAATAATGATTTCATCGCGGTATCATCACCATCCCAAATCAACACTGAAGAAAGTCCTTCATTTGTGAAAAAGAGTCTTCCTACCAAACCACATGCCATCCGCTTAGGAAACTCAGTTTATAATGATTTTAATGATTACTGATGGTCCATTATACCCATATAAACACTTTATAGATTACAGCTTTTTTCGGTTCTTTCAATTCGCATTTATACATTTTTATTTTATCATTTTTCGGTCTCATCATCTTTATAATAACCCTGCAATGGATAGTCTCTTAATAATAGTTTAATATATATATACATCTTAATAATTAGATACTACAAGCAGTATCTTGATAAATTATAGAATTTGGATTTGCGCTGAATTCTTGAACCTGCTAATTGTAAAAATGAAATGGAAGATTGAACGGAGGCGTGTTAAACAATAATCAAAAAGGTATTCTTCCAACTGTCGTGAAATCAAAATATAGCCATGAACATTGAAATACTATTAACTATTTCCTATAAGTATTCAACAAATCTGATCTATTAAAAGTACAATAATTTACATAGTTTGAGAGCCAGCTCCTTTCATATAGCTCTAATACACCACAAAATTAGGATCTACAACCTTGGCCCAACGGAACAACCCGCCGGCCACATCTTTCGCAGAAATCCCAAATTTATCCAGTAATATCTTTGTGGCAATTCTCGAATCATTGCCATATCGACAAATCACAAACACTTGGGAAGAAACTTTTAATTTCGGCACGATATTAGTGAGATCGTCTAAGGTATCGATCCTTTTGAGCCTTGCTAAAGGTAAATGAATAGAATGCGGCAAATGAACAATATTCCAGTGCTCCACCGGACGGACATCAATGACAATAATATTGTTATCATTATTGCCACACTCCTCACTTAAAGATTCCAATAGGGTGTCGTACTTGGATTTAAAACCTTCAATGCTCACCTGCTGAGTCTTATAATCAATGACATCATAGCGATCAATATTGGTGCCACAAAACTGAGAATAATTGATTTTCCCTGCTTCAATATCCTCTCTGGTAATTTTCTTTGCATCTCCACAAGATAAACAATCAGCCTTCCGGCCACGCATCTTAAATGTTCTTAGAGACTGTGAACCTTGCTCCAGGAATCCATTATACATTGTCATGAATGGTTTGAAATTATCTTGTGTATAATGATGAGTCAAAATCTTGAGACATTCCACCGCCATCATCGTCCCAATCAATCCAATACAAGGACCAATGACCCCTGCATCGCTACAGGCAGTGACGCTGTTTGGGGCAGGAGGGTTAGGGAAAAAGCAACGGTAGCATGGGCCATTTAAGTGGTTGAAAATAGATAATTGACCTTCGGTCCTGATTCCTGAACCCGAAACCAATGGCTTACCGGCCACCACACACGCATCATTGATCAAGTATCGCAGTTGCGGGGTGTCGGTACAATCTAGCACCACATCATAGTTTTCAACTATTGACCAGGAGTTCAAATTATTGAGTGGCTCATGGTATGTGGTAACCTGGCAAAACGGATTGATGTTCTTCATCGCCAATGCTGCAGATTGCACTTTTGGAAAATCAAGAGTTGTGGTAGAATGGATGATTTGACGATGTAAATTCGACATATCAACGGTGTCAGGATCGACTATTCCAATTTGACCAACCCCGGAGGCAGCCAAATACAATAGAGCTGGAGAACCAAGACCGCCGGCTCCCACCACCAACACTTTGGCGTTCTTGAGCAGGAGTTGTGCCTCTGTTGGAGATGACAGGTTTTCAACTAGTTGAGGAACTAGCAATTGACGTCCATATCTTCTGTATTCTAGAAGTGAAAGTTCCGAAGTTGTTGTTGATGAAGAAGTCGATGTTTTAGATGAAGTATCAAGGATGCTTTGTGAAGTAGATTGGGCTAATTTTTGTTTCAAGAGATTGTTCTCATTTCTGAGAGCCTGTAATTCCTGGGAGACTTCATGATCGATAGTCATATTAGCTATTATTTTGAAATCATAAAACAAAAATACTAGCAAAATGAGTACGAATCAGTGTTTGTGTTTATTGAAAAATTTAGTAGATGTCACTATGCATCTCATCTCCTAAAAAAATTTGAAAAAAAAAGAAAAAGTCTTTGTTGATTTGATCACGTGTTTATTTGGGCATGCATACAAGGTAGCACCACAACAATAGCAATGGAGTGGGTGAAAAATTGAAAAGACATATTATACCAATTATTTTCAGATAAAAAGCGAATCATTTGGAACCCTTTTAAAAAAAATACAAGATATGCCTTATGATGAAAATATAATAGGAGAGAGTGTTGGCACCACCACACCTGTGGTAGTTCTAGTTAAGGGTGTACCATCATCGACGGATGAATGAGGTATTGATCACTCACCTATTTAATATTGGTGTGATGTGACTCTAGAACTGCTGATTCTATTTATATTATGCTTTTATCTAAATTATAAATATCTTATAATAGTTACAGCCCTGACTCTGTATATGATACTCCTAAATGAGAATATTTATCTATTGGGATATCAAAAGCGCTTCCGCTTATTATGGAAGGAAAATTACTATTTGAGGATAATTTTATGAGTACCTTTTTAATATCACCAAATATGTAAGTAATTTTATATTTCAGTCTAATTCAATATGCAGACGAAACTAGCTATCCTGGTTAACATCTTACTATACGACAAATTACTGATCGCAACATCTGTTGCTTGTAATTAATGCTCGGTTTAATACCTCTGGTGGCACTGCAATGTAAAGTTACCGTGGATAATGGTCTACTCCATCAGATAGTAATTTTGGAAAAGAAAAAAAAAGTTCAGAGAATTTTTTGAGGTTTCAAGAACTTCCAGGAATTATATCAACATGGAAATATTATCTTATTGGGTGGAATGTGTAATAGTTTTGGTTACGTCTTTAGAACGGAACGTGATAGTTGATATATATTAAAGTAGAATAAAATAAAATAGTAGGTGAAATAAACCCTATTTATAGGTGAGAAAAGGAAGTGGGACAACAAGATGAAAAGAGTAAGAAGTAAATAAAGATGTCGGAGATAAAAAATACTAGAGAGACAGGGATTGGTGGAATAATGGAATGGAATGGAATTAATAAGAAGAGAAAAAAGTAGATCAGTACATAGATCATTACAGAATGATTGATAATTCCTATTACTTTGGTAAGTTATTTTGATTATCACGAGTACCTTGAAAGGTATGATTTGTATGTGAGATTTGATACCAGGCTTCCCAAAATATCTTTTACTACAAAATCTGGTAAACTAATATCTATTCAATATTGTAAAATTTGACTAGCTCAGATTAGAAAATAAAATTCAAAATAACGAAACATTGGAGTGTGGAAGGTTTCAGAAATATGAGAGACATTTTCTACTACATCTAGGCAATTGTCCAGTTGTGTAGTATTTATGGTGCTACTTATTATACACGCTCTCTATTAGAAATCTACAGCAAAACCTTCTGTATATAATATGAGAGTGAAAATGTAGATGTGTTTTTGCTGCACATATATCACAAAGCTTGTGCCAACTTTATTTTGGAAATAAGCGGTACCTGAGGAAAGCGGAGAGTATATATATGAAACTCTCAAAATACAGAGCAACTTGCGACATTGAGAAAGTTCTTCAAAATTACTTTCTGTTTTCTATTTTTTTTTTCTTTTTTTCATTTGTTGAAATGTAGCTCTAAGTACAGTGCAAGCTCCAATAGTTTGATTTTGTCTATCACTTAACTTAAGGGTACTTTTTGTGATTTTGTGCACTATGGTGGAGCAATGTTTTTCCGACAAGAAAAACGCCGGACACCTATGTACAATAATTACCTCTTCTGATAAAGGTGCGCTCTGTTGTCGCAAGTTCGAGATCCTACAATCAAGGGGTCTGTAGGTCATATACTAGGAACCAGATCATTAGATCTCTACTAATAAATATTATAGTCGTTGCTATCAAGATTATATTTACAGCCATTATTGGTTTAAGGTTGCTAGGTGTCGTGCTGTTTGTCCTTACTACTGTCCTTACTACTGTCCTTATATTTAACTTTATTATCTAAAGTGTTTGTCATTATACGTGAGTGCGTTTGTTTCGTCTTTATATATTAAAGTACTTTGTAGACCTGTAGAGTTCTAACATCATTTTTAGCTCTTAATTTTAGAATAGAACTGCTACAGTGCTACCGTGATAGTCAGTAAGTGTTGCTTGTTGAAGCTTCAACTTTCCTTATTAACAGGCTACCAAATTGGTGATCGAATTATTTCCAAATATGAGTGAGAGTCATCGATTTTTGTGGGTATTTTTGAAATTGCAGATAAAAAAGAACAGTTCATCTAATAACTTTGAGAACCACTATTGAAGTCCTTAATTAGGATAGGCTGTAATAAACTTCCAAAGACTTTGAGCTCCACGCTTATTACTTTAAGCCACATCAATTATCTTTTGGGTATGGGTACGACTGAAATACCTTGAAAAATTTGTAGTCAATAGATTATTACTCCAATATTTTACAATAGTAGCTCTAAGATATCACAACTTGCAAAAAACTTACGCAGTTGCAAGACAATAGTGCCCTCCTGACCTACAAGAGTGTCCGACTCTTGCATTCAATGGAATCATGTCCTGCGGAAAAAAAAAACAAAAAAAAAAAACAATATATTAGCATCTTTGAGTATTTGCTTTCATTAACGTTTTCAGAGTAGCTATCTTAGTAAGATCACTGGTTTGACTGGGCTCATAGACTTTCCGTGCTTACTGCCAATGGCAAGTCATTGAGAACGAATTTTACTCAAACTCAAAATGTTGGGCCATAAGTTGAAATGAACTCCAGATGACTGACTATTTGCCCTATTCAAGAAATTTTGAGGAGTTGGGCGTCTCAAATAATGCTTTGGTGTGGACAATAAAGGAATACTCGGCAATACACAATCTAAAAAATTATGTAACTCTGTTATTGTATGATGAACTTTGACAAGCACATAATTAGGAAATTCACATTTGAGGAGGATTTCCAAGAAGATTATGCTCAGGATTACCAACTATCAACGCTTTGAGTATCACCTATTAGAACTAAATCTTTGATTAATATGACATGGTTAGGGGAGCTCGGGGCTGTCTCGAACTTAAATAACTGACATTTATTGTCTTCAAGAAATGTATGAGTATTTGGAAGCTCACCACATTACATTAGATTTCATTTTCTTAAATTAAAGTATCATAGTTCATTGCTTAATGTCTCCGAAACATTGATACACGGAGAGAAAGTAATGCACTCCTTGTAATATTGATCAAAGTTATTTATCTTAGATAAATAAATGAATCCTTCCAAAATTGTGTTAGCCTGCGCGATAAGATTGAAATTCGAAAAGGTATCTAATAGATAGATACGATTATCTATACAAAAAGATTTTCTTTTATCAGCCAGCAAGAAAATGTGAGATGATAAGAAATCATATGCTGGTGCTACGGATACGCCATGTCAGAACTAATTAGAACCGTGGTGGTTGCTTATCAATAAAACTGAGACTTGACATGTAGATCTCCACAAGAAATGCCGCATCTGTCATAGTGGAGATGGACAGTTGGCATTGCAAAAATGAGGCATCTCACACGTGATAAGGTGTTGTTGTTATCCCAACGATCCGATATCCTGGACAACAAACTTACAGAAAACAGAACTTCTCAGACCTTCACAAATTACACGGAGATCTTACACTAATTGGGTATTGACTACAAGAGTTTATGAAATCTTTATCAGTGAAAAATACAAACACCCCTAGGTTAGCGACTTTCATCGAAAGGTAATAGGGACTCCAAAGTAGTCCTGCTATTTTTTTTTCTTGCTCTTTTTCAGAAGATGATTTGGTGTTTCTGAAAGATCATTACTCGCATATATCTGAAAAAAGGGCCTAAACTCTCTATCTGCAGCGGCGTCTCGATTGTCTACCATATCTGTTCTCAACATAATCTCCCCTCTGTTTTGATACCCTATGATAGCCACGAGAACAATAAGATTTGCAGTTATATATATATTAAACGAGATAACGACCGCGGTTTGTTGTTGTCTGGTTATCATTTATCTTTCTACCCATCCTCAGTCACATGATTATTAGCGACCCGATGAGGGAAAACAGTCCCAAAACTGAAAAAAATGCATATTGTTGCATTTCATTACATATTCTTGGATTGTGCATGCAACTAGCTTGCATGTACAGCTCTTGGCAACTCTCGGCAAATTGCACACTTTTTCTGGTGGTAAGCATTGGCAGCGATCCGTACCTCCGGGTAAATGGATTGGACCACAGGCATCTGGGGTGAACGGCTCAAAAAGAATATGCCAAATTGGTATGTGATGATTCAGACGACTGAGTCACACCACAAAATGTACCTCTCAAAAGATAAGAGATAAGGGTGATCTTCAGGGTTACCAATTCGTAACATTCAATACCTAGTGATAGAGGCAACACTATGGTATTGGTTATAATAGTAATTGTTAGGTATATAATTCCACGAATGCTCGATAATAAAAAAGGATTTCCGGGAAATCCACGGCAAAGAGATGTTTTTGGGGTAAAGAACCCTCCACTGATCACGTGCAACGCATGTGCAGGTGGAGCATTGTTGCAAAAAAGCAAAAAAAAAAAAAGAAACGAAAAAAAAAGCAAAAGTGATGCCGAATGATTTCTGTGAGACCTGTATCTCAATATCTAAAAGAAGTCTAGTTTTCTTTTTTTTTTTTTTCTTGTTTATTATACATGGTATTTTTTTTACTTTTGTACCAAGACTATTATACTTTTATCTCACCTTCAACTAACCTCGGCAGCAACTAGCCAACAAAGACATAATGTTGGACTTGGATGATAGCCACCGCTTCAGTACTATTGATGAGGACTCAATTTTGGATTTCTCACACGCCAGCCATGACGATTTCCAATCACCAGTACCATCCCCGTCCTTATCAGGGGTCGGTGGAGTTCATAGATTTTCAGCTCTCCCTTCTAAAAACTTGATAAATATAAATCAAAAGAGAGTCCCAAAGCTCTCTAAGCCTATCAATATAAAGAAAATTACTGTTGCAATTACCGCTCCTACTACTATTCATGCAACTACTGCCGCAGCTTCCACTAGCCCAGACGTGGTAGCAGCCAAAGTCGTATCAAAAAATAACCAAAACAAAACTCACAAATCTAATAGGAAACATAGAAATAGACATAGCTACCCAAATCCTAAATTAGTTTCTATCGCCGAAATCGACGAAGGAATCACGCGATTAGGATACGCACAATTTGAAGAAGATGATGAAGAAGAGGAAGATGACGACGAGATGAATTCAGAGTGCGAAGATCGTTCTTGTTTATCATCAAAGCTATTTGATTATAAGAAGATTAAGTCAAAAACTACCAACACGAAATTAAAATCAATTTCCACAAAATCTCAACTCTTTGGTGGGGCCCAAGGTGAAATGCTCAACCTATCTTCAATAAAGAAATGTCAACCAGTGGCTTGTGCAATTGATGATGATTTTCAATTTACTTTCAACTCTAATTTTACCGTGGATATCAATTCAAATATATATAATCCAGTTGATTACAACAGCAATAACAATAACTCATTTCAACCTGATTTAGCCTTCATGTCAGGAAATTTTAACATGATGAACAACACTATGAATAATGTCTCAGTATTGAATGGCGGCGCTCTTTCAAACTCCGTTGGCACCAACAATTTTGCTGGTTCAACTACTATTGACTTCAACAATTATAAAGACGACTTGTCCTCCCAGCAATATCTCTCCCACGATATCAATAATAATGCTGATTATGCTAATGGCGATGGTATTCACAATAATGCTTGTTTCAGTAACGTTTATAATGACCCATATTATTTGAATAAACAACAACAAACATCAAAACCAGAACAATCACTCCCATGCACAATGCCCCAATTCGATATGAACAATAATATGAATGTGAATATGAGTCTCGGGTTGGTATCAATCCCTTCTCATTCGCAATTCATGAATTCGGATCAACACCAGCAACCCCAAATGCAACATTTCAAGAACAATAGCATCAACAAGTCTATGCCAATAGACTGCCCTGGTTATGAAGAATATGATGATGAATTAGAACTTGAGGATGATGAAGATTACCTATCCTTTACTCCTAACAACTCACTTCCTTCTTCTCGCACGAAATCGATCGAATCTTTCGATAGATCTTCGCGAATGGCGCAAACATCATTAATAAACACCGGCATAAACTCAACATCCTCAAGTGAACACAGCACGCCAGTTTGCGACTCCAATATCACCTCTTCTACTACATCAATTATTATCCCAAGCAATGAGAGTAACGCCTGTGTTCAAATCAAGGAAGAAGAAACTTCCAGAATGGTGCCTTTGAGCGATGACTTAACCTGTGACTATCATCATGTCAGTTCTAGTGAGTCAATGTCTTTACCAAATGCCACTACTATTACCTCGATGAACAATCCAGAAACCTCTGATATTGAAAGACCTGGTCTCAAAAGAAAGAGACTGATGCCTGAAGAAATATGGGAAACACAAACTAATGGGTTAAGACGCAATTCGATGTCCAAGAGATCCAAAATCATACTTATGGGACCTTCTTTATCCACATCTGTTAATTCAAAAATGCCAACCGTGATTCAAAGGTCAATGGATGGAGCCACCGGAGAGGATTTCCAATATGATACTTTAGAATATACTGCTAATCAGGCAAGTTATGAACAGGCATATGGCGATGAAGGTGTGACGGTGGGCCTCAAGAATGATAGTTTTGTTGAACATGCTAAACCTTCCTTTGTTGCCAATAATCTGAAAACAGTGCAATTGAAGAAAAAATCGTCGATTCCTCCTGCTTTTGAATTCCAAGAACAAGTTCTTGATTTATCAATTTCTCCTGCTCTCGTTTCTCCTGTGACTGCCACGTCAATGGGCAAAAATGGTACTTCTTTTGAAGGGGTCATTGTTGATGGTATGAGATCTATGTCGCTGACTTTAAACGCAAATTCTGCTCAACTGATTGTGTGTTCCAACAGTAGCAATTCCAACCGGTCCACGGCTGCCGGCAAAATTTTTGATCTCAAGGCAACCGGTCGTCTCAACCGCAACTTCAAGACCATTCACTATCAGAACGGAGCCATCATGACCAAAACCAAACTCATAACTCCACCAAAGAAACCAGTCGTGGTTACTTTGTATGAATGTGCTGATTGTGGGGCCAAATTTAGAGTCAAGGGTTATCTTTCTCGTCACGCAAAAAGACATTCTAAATTGAAGGCTTTTAGTTGCCCTTTTTTCAAGGATAATGCCGAAACAGAGAAGCAAGACGCCGACATCAAAGAGGAAGACGAGGAAGAAAAGGACAAAAGTAGTGGCACCGATTCCGATAGCACCGATGCCTCTAGTGGAAAAGATATCTCAAACCATGGACACTTGCATTCCTTGCCTATTGGCTCCAAATGCCATCCGTCAGGGGGCTTCTCTCGACGTGACACTTACAAGACCCACCTTAAAGCCATTCATTTTATTTATCCTGCTGGCACAAAATCCACAGCTCGTAATGATGTGGCAGGCAGATGCGGAGGATGTTCTGACTGGTTCGTGAACAATAATGTCTGGTTAGAAGATCACATTGAAGGTGGAAAATGTGTTGCGTTGCAAGGAAGAGGAATGAGAGATATCAGACGGGGAAAGAATACCAATGGTAGTTCCAAAGTAGAATGATTATTCTTGATAGCAACATCTAACTGTTGAAAAACATGAATGAGTCTGTATTTTCATTCACTGATTTTTGTGGTTTTCTTTTTTTTTTTTTCTTTTTTTCATTCTTTTTATTATTTTTTTTTGTGGTTTAATTTTTTCTATGTTCGGTTTAGCTCTTCTTCTCCTTATCTCTTTCTATTCTACGTTTGACTGGTCTTAAATTCGATCAACAACACTCTTATTATTAGTTTATTATCAACTTATTATTCGGCGGGACTTTGATTATATTGTATGTTTTATTTTTATTTTTATTATTATTCTTGTATCGAGTTAATAACAATCAACAAGTAAACATTTAAAATATGGTTGTATTTACGTAACATAATATCAATTGATGGTGTAATTCAATATTTTCAAATTCATTCATCACTTGGCAATCACTACAGAAGCTTATTAAGAAATTAATGGAAATATTTGTAATTCTCATCTTTTTTTGTATCTGTTTCACATCGTCACCCCTGATGGTGTGTGCGAAAGAGAGAGAGAGAGAGAGAAAGAGAGAGAAAGAGAGAGAGAGGAGGGGAAGGGAGGTACTTCATCCTTAAAAATGGGAAGATCTTCACAAATATTGTAGTTTTAAATTTTCTGGTCGATTTTTTTTTTTTTTTTTTTTCTCTCTCTCTTTTGTTTAAGGAGGCGAGTCTGCTTCACCAGCACAACAACACTATTTGTTTCTGGTATCCCGTCCAAAGCCTGGATATGGGGTACCACGACAAAAATAACTCTTGTCAAAATCATTTTGATTTTTTTTTTTGAGATTTCTAAGTTTCTTGTCTCGTTAAGTTTTGCGATGCCTTGTCTTGATAACATAAAATCACGAATGTCAGCAACAATCTTTATATATTTCTAGATAGCTAGTTCTTGTTATAATTCCCTGAGAGAAATCTTTGGATGTCAATTATAAACAATTGAAAAGAAAGGACTGGAATACGCTTTTTAAAATGTGTGGTTCAGGGGTTGGATTAGTTCATGTTCTTTCTTCAAAGACGTGACTAGGTGGGATCTTTCTTTTGATATTTAGTAAACTAACTGATTTACGAAATACCACTTCTAGATGGTTACTAATATCAGCTAACTCTACCAGGCTTCCTTTGCATCGATTCTACCTTATCTTTTGCTGTCTATTATCCATATCACTGTTATTTCTAGTTGTTTGAAGCATAACCAATATATATTTGCTTTGTTCTGGCGGTAGTTTCTCCTAATCAACGTTGCTTTGTAAATGATGTTAAAGATAATTTGATGGCTGATAAATAGAAAACTATTAACCTTAGACGAAAACAACCAACAGAACGCATTATTGCTTATTGATCCCGAATCTGCTCATTGATTTTGCAACTTCATTTCATCATTATCGCGGACTTCATGTTGTACGCACAAAAAATAAACATAGGGAAAAAAAAAAAATAAAAAAAGTTTGGAGACTTTTCAACCATACACACAAACAGAAAAGTAAATAACGGGCGATAAGAGGAACACTTCCTTGTAGTGATTGAATAAGAGATAAAAAGGACCGGACACAGAGCTTATAGTGGATTGAAACCTGAGTGGAATTGTGGAGAAGTTACCTTTCATTATAACCACCAGCTAATATTTTAATTACATCATTGGAACATTGGTTTGGTCCACTATTTTCAATTTTCTTATTATAATTACCAGCAAACAGTATTGGAAATCCAGACTTTCAATGAATGTTTTTTTTTCGGTCATCAATAAAACATTAGGAGCAAACTATGACCCATTCAAAACCGAAAATCAGCCCACTACTCTCAATAAAAAGCATTTATGGGGCTTCAGTTGTTAGTAGTTCATCTTTCTGTATTTCATTGAAGAAGTGCTCAACATCATCACAATCAATTATTCAAGAAAATGACTGCATGAAAGCTGATGGGCCCAATGCCTACGCCAATTTGGTTTGCTACACAGCGAGTGGAGGTGTGGTGGTCTGTGACGTGAGTTTACACGATTTAGTTGTGCAATCTCAGCGATTCTTTTGTGCAAATTTCCAGTCTCATTCGTTGCTATCAAATATCTCTGCTTCATCATCATCATCAAATTCTTCTTTAAAAACAGACAAATTTGGCTTTCCAATTTTAACTGACCCTTTAGAAATCAACTCCACTAGTAACAATGGAGCAGGAAACTCGAGAATTGATGAAATAATGAACTCCAATTCACATACTCTGAATATGTCATCTATCAACAATAATAGTGGTGTCATTACGGACAGCGGTCTTGGTCAATTGTCTAATAGTACCCCTAACAATAGCGGAGCGCTGCATACACTGCTTCGGATCAAAGTGAGAACCATCTCTTGCGTGTCAATTTCTAGTAACCAAAAATTATTAGCAGTTGGCGAAACTGGTTACCAACCTCGAATATTACTATATTCTCTCGCTCCTGACGCCTCTGGTAGGCCATTGGCATCTATTTCCGAGCATACTTTTGGAATCAACTCAATAACTTTTTCTCCAAATGGGAAATATTTGGCATCATTGGGAGTATCTAATGATGGATATCTCAATGTCTGGAAAATAAATAACGGTGCTAATTTCGGAGTTACATTAATTGGGTCTAATAAATGCACCTCGATTGTCAATAACATGATTTGGCTAAATGATACCATTTTCACTTTTGGGTTAAGGCATTTAAAGGCATGGAAATTGGATTTAAATAGCAGTTTGATAAACCTGAAAACTTTAAACGTCATCAGGGGGAAAAATGTGGTACTTGCAGAATTATTAAGTGAAAATTTCACAGAGCTAAAATTGGTTAGAAATCAAAAATCTGGAGAATCAAAAATTTTAGTGCTCACCGAATCAGGAATTTTGTGTAGCATTGAGCTGGAAGCGTTAAATATAACTCCATTGATGAAGTTTAAGAATAAAATTTCAACTTTTTACGTTGATGATTTTCAGGATTTATTATGGTATGAAGAATTGAAAATCAATGAGGGAAATACATCAAGCAACTGCCTAAAGTCTGTAAAGCTTTCGGAATTATTCGAGATGAAATTTAGCTTGGATCATGATGACTTTACGAGAAACTCATTAGTAGCGATTCTGAGTAACAATGGGAAAAAAATCACAAAACCATCCAGTGAAGTTTTATCTATTGTCAAAGCTGGTGACGATAAATTATTCTATGTCAGCCAAGATGAAATAAATATTTACTGCCAATCTTCTAAAACCTCCACCAATTTAATTGAGCCGGTTTTCAAGTACATTTCTGGTGTGAAAAAGATTTCGAGTGCCAATTCCTTATTGCTTTGGTCTGAGAACGGCGATTTGGCACAAATCGGATATCCTGGGTCGACAGAGAATAATAAAGGAATTGACCCCAATAAATTACAAATCCACAGCAAACAAAAATTTAATTTAGTGGACTCCATGAATGATTCTATTGATAATAAATTGACCTCTATTTGCATCACCAGAGAGAACGAGTTGGTGGTTGGTGACAGGTTGGGATTTTTTCTTGTTAAGAACTTAAAGTCGAACAAGTATAGTTATTATGTTAAAGCCCATGAATCTTCAATCAATGATATAATAGAACTCACAGTAGGTGACTTCATCTTCATTGTCACTGCAAGCAGGGATAGGACGTTGCAAGTTTTCTATAAGAAAAAGTATTCCAGTGACAAAGAGAATAATAATAATAGTAATCAAACAGCTGATGGTATAGAGATTTCGCATGATTCTCAGAAGTGGGATCTTTTACAAACTTTAACGATTCATAAGGCTAATATTATACAAGTTCTTAATCATGGCAATAAGTTGCTTGTTTGTTCTGCCGATAGGTCCCTATCAGTTCATAGTATCGAGATTGATGATGATGATGATGAGCCTTATGTCACTTGTGATAAGATCTTAGGAATTAAAGGTACCCCCATTAAAATGAATATCGTTTCTTCGAACTCATTGAAAAATGCTCAAGAATTGGTGATTTCAACAAATGATAAACAGCTACTGGTTTACAACCTACCGAATTTAGAATTAAAGAGATCTTTGAAGCTTTATTGTGGTTTGAATAAGAGCTTATTGGTTGACAATTTTGCTGTCATGAAGGATGTGGATTTGATTGCCTGCAGCTGCTCTGATAAAAGTATCAGAGTTTTCAATTACTCGACTGGAAAACTAATAACTACAGACTGGCCTCATTCAGGATTGATTGTGGGACTTGAAGTGTATGATAATAAGTTATGTGCAGATGGAGTGACAGACTCATCAGAAATTACAAAGAATATAATATCTTTAAGTAATGATGGGTGTATCTTTATTTGGGAGCTTAAGTTCCCTAAAGATTACGATACAGATTCCATCCATGGAGACTCGATGCTATCATTAGTTGATTTTGAAGGAGATCATAAGAAAGCTACCAAGAAAAAATCATTAATGGTCATTCCCAAAGTGCAAAGAAAAATTGTGAAATCAAAATCTGTATCAAACATGAGGCATAATTCTTCAAGTGTTAACGATTCATTGACTTTAAAAAGCAGGTCAATTAATATTGATAGACGGACTAAAAGTGGTGCTATAAACTTGAATTCACTAAAAGCCAATGTCAATAATGCGAGCGGCAGTTTGTTTTTGAAACCTAAAGTCTCGTTGCCTTCATCTAGACTGGTATCAAATGATCCACCCCGCACCAATAAACAAACTACAACTTTTTCTAAGGCTTCTTATTCAAAGCGAGAGACTTCAATTGGTCAAAAGCCAAAAGTTTCGAGCAACTATGCTTCTAGATCTACCACGATGAAGAGGGCTACCGCAAAAGGTGTTTCGCAATCAACTATTAGTAGCGATAAATCAGAAGATGATTCAAACTCCATTGAAGATTTGTTATCGTCACTTGGTACGCTCAGAGAAAAATTGAAGAATGGAGCTTTTGTTTCCAACAATTTTGAAAATTTGAAATTGTTGAGACAAGAATTGGACTTGACTCAAAAAGATCTTGATGCGAAAGGCGAGTTTGAAGAGAAATTTTCAGATTCTCTTCCCATAAAACATGAGTTTATGAGGTCGTTGTTGGAGAATTATAGTGATGAATTGGTTAATATGGTGAAAAGAAAGCTATAAATGAACAATACGATAGACAAATGATACATTTGTTAAGAATTACTGTGGTGATTTTGCAAAAATTACTCTCTTATTTTTTTTTTTTTTTCTTTTTTTAATTCTTTCTTGTTTATTTTATCCTTAACTGTCCTTGGCTGGCCAAATTTAACTATTACCTTATATATTTGTATTTTTTGAATCTTTGTAATAATTACCATCAAACTAATCAACATGTTTGGAAAATTTAGAAATGATGAATTCATGCATTTGGTGTTTGTAGCATACCCATGAGAGAAAAGAAAATAACAGTAGAAAGAAGTAAGTCTATGTAAAGTAATGGAATAACAAGCAAATAGTGAAAAAAATTTTAATAAATAAAAATAAATAAATAAATAATAAAGATAAAAGAAAGGAATCACCCAATATAATATAATCATGAAGAAGGAACAAAAAACCAAATTTCCATGCCGGCTTTATTTCCCTCCTCATTCGTTCATGTTTTTCTATTTTTCAAACTCTTTGTTCATGATTTTGGAGAGGCAACTCTATCAACCACCCTGAAAATACTAATGGAAAAAGTGAACACCCACATCACTAAAGTGAAAAATAAAAATGCCGACAATGCTCTCTGCTTATCACAAATTGTCAGAACTTTCGTCACCACCAGATCTGAATATGCCACAGTAGTCAATTTAGAGTCATTTTCGCGGGGAGATAAATCACTTACTGATCCTTTGTCGTCGACACAAACCCAACGATCATCATAAAGGGTATTATACGCCAAAGATAAGTTTGCGGCACTAAAGATAATAAACAACAAATCCAATAGGATCAATTTAAGCTTTCCCATGGGATCCCTTAGACCGACGGGTTTACCATTGTATTCATCATAAGCAACGTAAATCAAGTACACTGACGCCACAGATTGTACGACAATCGCCATGATGGTACTTGGTTGTTGCTGGATGATATCATTGTGCTCTTGACTGTTTTTATAAATCGACACCGCAAGCCCAAGAGCAACGACACAAAGCACTAACATTATAGACCTAAGTGCGACTAATAAGTAAGGATTGAATAAAAACATTTGTTTGAACCACGGTTTCCATCTAGTTCGTTGCTCGGTGGACATCCAGTATTTTGCCGACGAGCGAATCTTCGGAGAATAGTCATTATTTCCTCTACCCAAATGATGTTTCTTATTGTCTGTTTCACCGTCCTTTGATTTGGAAAAGTTAAACCAATTGGTAAACCCAGCATTGGCAAACCCTTCAGAATTACCATTAATGGCATAAACGTCCTGGTTCAAGACTTTTCTCAATCTTTCATCGCCTTCCCAAGGGCCTGATAAGTCTGGTAATTTGTATTCACTAGCACTACTATCTTCGAAAATACTTGAGCTCGGTAAATTAACCAGGTCTTTTTCGTCAATGTTGGCAAGCAGTTTGCTAGTACCTGGTTGCTTGGATGGTGGTTCATCATTGTTGTGACGACCATCGCCTCGATAATCCAAAGAAATGATTTTATTTTTCACCAAATTTGAAGATTTGGACTCAATAGTATCAAGAAATTGATTCCAATTATTGTTAATCGACGACAAAAACAAATCATTCTGGTTATTACTAGTGTTGTTCAAAGTTGATAAATCCACCTCATTGTTACCCACATAGTTTCTATAATCACCTCCTTGAGATTCAGTGTTTTGGGATTGTTGCAGAAATTGTGCCTTCCCAACACTATCAAGGACATATGGAGGAATGACGGTTGCTTCAAGGTTATATACGTTTAATCTATCAAGGTTCTCGCTGTGGGGAACATTGACAATAACTTGAGAATCTGAAGGTGGCAATTGTGGAGCTGTTTGGAAAATATTATTAGACACAATCCCATTTTTGGGTGATTTCTGGAATTGATCCAGCCGTTTGTTGTGTTGAGAAGGCTCCTTGCTATTATTATCACTTGACATGTTTTGATGATGGGGTAAACTTGCAATTTTGCAAATGGAGAAAGAGGTGATTGATATTTAAATCAAATCCAATGGTTATCAAAATATTGGGGCAATTTCGAAAGCTAAATTTTCTTTCCTTTTTTTGTTTTTTTTTAATAGGTGAGAAGCCTCAGTTGACTCTTGCCTTCTGCTGTTGTTTATTTCTTTATCGGCAACTTAATAATAGAACGCAATAATTGCTTCCAAAAGGAATCAAAGCAGCGACAAATGAATAAGAAATAGAGATGGAGGTTGAAAAATATTATGAGTATTGAAGCGATGACAGAATAATCAACAAGAAAAAGTTGTCCGAGGAATTGATATTATATTTATAGTTACATTGACAGGGTTCCACAAGCCAGAAATATTTTTGTGATTTTCGTGCCTTCTTTTCTATTTTGGCTTTGCCGTGCGGTGCGCTGAGGAATGGATCTACAACATATTACAACAAGTTTATTGACAACAAACGATAAATAATTAAAATTCAAGCATACCAGAGAATAAAACAACAGTGAAAAGAAAATCAAAAACTTGCCGACCGCAATTAACAGCAAAACGACCATCCCAAAAATAAATAAAATAGAAACAAACACTAACATAAAAAAAAAGGTAACACAAATACGCTCCATAATAAGAAAAATAGCTAACCGTAGAATATAATAAACACTATAGCCAGCACAGGCAAATAGTGGAAAAATTTTCATCTGTAGCTACTCAAAACGCTTTCATCATCTTCAAAATCACTGATACCACCAACAGTACTCAAAGAAGTCATATGGATAAGACGATTGAATGTTGGATTGGAATTGTTGAATACTGGAGGCGCTGGCTGCTGCTGTTGCTGAACAAAAGATGGTGAAGTAGTAGGATTCGCTGCAATTCCAAGACCTGAAGTTGAGCCTAATGATGCAGCAGATTGAACAAAATGGTCATACTCATTTTCATCAAGCAGTACTCTACTAACTTTTAAAGGCGAACCTGTCACACTAGCTGCGTTATGAGGAGACTGGTGATTTTGTGTTGGTTTTTTCAACTCGTTATCGTCAACAATGATATTCTGGTGATCTCTTGAAGGAGTCATGATCATACTAATATTACTAAGACTATTATTATGAGAGTGGGTTAAAAGGTCTTCTCTGTTGGATGAAGTAGCTAATGTATTCAAAGCATACATCGAGCTGGTGAGGGCATTTCTTTTGAAAAATTGTTGTGGATTAAGCTTATGTGTGTGAGATTTTGGTCTCAATAAATTGATTTTCTCAGAAAGTGTGATAGGAGGTTCATTAGGCAAATTTGACGATAGCTTATTAGAAAAATGATTATTTGTTGAAGAGATAATATTCTGCGAATATTGATTCTGAGATGATGATTGCGAAAGATTGGAAATGTTAGTATTGCTCTTATTATTAAAAGAGTTCACCCTGGATAAAGTGTTGTTGTTATTGCCATTCTTGTTTCTGTGCTTATGAATTAATGAGCTGAATGTAGCAGGATTACCATGATTGTTGGTCAAAGAACTGGTGTCACTACTATTAGTGTTATTAAAAGCCAAATCATTTTTTGTCAAAGGTGAGCCATTAATTCTGAGCTTTCTAACGCTACTTTCGTTAATATTCAAAATCTTATTATTATTATTTGTAGTTGTGAAATGATTATGAGTATGTGAGCTTTGAGGAGAATTTGCGGCAGTAGCGGCAACGCTCACAGAAGGCTGTTTTTTCACATCATTATTGTTATTGCTTTCAATATCACTGGTGGTCAGCTCATCATCTGACAAAGTACCAATTGTGTCGAGGAAAACTTGGGGTGGAGTGGCAACGCTTTTGACACCAATCATAGAATTGGTATCATCTTCCTGGTCTTTCTCTTCGTCTTGGCCAGTAAATATAATGGCTGGGTGGTCAGAAAGCATTCTGTTTTCATTTCCTATACCAGACATGAGCTCGTAGTCTGCAGCATTATCATCATCAACGTCATCATCATACACCATTGGGTTATCGGTATCGGTGTCTGAAGTTATTCCCACGCCTTCATCATTAGTTCTATCAATGGGTGTTTGGTGACTGCTCGATTTGGTTGTCGAATTCAATCTTGAAGAAATTGATTCTGGGTCACCAAATTTATAGGAAGGTAACAATCCTGCTTGGCTTTGAGGAGAAATGGGTGATAAAGAAAGCTTATGAATGCTTTGGGTATTGTTGTTGATGTTGTTGTTGTTATTATTATTATTATTATTATGATGATGTCTTTTTAATGGCTTCCCTTCTACCCCATCTTTGGCAGCTGTGACAGAAATTCCTGAATTGGTTGAGCATCTGGAAAGTGGTCTTGAAGGCCAATCACCATAAATCCCTGAGCCCCCAAATCTGTCTAATTTCTGGGCAGCATGATTGGTATTTTCAATTGTGCCACCAGCGGTTAGTCTAGGATTGTTGTTCAAGGGGCAATTATTGATAGTCAATGAGTCCAAGTTTTCTGAAGAGGCAATTGATGCTGCGGTTGACGATACGAATTTCTGTTTATCGGCAACAGCGCCTCTAATGATACTGGAGAGTCCAGCAGTTTTCGAGGGCACAGCGCCAGTTTCGATGGCAGAGTTAATGTTGAACAACGACAAATTATCGATATTTTGAGGGTCATCGGGGTCTCCCTTTTCGGGGCTCACCAGGAAGTGGGATTCCACTGGCGAAGACATTGCTGTCGAGAAGCTCTGGGCATCAAATTGCTTCAGGGACATTTGTTAAATAGACAGCGCTGATGGATTGTTGATGATGAGTATGGGCTTCCTTGTCTGATGTGATTAATTTTTTTTTTTTTTTTGGTTTTTCTTTTATGTCAGCTTTTTTTTTTTTTACCTATCGCCGTTTTCCCTCTAAGAATAACACAGAATTTATGGTACCGTCAACGATAATTATTGTGTATATTGGACTATGAGCAATATCACGAATATTATCAAACAAAAGAAGTTATCTCGTTCGATTATTAAACCAACTTTCCTTTCTCAATCATTCTGACAGCCATTTTTGAATTTTGGCACATCATCGGAGCGTAACCAGCCATCTCATCGCCTCTTTTTTTTCGCTTTCAATTTCTTGCCAATTGCTGCTGCTAAAGCCATCACGATAACATTATCAACCAACCATCATTATTCATTCATCCATGCCAACTAATCATCATCTAAAGGCCAACCTGCACCAAAGGAGACACACTTTCCTGGACATATTCAACAATGACGAGGCACAAATAACAGTGGGACCCTCCGGAGTGGCCGATGAAGACCCTGTGAATTATGGCATCATTGATCAGCGAGTCTTTACCAGGCAAAAGAAAGCTACCAGAAAAAGAAAAAAATCTGCAGAAAAGTACAAGCCCCCTGTCAATATTAGTGCAGGAAAAGCTTCCAATTTTGCCGATAACTGGCTCAATGATGAACAAGGGATGCTCAATGCAAGCCCAACCAATATGTCTCCCTCGTACATGTATATGCCATATTCAGATACAAATAATGACTCCAATCCTAGCCCCGCACCCAAGAAATACAGCAGTTTTAGTTTCCAAGCCAAAAGAGGGAGTACGTTTGGTAGTGGGTTTCCTGCAAACTACGACTATATCAATAATCGCAGACCCAGCGCAAGTGTCGAAGATAATTTGGATGATTTATTTGATAGTGATTATGAATTTGAAGGCTCTCAGCCATCGACAAAGAACTACAATGATAATGATAACTCTTCAATTGATGATGTGTGTCTTCCAATTGATCAATCTGATGACGATGAACAGCGACAAGGACCAAAGATATGGCCTGATTTGAGAGTTCTACAAGAATATTATGATGAAGAGGTTTCCGAATTGAAAATTATTGATGAAAGCAATTCGAGGGAAGCCCATAATGCTTTTTTTTCAAATAACAATGTCAGTGGCACTTCACCGACAGACTATAGGAGTGACAGTATGGTTGTGGGATTCCAGAACCCTATTATCAGTAAGGTTGATGAACTGCAGCCGTTTTTGAAGCATCACCATGTGGATGAGACGGAGGGATTGGATGGTCGTCTTAGAGCACCAAGAATCAATCCATGGGATACTACAGGTCATCCTAGTAACTTGAGAAACTCACCAAATCGTGGCATGCCAGGGCTTGCTGAACAATTTCGTTTTGCTTACTTCAGAGAAGATTTGGATACCACTATTCATGCTTCTACAATTTCTGGAATTTTGCAACCAGGGCAAACATTTGCTGATTTGTTTGTTAGGTCACAGTATTCCAAGAAAAAAAACCCTAGTGGATCTTCGGTGCTATTAAATGAGGTGGGCAAAAATATTTCAACTGGGATGTCGGCAGCAAACACCAGAGGTAATACCCCAGTTCCACCAGAGGTGGATGAATCTCAAAAGATTGTTTTTTGGTTAGATGTACTAAACCCCACTGATGATGAAATGAAGGTTATTAGTAAATCTTTTGGAATCCATCCCTTGACCACCGAGGATATCATGTTGGGAGAAACTCGAGAAAAAGTAGAGCTATTCAACGAGTATTATTTCATTTGTTTCAGATCGTTCGATATTGTTCATGAAAAAATGAAGATTAAGGTTCATAAAGAACTCACAAATGCCGAAGAATTTGAAGACGATGATAATTTACCTTTCTTGAAAAAAATTACAAACATGGTTAACAAAAAGCTATTCGGGGCTACTGATGATCAATTTCGCCGAAGATTAGAGTCCACATTCTCAAAAGATGCCGTTGATATGTTGAGAAAAAAGCAATTCAAAAATAGCTCGAAGTTTAATGAATTACGCCCTTTGAATATTTATATTGTGGTTTTCAAGGATGGGTTGTTGACGTTCCATTTTGCCCCAACACCTCACCCAGTAAATGTCAGAAGACGTTGTCGTTTACTCAAAGAATATCTTACTGTTTCCACCGATTGGATAGCATATGCGTTAATTGACGATATCACTGATGCATTTGGTCCAATGATTGAACTAGTTGAAGTGGAAGTGGCAGCAATTGAAGACGAAATTATCAAGATGCAAAGCGCAGAAGATGACTCCGATTATGACTCCGATTATTCAGATGTTGAAGATTCGAAGCCCGAGAACTCTCAATCTCATGATAACCGATCAATCGTCACTAAAAACTCGTCTATATCATCAACAAGCACAACTAGCACATCGTCAACGTCGTCTACCATCCGCTGGCAACGGAAGAATGATATGTTGCGCCGAATTGGTGAGGCAAGAAAGAAAGTCATGTCGTTACTGAGACTTTTGTCATCTAAAGCCGATGTTATCAAAGGCTTTTCTAAAAAGTGTAATGAATCGTTTGTGAACATGTCACCAAGCTCAGAAATCGGAATGTACTTAGGTGATATTCAGGACCATATTATCACCATGGTCCAAAGCTTGAATCACTGTGAGAAACTTCTTGCCAGGTCACATTCGAATTATTTGGCACAGATTAACATCGATATGACGAAAGTCAATAATGATATGAATGATGTTTTGGGCAAACTTACGATGCTTGGTACAATAGTATTACCTTTGAATGTTTGTACTGGTCTTTGGGGGATGAATGTTATTGTTCCTGGCCAAGAACATGACGGCTTGGTTTGGTTCAACTCGATAACCATGGGGATGGTGTTGTTTGCTTTGGTCATGTATATTGTTGCTAGAAGGATCGGGGTGGCATGATTCATTTAAATGATATGGATTTCTGGTTGTTATGTTTTCTGGGGTATATTTTCATCAATATATTATTATACATTTCACACATATATAACCTATTGCTATAATTGTTATAATTGTTGTAATTGTTACTGTAATTATTAGTATGTATGTGTGTTGTTTCCCACATGATGTGGCACGTGCCCGGGATTATAATTTCCGATGTTTTCATTGGGCGGGAAGACAAAGTAAAAACGAAAGAAAAAAAAAGTATCAAACAGAGTTATTTGGTGGTTTACAGCCTGTGTCATATTAAAGGTCAACCAATAATAATATAATTAAGAATGCCTACTGTCCAAGATCTTCCTCCAATTGGCGGGTACGAACCAATCCAATGGAAGCGTCACTTGCCTTCCAGAGGTTTCAGACCAAAGGTGTGGTTTGGTCTTTTATTGGGGATCTGTAGTTACGGTTTCTACAAGACCATCCAATCCATCCAAGAAAGAAGAGAATTACAAAGAGAAAAAGTCTGGGCCAGAATTCACTTGATGCCATTATTGCAAGCTGAAACTGACAGAGACCTTGTGAGAAGACATTACAGTGACAAAGCCATCGAATCTAAGATCATGGCCAACGTTCCAGGTTGGGATGTCAATGAAAACGTTTACAATGACGGCAGATTCAGATCTCCTACATTCTCTTTTGCTGATGACAAATAAGTGTATCAGAAGAATAGATGAACAAAAAATGACACAAAATAATAATAATAATAATAATAATAATAAAAAATAAAAAAAAAAAGAGCCGAAGACCTTTTTATCGTTGATTGATTGGGTGTTGGTTACTCACATTTTCCCTTTGCATGTTCGTGTTGGTTTCAAGTGGCAAATAATTTGTGGATTCAGTTAAGGAGTAGTTTTGGAGAACCAGTGACACTTCATGCTTTATTCATGGTCAATCCACGTATATTGACGGTGTATTTTTACGATAATTTATCTTTTACCAACCTGTTTTATTTCAACTATTGAAATTCGAATTTTTAATTCATTCCCTCTTATTTCAAACATTACACTTATAGTATATTTATTGGAATTCATTGCTTAAAAGACTTGCCTTTGTAAATTTTAATATTATAGCCATTTTGGCGTGCTAAACCATAGGCATATATGTCTTCGAACCTCACGTGACACAATTTTCAACTTTTTTTTTGTGGGTGCGTGAAAAGGAAAACAAATTGAGTGGCAACTCAAACAGTGAAAGAAGGAGAGGTAGAAGAAAAAGAAGGAAAGGCGTGTTTTATCAAAACTACCATCTTCAATAATATACTAACCAATATCATAACATGGAGGAACTAGGAATCTATCCTACCAAGCCAGAAAACCTCGATACTCCAGCATCGTCAATTGCGAAATTCGACAATTCTTCAAAAGCTAAACATGCCAACCAATCCAACACCAATAATGACGCCTACTTGAAGTTGAAGAAATTGGAAAAGCAATTGGATTTGCTCCAATTACAAGAAGACTACATTAAGGACGAACAAAGATTCTTGAAGAGAGAATTGGTGAGAGCTCAAGAAGAAGTTAAAAGAATTCAATCCGTTCCATTGGTTATTGGGCAATTTTTGGAACCTATCGATAACGTCTCGGGTATAGTTTCCTCGACTGCTGGGTCAGTGTACGTTGTCAAGATTTTGTCTACTTTAGACAGAGAATTATTGAAACCATCCAGTTCTGTGGCCTTACACCGTCATTCAAATGCTCTTGTCGATATTTTGCCACCAGAAGCCGATTCCTCGATATCGATCTTGGGAGAAAATGAAAAACCAGATGTGACCTACAATGATGTTGGTGGTTTGGACATGCAAAAACAAGAAATAAGAGAAGCGGTAGAATTACCATTGACCCAGGCAGATCTATATAAACAAATTGGTATAGATCCACCAAGAGGTGTGTTATTATATGGTCCACCAGGTACTGGTAAGACCATGTTAGTCAAGGCGGTTGCCAATTCTTCAACTGCGTCTTTTATCAGAGTTAATGGCTCAGAGTTTGTTCAAAAATATCTTGGTGAAGGTCCTAGAATGGTGAGAGATGTTTTCAGATTGGCCAGAGAAAATTCGCCTTCGATCATTTTCATCGATGAAATCGATGCGATTGCTACAAAGAGATTCGATGCCCAAACTGGCGCTGATAGAGAAGTTCAAAGAATTTTGTTAGAATTATTGAATCAAATGGATGGGTTTGATCAAACTTCGACTGTCAAGGTCATCATGGCCACCAACAGAGCTGACACCTTGGACCCTGCTTTGTTGAGACCTGGTAGATTGGATCGAAAAATCGAATTCCCTAACTTGAAGGATAGAAGAGAAAGAAGATTAATTTTTCAAACTATTGCGAACAAAATGTCTTTGGCTCCAGAATGTGATTTGGACTCTTTGATTGTCAGAAATGAACCTTTGTCCGGTGCTATCATTGCCGCTATTATGCAAGAAGCCGGTTTGAGAGCTGTGAGAAAGAATAGATATGTAATTTTACAAAACGATTTGGAAGAAGCCTACTCAAGCCAAGTTAAAACTGGTTCTGATGTGGATAAATTTGAATTTTATAAATAATATCATCCATGTGTGTGTGTATCATTATTTAATCTACAATATAACGTAACTATTTTTATGGTCTTTTTTTTTTCTATTCAAGTAGGTAAGAAACTTTTCAAGCTCATTTTATACATATATATATATGTGTATATATGTTCAATATTTGTTCATTGCTTAGATATCACAGAATAGAAAAAAGGAACATACATAATGCTTATATTTAAATCATAATACCAACAGACAAAATAAAAAGAAGAGAAATTTTAGAGAAAATAAAAGAAAGGAGACAATCTCAAATGCTTTTGTAACTGTCAATTTTTTTCTTCAAAACTTCACTATTACTCTCCAACCATTTCAAAGAATTCAAATGAATGTTCATCAACTTGATGATACTAGAAATGCTGTTTTCATTACTGTCATCTCCGTCATCCTTAGATCCCTTCTTAGATGCCTCACCAGTGCTCTTGTAAATTGTATCATTAAAAGTATCATTAACTTCATTGATCTCGCTAATCAAAGTGGTCAAATCGGTGGTCAAAGAATCCAAACTTTTGTCCAATAATATAGCATTACTGTAAGCGGCTTCTCTTTTTTTATCATTGGCCAATCTTCCTGTATTGTTGTTACCAGTGACATTATTACCATCAGTTGCATTTGTAAGTAATATACTATCATCTTGCACGTAGATATCGTTAATTTTGTTATCATAATAATCCAAGAAGTTTTCAATATCATCTTGTTGCTTTTCCAAATACAAAAGATTTTGATCAATTGTGGAAGATAATTGTTCAGTTTCTAAAACATCTGAATAGAGCTTAGACAACTTCTCCGAGTTCTCAGTTAAAACTCCGTCCCACTTGTTGATCGATGTCGAGTATGTGTTGAAAAAGCTTTGGCAGACAACCAACTTATTGGCCCAATTCTTAATCAAATCTTGCACAGTTTGATGTTCCAACGACACTGGTTCTGGAGCAACCGTTACTGGTTTGATAGCATTGGTGGCGACAGGAGCACTACCAACTTCCGTGCTCTTTACAATACTCAATGGCTTTTTCTCTTCTGGTTTTGTGGCAGAGAATGATACGGTCTTCTTATCACCAGTCTCATCTTTCTTACCGCCAAATAAAGAGCCGGTGGCAGCTGGTTTGGCATCATCCTTCTTGGCTCCAAATGAGAAACCAGTGCTGGCTGGAGTGGTAGTGGCAGTATCGTCCTTTTTAGCACCAAACAACGAGTTGGTTGCTGCTGGTTTGGCATCAACCTTCTTGGCTCCAAATGAGAAACCAGTGCTGGCTGGAGTGGTAGTGGCAGTATCGTCCTTTTTAGCACCAAACAACGAGTTGGTTGCTGCTGGTTTGGCATCATCCTTCTTGGCTCCAAATGAGAAACCAGTGCTGGCTGGAGTGGTAGTGGCAGTATCGTCCTTTTTAGCACCAAACAACGAGTTGGTTGCTGCTGGTTTGGCATCAACCTTCTTGGCTCCAAATGAGAAACCAGTGCTGGCTGGAGTGGTAGTGGCAGTATCGTCCTTTTTAGCACCAAACAACGAGTTGGTTGCTGCTGGTTTGGCATCATCCTTCTTGGCTCCAAATGAGAAACCAGTGCTGGCTGGAGTGGTAGTGGCAGTATCGTCCTTTTTAGCACCAAACAACGAGTTGGTTGCTGCAGGTTTGGCATCATCCTTCTTGGCTCCAAACGAGAAACCAGTGCTGGCTGGAGTGGTAGTGGCAGCATTATCCTTCTTAGTCCCGAATAACGAGCTAGTTGCAGTAGGCTTTGAAGAAGCATCGTCTTTCTTAGCCCCAAATGAGAAGGCCGCTGGTGCTGTGGTGGCATTATCGTCTTTCTTTGCACCAAATGAAAAGCCAGAGAAAGCATTATTAGCTGGTTTGGCTTCATCCTTCTTAGCACCAGGAAATAGCGAACCAGTGCTGCTTTGGTTGTCATTGGTTTTGTTGAATGCGAACCCTGTACTGGTAGTAGCATTGTTATTATTGGTAGCTCCAGTGAATATAGAGCCACCGTTTGGTTTTATTGGTGTGGAAAAGTTTGGAGAATTATTAAACATTATGATATATTATTTTGATAAAGATACAATCCCAATTACTTGAAGGATCAAACGACAAGATGATGATAAGTCAGGTTCAATGATCTGGATTAATTCGAAATTCAATGGCCATAAAATGTGAATTAGTCACACAGGAAAAATAGCGTCAATAACACTAAGTAGAATAATCAAAAGAAACAAAAAATAAACACGAGGAATTCCCTTTTCTGTGCTAGTTTTCAATAATCAGCTTAGATAGTGTTGTTTTGAGAATTTGTTTTTTATTTTTTTTTTTCCTGGAGAATTTTTAATATTGCACGTGACTCGAATTGTGCATCTTCACTCCCCAACATCAGAGAGTTCTAACATTTATTTCGTCAAAATCTCTGCTAATGATCAAAGTTATCATTATATTTCTTCACATATAATTCATCAATAAAAAAAAGCGGTGGCACACTCAAATATGAAATAATTGCTGATGACCTCTTTAATAAAGAAGGGCGGTACCTTACTTACAATATGGATCATCGCCATTAATTCTCTGCTCCCTATATTTTATTATAAATTTATCAATGGGTATTTATTTGAATATTGTATATACATTCGTATGATTAAAGTGTTGCATATTCATATTTGTGTAATAAAACTGACTCCCAACCTTGTTCAACCATGCTTTGTTTTTCTTTCTGAATATTGTTTGTTCATCAAGATATCTAAATTGAACAGTCATTTCATGTTCGTTTAACCAAGAAAAATGAACATTGTACACTACTATTAAACTTTACAAATGTAAGTAACCAGAAAAATATAGGACATATATGGAGATATGGACAGGAAAAGGGTGGTGTTATTGTGGAATAACAATAGTAGATACAAGATCCTCACAGAGCAACAATTATTTTTTCATTTTTTTTTCTTTTTTTTTTTTGTAAATCACTGACAGGCACAAAAAGAAAAAGAAGCAGTAAGAACCACAAAATATCACTATTATCACAACAACAGAGTTCTTCAAAATTTTTAAAACAAGAAGAAATAAAACATATAAAAAAAGAACAGAACAGAAGCCTAAATCCTTTAGAAGAAGGAAATATGATACACCAAAATAACGTTTTTCAAAATTTGAGATTAACTACTAATCCTTCACTAATCCTTCAAACTAATAAGAATGTTGAAGCCACTATCACATTTGTTGAGGAGGCAAGCCACCATAAGCAGCCATCATTTCATTGATTTTCTTTTTCATGACAGGATCCTGGGAGACACGAATTTGCATCTTGGCAGCTTCAGCGTAACTGGTGGCACTGATCTTAGATTCACGGTTTCTGCACAACTTTGAAGCTTCTTCAAACAAAGCGATAGCTTCTTCGATCTTTTCTTGTTGTAACTTGATTTGACCCAAGCCTAATTTAGCTTCTTCGGATCTGTAATCTTCATCGATAGCCCTTTGGAAGAATTCACCACTCTTTTCGAGGTCTTGTTGAAGAGCATAGACACCAGCCTTATGAACCAATGGCAAAGCACCAATGGAAACAGTTTTAGAAGCTTTCTGCAAACCGTAAGAGATATCAAATTCATCCATGGCTTCAGCAAGTTTGTTTTGAGACATCAAGATTTCACCATAGTAGTTTGGAATTTCTGGGGAAGTTGGGAACTTCTTTCTAGCTTCACTAAACAATCTGGTAGATTCGGCAGCGTCACCGTTAGTGTGTTCCATACAAGCCAATTGGATGTAAGCGTAAACACTGTTTTCATCGAGTTCCTTAGCCTTGACAAAATTTTCCTTAGCGTTAGTGTAGTCATTGTTCAAGAAATACATTTGACCTCTTTGGTAGTAGATGTCAGCATTTTCAGGTTCCATTTCGACGGCAGTGGCAAAAAGAGAGAAAGCATCATTGAAGTTGTTAGAATCGGAAGAAATCAAAGCCTTCATAACGTAAGTACGGGCTCTTGGGCTCAACTCCAAGGCCTTGTCCAAAGAAAGTAAACCTTCAGAATCAGAATTCTTCAAAAATTGGAGAGCACCGGCATATTCCAAAGCAATGGCAGCATATTTGGCATTTTCATCCCCGCTAGCAATTTCACCATAAGCATTGACAGCTTGGTTAATGTAGGAATCCATCAAATCATAAGAGTCAGAGGTACCTTCAGCCAAGTTTTCCAAAGCCTTCAACAAAAAGAAATTACCAGAGCCTTGTTCAGGGTTCTTTTCTTCTAATTCAGCAACAATTTTAGCATCAGCTTGGAATCCACTAAAGAAAGAGGTGACATAGACAGGAGATGGCAAAGTTGGGACTCTGTTCTTTTCTTGCTTTTCGACAATCTCTTCGGAAAGAGATCTCAAGTTTCTTTCTAAGGTTTTGTTAATCATATCTTGGTTAAAACCACCATAAAGGGTCAATCCGGTCAAGTCAAACATGGCATCATCGAATTTCTTCAAGTGTTCATAAGCAGTTGCTCTTCTCAACAAACATTTACTGTAATCAGGCTTGATCTTCAAAGCAGCAGTGGTATCTTCAATAACTTTCTCGAAATCTTCTAAAGCGGCGTAACATGCAGATCTATTGGAATAGAAGACTTCGCTTGGCTTAACTTGCAAAGCGCCACTGTAGAAAGAGATGGCCTTTTCGAAATCCTTGTCCTTAAAGGCAACATTACCTTGCTCCTTCAAGGCGAGAGAGATTTCCTCTTGTTGCTCAGCAGGCAAGCTTTTGACATATTCATCGGTAATATTTGGTAAACCCTGTTCATCAACTGGGAAACTTGATTTTTCTTTATTGGCCTTCTTCTTGTTCTTTCTCTTCTTGTTTTTCTTGCTTGACTTACTTGAGCCTGATGATGATGAAGTAGAATCAGATTGATTGGCGTTGTAGATGATGTACCCAGCAGCGCCTACAGCTAAAGCACCGGCAGCAGCAAGGGCAATCTTGTGCTTGTTCACAAAATCCCACACGGAATTGTTTTCGGCTTGGACAATTGGAGCCATTTTATTGATCTATGAAATTATCTCAGTTAGAAATTGATGAGCCAAAATAAAAATAAAAATAAAAAGAAAAGTGACAAATTTTCGTGGGACAAACTTTCAGTGAATTATAAATGAAGAATATTCAATCTGAATAATCCCATTTCAAGAACCCACACACAGAAGACGGATGGGTCTGGTTTATATAAGTGTGATATCACTGGTTTACAATTGATCTGCAAAGCAAAGGGTTTTACATACCGTATTGTGATCTGTCAACTAAATGTCTAGAATATGATCCGGGGTCACTGACTTTTTCCAATTTGCACTGTTTTTTTTTCTTTCCTTAAAAATTTTACCGCTCCTTTGGAGAAGTTGGAAATTTGCCTCTATTTGGGAGAATATTGCCCGGATACCGGTGCTGCTAACCAAAGGTGAGAATATTATAATATCTGAAATATTATATTATGGTGTTTATGTCTCTTTATATAGTTACAACGTAAAAGTTTCACTTTAATTCAATGATCTTTTGATATTATTTCTGAATATGTAGTTTTTTAATGTATTAGATCGATAATCAAAAGTCAGATGGATGAGGAAAGAAAAGTAACTAGCACCGCATCAGAATTGTAACTTCATTAAATGATATTTTTGTATGGTTTGCGTTAGTTTCCTTACATGACAATAAGGTGACCGAATTTGTCGTAGTAGCCTGGAACTTCCCATCTGGCCTTCTTAACGACTTGGGTAACCTTGTCATCAATGTCTGGTCTAGCCTTAACAACATCTTCGACGGTCAATTCTTCGAAAGCTCTAGCAGATTCAATGTTGTTCAAAGTTTCAGCCAACTCCTTCAATTCCTTGGTGACAACTTCTTCGGTGGCAGTGGCGTTTTCAAGGGCCTTTTGTTTGAAAGCTTCGATGGTGTTCAATTGCTTAGAGACATCGTAAGTAACTGGCTTGAAAGCACCGAAATCAGCTTCGATCTTTCTGACAATGTCTTGGTTCTTCAAGACAGACTTGTAGTGAGAAAAGTCAACTTCAGTCTTTTGAGAGGACAATTCAAAGACGACCTTTCTGGCTTCATCGTTTCTCTTCTTGAAAGCTTGCAAAGAAGAAGCAGTTTTACCCTTCAAACCGAGAGTAGAGATCAACTTAGACCAGTCCAATTTGGTAGCGGCAGCACGCTTTTTATGTTTGTTAGTATCAATGTTTCTTTCTTAGCCTTTTTTGTAGTTCCTTGCTTGTTGATGATTCTTCAGGTTTCGATAGAATAAGTAAGCACACATCTAAATTTGATATCATAAAAAAAAAAAACACAAATGCTGCTAACAAACCAGGTATTTCAGCAATCACTTAATTTCTTGTCCCAAGTTTAGTCATTTTTTCTGGATATTTCAATTAAAAATATGATACTGATACCATGATCTTCCAAACTTTGAATCTTTAATTTCTTTTTCCCCCCAACCATTTTCTATCTATTCCCACGAACAAAATCTCGCATAAATCATCTTCTACTCGAAATGCAAAATAATCAAATCAAATATTAAGTATTGTTCCATTATATACGTACAGTAGACATCTTGTTACTTATTGCTTATTAACTGTAATGTGTATCAGCCTGACACTAAGCTTCTGAGTGTTCAATTTTCCTCTGTGAGCTCTCATTTTTTTTTCACAGTTCGCACCCTACGGGGAAACCAAAGGCTGTTATTGGCCAAAATGTCACTACCCGGCTTCACTGTGAGTTCCTGCAATAATGTTGTGAGATTATATGCCCGATTTATCAATATAAATAAAGGTGTTCACACTACTAATAATATGTAATTCCGCAGAAACATTCGAATAAAAAAACATTTAGATAGAGAAAAATTAAGTAAAATGAACAGGGAGAAAAAAAAAAAAGGAAGAATTAACTTAAATTTGATTTTCCCTTGTCATCACCTTCTTGAGAAGTATCAGATGAACCTGCAACGTCGCCATACAAATCGGTATCATCATCATCAGAAAATGTTGTACTTGAGAGTCCGAGATTTATTCCATCATACAACCCCCCATTTTTATCACTGCTGGTAAATCCATTTACCTTATTTTTAACATCTATCTTTAAGTCACCTCTGGAGTAGGCGTGTCCATTTTGGGAGGCTTCGCCATCAACATTTCCTTTAGCCTTGGTTTTTCCACCTTCAAAATTGTTCCTTACTCTAAGGTAATGCTGTAATTCTTCGGCAGACACACTTGGTATGAACTGAGCTGCCGCCTTGGCAAAATCCTCTTGTTTTACTGTAACTTTTATATCCTCCTCTGTCGCCACATTATCAAACCACCATCTGGTGTTGATCTTCTTTTGATTTTTTGGCAAAGAAGCATTGTAGTTATCAACTTTAATATCAGTTTCTTTCGCCTTTCGTGTCATGGCATTCAACATAGAATCTGAAGACAATGCGTAGAAATCAGCACCTGTATAATTGAATTGCAATCCTTCGACCAATTTCTCCAAGTCGACGTCTTTATCAAGCATAAACTTCCGGGTTAATGCTTTCAAAATGTTCAATTGCTTTTCATGTGTGTCAGCAATACCCAAATAAAGCATTTTATCAAATCTACCTGGTCTTAATAATGCTTCATCTAATAAATCAGGCCTATTGGTGGCACCAACCACAAAGACTCCATCGCCATCATCACCATCACTCATACCATCCAACTCAGATAACAATTGAGAAACAATTCTATCCATGACCCCACCGGAATCACCTTGGTTGCCTCTTTTTGGTGCCACAGAATCCAACTCATCAAAGAAAACGACACATGGCTTAGCATCCCTTGCCTTTTGGAAGACTTTACGGACATTAGCTTCCGATTCACCAATGTACATGTTCAACAATTCTGGACCCTTCACTGAAAAAAAATTCAATGAAAAATTAGTGGCGATGGCTTTAGCCAATAATGTTTTACCAGTCCCTGGTGGACCATAAAATAATATACCAGATCTTTTCTTCAACCCGTTATTGAATAGATATGGATTCTTCAATGGCATTTCGATAGTATCTAGAATTTCATCTTTAACGAGGTCTAAACCACCAACATCCTCCCATTTGACATTTGGAATTTTTGGAGCGCCGATGGATTCACTAAAGGTGTTTCGTGCACTATTTATCGCGGTTTCAAAATCTTCAGGCTTCAAAGTGATGCACCCTTGGTTCCCTAACACTAAATCCATAATATTTGTCTTTGAATCTTGAGAACTATTAAAAGTATAGAGCCTATCCAAAGCAATGTTTTTAGCATTTTTCACAATTGCTGCAAGGTCAATTGGGTTCAACCCCGCTGACTGTAGTGATAGATCCTTCAAAGATATTTGATCCCCAATACGATAGTCAAAATTTTTATTTCTAAGTGAAGAAATGATATCGTTGCAGCTGGTGGCTTTTCTGTTACTATTCTCTAGAAGAAATTTGAAGATTTCTTGACGTTCAATTTCACTCGGAACCGTAACTTCGATATTATAACTGAAAATATTCCTCAAATCATTGCTTATTTTATCTAACTCATTGGTAGAGGCAACAAACATAACCTTGGAATTATTAACAAAGAAATCATTCATCATTTCCACTAGCTTCACATTGAAATTGTTTTTTTTACTACCTCCACCAGCATTACCTCCAGACCCATCATCTCCTCCATCATTGCCTCTACTACCAGCCAACGCATCTAAGTGCTTGAAATACACTATGATGGGCGATTTGCAGTTCTTAATTGTCGATTCCAATTTCCCGTATATCGTACCAATCACCTTCAAATCAAATCCTGGTGCTTGAACCAAATCGTACCCGTCTAGTTCAATAAAATTTATACCCAATTCTAGTGATAAGTTCTTTACTATGGTTGATTTTCCAACATTTCTGGTTAATGAATGCAATAAGACGCATGTGTTCATTTGTAGACTTCCATCGAAATTGTTCAACAATGAGGTGCTTATGAGATTCTTTAATTTCTCGGCAAAACTGAATAACTTCAAATTGCCATCCCTCTCTTCGTCCCTTTTTTTCTCAATTACTTCTGAGAACTTGAAAAATGGCTTCATTGAAAGATATTTATAATAATTCATGGACTCGTTGCTAATCTTGGGAATTTTGAAATCTTTAATTACTCCCAATTGAACCATTCTAGTTTTCGCATGATTAAGCAAGTATTGTTCTTGACTACTGGCAACACTATCATCCTCAGAAATAATTTCGGTAATCATGAACCATACTATCTCATTTGGTGTACCTTTTGGAATGACCGATGGGTAATTAGAGCTCCCATATGCGGAAAATAAACTTTTCGCTAATAATGTGTCAATAGGTATGGCGATAATGGAATTCTTATTAATAATTCTGAGACTGGATTCAAAATAATCTTTCAAGTTCAAGAGAAATGTCTGTTGGTAAGTTCGATTTAAACTTACTGGGGAAGCAATTCGGGCAATTGTGACTTGTCTGGCTAATTTGAATTCTCGTTCCACATCATTTGATACTTTAACCCCGCAAAGCTTATTGAATAAATTAATCGATTGTGGTGATCCAAGATTCATGTATAATATTGGAGAGATATACAATGATTCATTATCAAAATTATTAGGTTCAACCAAGGCGAACAATTTAACTTTTCGTTCAATTTGCTTCCCATCTTGGCAATTGATCTTGAGCTTGGCATAGTCACCACTAAAATAATTCAACTTTACTAAGTTATCAAATTTGGTAAATGCAAAGATTTCTGGATCCTCCTTTGGATTAGGAATTGGAGTGAAATGCGTATGTTTGAAAGTCATTGGTTGAGCCGTTAGTATCAAATCCTTAACCTCCTCTTTTCTCGACAGTAGATCCAATTTTTCTTCGAGAGCTAAGGTTTTTGAAAGATACTCATCAATAGATAATGCATTGCGATTTAACTCATCCAAGAGATTCATCTTATCCTGCCCTTTCTTTGCGATTTCCGCAACTTGGCTGACAGGTTTTTCTATTTCTTGATTTTTATCAAATACTAGAGTTATTTTAGAATTCTTCGTTAAAATACCTTGACTCAATGGCTCAACGAAAAGTACTTTTCCTGACACTTTCTTATGGTACTTGCTCAATTGTATCAAATCATGCTGATGTATAAGTCTGTTTGATCCGGTATCAGTCCCAAATAAAGCAGAGTAATCATCGCCTTTCGATTTTAAAAAACTATATGCATTCTCATCACTAATAGAAACAACTATGTGCTCAATTTCGATCACTTGAATATCATATAACAATGCTTTACTAATGGTGATATTATGAGACCCTTTTTGATCTCTAGAATGGAATATTTCATCTGCAGGCAATATTATGGTTGAATTTCCTATCCCTTCTATAACTTTATCGACTTTATATATTCTGAAACCTTCAACAGCTGTGGAGCCCAATAGCTTGGCCGCGATATATCTCTCATTGATACTCTTATCTTCGATATCTGTCGTCGATAAGGCTTCGTAAGCGTCCTTTGAGATATTGACCAATCCCTTTTGACTCAGATTCTTATAATCAAAAATTGTATCAACTATCACGGGCTGCCTCATCGGAACTCTGTTACTCAGCATCTCTTCGCTTCTCTCTCCCAAAGAACTTATTGTTATCTGATCAGTAACACTTTCTCGCACCGAAAATTGCCGCCTTTTTTACCTGTTTGTGGGGTTATCAGGTGTGTGGGTGTATGCGATGTACGGATGATGGATTCCAACATGGAAGACGAGACTATTACTACTGTATATTTCCAATTTAATGAGAGGTTATGATATTTTATTGGGTTTGAAATGATAATTTTTGCTTTTTCTTCTTCCCCCACTTATTTTTTTTTTGTATTTTTTTTTTCAAACTCTTTATTATTACTGTTCTTTATTGTTTTTTTTTTTTTTTTTGTGAACTCGCATTTGTGTCTTAAACCTTTTTGTGATTTATGAAATGTCCAACTTACATACAGCATCAATCATTCTTAATCCCTATAAATAACTCTCAAGGATAGTTAAAATCGAATAAACTCATCAAATTTGTTATTTTTGGATTCTGTTTTTCTTTTCTCTTTCCTCTCTCACCTCTCTCAAAAACTAAGTCCGACCAGAACAATGAAACAAAAGCTTGCCAGTGCTGATGATATTCAAGAACCATCAAACATCGCCAGCAGTCCCATGTTGAATCCGCTTACCAGCATTAGTGCCAAATCTCCTTTAAAGCCAACCAGCCAGAGTCAAATAAATTCCTCCGCCTTTCCCGCTTCGAGTCATAATAAAAGTCTGAAAAATGATCTCGATCTTCATAAATCCCACGAAATCCTCAATGATGAGTTAAAAATACTGAATTTGCTCAAACTACAAAAAGAATCACAAATAAATACATCTAAAAAATTAAAAGAGACTGATCTTGAGCAGAGCACAGAGAACTTTGCTGTCCCTATTTTGGTTAAAGAACGAGATTCGATTTCCATTAATTCTTATTTCTCGAACTCTTCATCAAGTATTTCCGAAAGAAACGATGCAGATGACAACGATATGGAAATGAGCCACATTTTTGAAAAAAATGTGATTGAAAGATTTACCGGAAGACCAGAACAAGATTTGGAGATGATGGATGTGGCAAATGGTCAGATAATGGAGAACGATTTGCACGTATGCTCAAAATTTGAAAAACTAAAACGAATCAAGAGCAAAAAAATTTCTTATAATGAAGATAGTTTCAAAAGTGATGATTTTAATGATCGTGATGATTTTAATGATCGTGATGATATCCCGGTTGACATGACAGGGCCAGAGCTGTACACAATGGCAGAATATATTGAGCTCTATAATGACTTACTTTTAAAATCTCTTGAAGACAAAGTGAATAATCAAGGGCATAATAATAATAATGACATTAGTAAGAAACTAATCTGATCAAATTCAAGCTAGAAAAAAGAGAGAACAAACAACATCAACTGAAAATTATGCAGAACATCTGAGTGGTTCACTGTAATTAATTTTTATATAGGAACAAAAATGGATAAAAATACCTTTAAATTTAAATTTAAATATATTGTACAAATATTAATCATGATTCATAAATATTAGGTTCGCAAGTTTCAAATTCTTTCTGCCTAGGAATGACATCATAATCAAATCCATGATTATATTTCCCTTGTCCGTAAAAACCAGGTTTCCATTTATAACGAGAGGCCGGGATAAAATCATATGCCAAAATCATATGGATACCGCCATACCAAAAACATAAAATCCATTCACAAATTGGCCCAGATACGCTATTCCCATAGTAGGCAAATAAGCCAAAGCATATGGCCAAGACTACGGCAATTACTCCCCAAACTAATTTGAAAATTGATGCCCAAAACAAGTAGTTATGTTTCATGGGTATACTCTCCTTGAAAACTTTAATATTATTGTCAAAAACTTGGGGGCTTGTTGATGAGTCATTGGTATGATCATGTTCATTTTCGCTCATTTCTAATGATGATGAGGATGATGTTGACGTTGCTACTGATTTCCCGCCATTAAAACTGTGGTAATTTGAAAGTATGTTCTTACCGTAATTTATGGCGACAGAAAACTGTTCGATCAACAAACATACAACACAAAAGAATATTCCTACAATAAACATTCCAAGTCCTGTATAATGGCCGTATTTATGGTGCGCAATATCGAGACAGGCACAAATCGTCACTCCAGCGGCCCCAATCATAGCAAATATCACGGACAAGATGATGGTGATTCTCGGTAGACGTAGATTGAAGTATCCAATGAGTTTCTCGGCTTTCCATCTAAGATAGCCTTCGCTAATCAAGGTAAAAATGAACAGGACTCCTTGAGCAGCCCCACAGGAGATAAAGATTGGTTTGAGGTTGGTTGCCGCAATATCTGATAGGTAAATGAATTGGTCCTTGGGACTCATAAACCAATATATTGGACGGCCTTGAACACCCCAGCAGGTCAACATGGCGATCAAGAGGCTGTACCATATAAAAATTGTTGCCACTGGAATTTGCCAGAAGTGAAACACCTTCATTTTTGAAAATCAGAAGATTATGAAAGAAACGCAGAATTGTTCATAATAATCCAAGGAAAATCAAATATTAAAAACTAATGCTAACCAGAAGGAGTAAAGATAAATGAAAAAGAAACAAACATGAACAGAATATTAGTCGGGGCTGGTGTGTTTAAGAGAACGCCAAACGCTGAAGGGCTATGGTCTTGCTTTCTTTTTTTTTTTTTTTTCCATTCTTGAAATTATGTGAGGCACATAAACATTGCCATGTTTTCAGGATTATCCTAAACGTGGTTAAGAAAAGAAGAGCAAGGATAGGTATATATATATAGGTTAGCAATAAAAATAGAATATAGTGTTGGGAAACAAAAACTACAGAAGACCCCATGAAAAATAGCTTCGCCAATCACTACCCCCCTCCCCCTAATCGGTGTAGTTTCCTTAAGAAGTTGGAGCCGAGGTGGTGGTATAAAGGCACCTGATATGATTCATCTCCGTAGAAGATAATAATGCTTACCATCTCTCCATCCAACTTTTCATGCTCCCTAAACAAGTAATATACCTTCAATGAATAACAGCAGGAGGACACTCCTAAGGATACACAGCCTTCTAACCGACAAAAGGATTTATGAGGCTATCAGCAAAAATGTTTCTGGATCCAGGCAAGACAGTACCCTCAACGTTATCGGCAACACTTGCTTGATTGCATCCGCCATTCTCAAAACATTTGGGTATCTAATCGAAACCAACAAACTAATAAGGATCCAGCGGTTATTAAAACTAATAAATTACAATATATCTTTGGTAATGAGTCGGGCGTTTCTGCTCAATCAATGGGGCTCAGCAACCAAACCAACAAATACAAACATAACAGGCGCTGTCAACTCGCAGTACATCATTAACAAATACATCATCAATACCCCATATCAAATAGAATTGAGCAACTTATACAAAGACAACGTGCGCCTTTCCCGAGGAATCTTTGAATATGCAACCATTCTTAGAAAACACTACTCATATATTTCCAGCTACAGATCCTTTAGTGGTATTTACACCAGTGTTAGCTATATACCAGACATTTTGACAAGGCTCGAGAGGTTGCCTTCTAAATTAACAGAATTACGCTTTGAACTTTGCCTGGGTTCTACAAATAAGTCTCATTTGTTGAAATCAATTTCGCTAGACACGATAGATCAAATCCAATTGGTCAATAATTTCTTGTCTCGATTATTTACCGATTGTGCGGTAATTGGTGGTCACAGCCTTATTGGAATTTTAGCAAGGAACTCGAGCTTTTGCTGGCACTGGGCTTCCAAGTTTTGGTTTGCCAATATCGCTTTGAGCATTATCAAATATTTTATTGAGCATGAGACGTTATCCTCTACGGAATTTCGGAAAATTTCTCCAGGAGTGGACAGGATTTTTTTGTTTTTCGGTGATAATAAAGATAATATCGTGAAGTTGTTCTTGGCATACCATTGGGGGTTTGATTGGTCATTCTTGAATGATTATCAATTGAGTTTATTGAATTTCAATAGTGCGCTTCCTGCCTTTATGTCCAATTGGAAAGAAGTTTTTGATATTATTAAGCAGGATCTGTCTACCAGTTGTTGATGGTAAGATTTTCCTTGTGATAGCTATTGGAATGTTCCATATGTTTTGAAGTGTGTGTATTTATTTATTGTACAATAAATGGAGACCCATGGTTACAATACCCAAATAAACGTTAGTAAAAAGGCGACAAATTTCCAAGTACACCACAGGGGTCCATGCCATGATAATGTCATGGTCGAAGGTTGTCCTGGAACCCCCGCTATGGCTAAAAATTATCACGTGTAGACTAAGTACCACCACCAAGGTTCATTTCTATCCCTCCTCAAAGACATGCAAAAAAAAAAAAAAAAAAGGAAATGACTTCGATCAGCATCAACTAATCAGCTTCCATCTTATAATCATCATCAACTAACCAGCTTCCATCTTATAATCATCCTTAACTAAAATGAGCAGCGCTTTTTCCAGAGCGGGCTTTATCCGTGGCATATTCTCAAAAAGACTTCCAAGTAAAACTGTTTCCCAAGCTGGTTTTCCAAGAAGATTCCTATGCAACTCTACTTCACAATCTTTGCCATTAGAAAATACTCAACATCCATCATGCCGTAAAAACTCGCGAGGCTTTCAACTCTCACAAAAATCATACTATTCCGTAACTACTGATGGCAAAGAATTTTCTCAGGAGATTGACGAGATTTCAATTGGTGAATATCATAAAAAGTCAGATTTGTACCTTGAGAGTTTGGTTGATCAACTTGAAATCTTGGGAGAAACTTACCGTGAGATTGATGTTGACTATTCTGAAGGCGTATTGAACATGGAATTACCCCCATTAGGTGACTATTGTATAAACAAACAACCACCAAACAAACAAATCTGGAGTAGCAGTCCCGTGAGCGGTCCAAATAGATACGATTTGATTAAGGGGAAATGGATCAGTTTAAGAGATGGTAGCTCTTTGACAAAGATATTGGAAGATGAAATCAAACAAGCAACTGGATTAGATGAGTTCACTCTTGAATTGGATTAAAAGATTTGCATGTCCTTTTTTTTTTTTTTTTTCACCTTTTGGATCTCTTAACAATATCTTAATGATGGGAAAACTGAAATTGCTTGTTATGTAAATAGAAAATAAAATGTGTTAGCAATCATAGAAATAATTCTAATTTAGTGGTTTTCATACATCATTTTTTTTATTGTAATGATACAGTAGCTATAAATCTTGAAGAATATTTATTATATTTGAAATTTTTTCTTAAGTTGTTATCATTTCAATCAGAATGTAAAAATTTAGTTCATCACAGTTTTACGAGCTTAGCTGAAATTTCAAAACAATCAAAGAAGCAGCACTACAATGACAATAGCAGTAAAAACTCAAGAAAGTCATCAAATTTTTAGAGCATAATAATAATTCATTCACATGTTAAAAAAAGTTTCAAATGAAATTTAAATAATTTACTCAACTTGGTCTTCAAAACTTTCACCAGCAACCAATTCTGGAATGTCTTCTTCCTTGTGTTCATGGTCGTGGTCATGGTCATGTTCGTGGTCATGAGCAAATTGAGCAGCGTTAGCAGCGTCCAAACCACCGTTCTTTTGGATGGTTTCGGCCAATTGTCTCAAGACATCCAAGTTTTCAGAACCCAATTGTGGCAAAATACCTGGCAACAATTCAGTCAAGTTCTTTTCTTGTGGTCTACCGTAAACAGCGTAAGTGTTGTTTTGGGCAGAAGCTTGGATGGAAGCACGGTTGAAGTGCAAGACGTTACCGTCATCCTTGAAGAAGTTAACTTCTTGAACACCATCCATGGTTTGTGGGTTCAATTTCTTCAAAGCAGCTTGGACCTTGGTGTCATCTTCAGCTGGAGTTGACTTCTTGGCCTTACGACGAGCACCACTATACACAGGTTAGTATTTTTTGGGGGGAAAAAAAAAAAAGAAAAATCATTAAACAGATGATATAAACTCTATTAGATGTTATAATCCTTCAAATTGAAACATACCCTAAAGATTGTTAGTAAACACTCCTTCACAATATATCAATGGAAATATACAGGAGAAAGAAATATTGTGAGTGACATATGATAATATTAAAAAAAAGTATCACAGTTTGGAAATAATTATTATGATAATTTTATCTCACAAACCCGGCCAATTTCCAAGCCTACAACATCAATCCATAATTTCATCATAATTCCCAATTATAGGAAAACCCTAAGTTCAAAATTCAATAAGCAGTTGCCTATCCTTTCTCATTTTCTTGATTGTTGCAAAATTTCAACATTTCCCCAGCTGAATCAACTTTTTATATTATAATGAATTATTCCCCTTGCACAACCCACACATATGTATCACTTCAATCACTCCCAAAGAACAATTACATACCAACTTTGTTGTTAGCAGAGGCCTTTTGCAACTTGGCTAATTTTTCTGGATCAATAGGCATTTTGGATTTGAGTTATTCTAGGATATGATTTAGAAGAAGAGGACGGTATAATTCAAAAGCCCAATCGTTTTTTTTTTCAACGAATTTTTCGACGTTGTGTGTCGGCGACCTTTTTTTTTTTTTGTGTGTTTGGGGGTCTGTGGTCACCCTCCTTGGGGGAAGGGTATTTAACCAGGCGTCACTACCACCCGTTCCGACGGCGTATGCTGCCCGAGAAGCACTGGAAGCATCGTGGGAGATAAAAGAGACTGCATTTAATGGCTTGGAAACAACAAGAGAAGTGCTTGGTCAAATCTTTTAATATGTAGCACTGTTTTTATTTATGCCGAATATGGGGCATGTTTTCATCAATTATGAATATTGAAAGGTCACTTTTCAATTTTGTATTGATCAATCTATCACTCTCTCCGAGTAGCCTTGAAATGCCAGTAATTATATATTTATTCAAAATTATTCCGGAAAATATAGTGTCTTTTCTTACAATTTTCCTTCTACATAGTCAGTTTTCATATACTTTGGCAATTTTTAGACACAAAGGCCTACAATTGACCAATGGGATATATGATCTAGAAACCTTAGCAGGAGCTACCAATGTCCAATCAAGAAAATATTATGGAAATGACTCTCCTGAACTCACTGACAAAGGATATAGTTTGCAAGAACAGAGATAATCTCAAAGGAGTTTGTTCTTTACACTACCATCTCTTTCCTCTGAATTTCCTCTTTTCTATCAGGTTGAAACTACACCGTCACTATAATATCGATTGTGGCAGTAGATTTGAAAAGAAGTTACGGCATTATTTCCCCTTGTTTTGCAAACATCATAAGTAGCAATTTAGCAACTCTTCTATGAACAAATAAAAAAATTAAAAAAGAATAAAAAAAAAAATCAAGCATATTATGCCAAATAGCAAAAATTTATATATTACATAAAGAGATACACGCCCCCCTTTCCTTATGGTAAATACCACATATGGTCTCAAATTCAAAGTTCATCTTTCAATTTTTTTGCAGCCTTTGCTGAGCCCCCAGGATATATTATCTTATATTCCACATACAAGTCTCCAAATTCATCTGCGCCATCTTTGAGCGGCATCCCTTTACCTTTAATGATTTCTATTTCTCCATCAACGATCATCTCCCCAGAGTTTCTCTTCAAAGTAATTGTATTGTAATCCAAATCTAAAAATCCAATATTTCTTTCCCAGCCGCCAACCAAGGCTTCTTTCAAGGTGATAGGCTCTGTTCTATACAAGTCATTGTGTTTTCTTCTATAACCCATATTACCGTCTGGGCTTTCCTTCACAGCAACATGTAAATCTCCGGGAATTATATCTGGATGTTGATCAGATTCTTGTTCAAACTTCTCTACATGTCCCCTGTCAGAACCAGGTTCTAAATGGAAGTGATAATCTCTGATTTTTCTAACGACTCCGTTTCCTTGACATTTATGACAAAGATTTTCAATAACTTTCCCTTTACCTTGACAACGATCGCAATGCGTTTGAATCTGTTGGAACATTCCCGGACCTAATTGTCTTTTGATAAGTCTGATACCAGATCCTCCACATACCCCACAAGTGTGATCAATTCCATCTTCACTCCCACTACCTTTACAATCCTCACAAATATTCTGCATGTCAAGGCTAAATTCTTTTCCCACACCATTGTAAAACTCTTTCAAAGTTGCTGTGAGCTCGGTATGCGCATCTTTACCTCTTTGTTTGCCACCACCTCCACGGTTACCTTGATTAAATCCACCACCTCCACCAAACATCTGATCAAAGAAATCAAACCCTCCATTCTGACGTGGAGGCGCCCCACCATGCTTCAACCCTTCTTCACCGTATTGATCGTATATTTTTCTTTTTTCCTCATCAGACAAGACATCATAGGCTTCACCGATCTCAAGGAACTTGTGATGAGCCTCTTCATCCCCTGGATTCTTGTCAGGATGATATTTCTTACTCAAGTTTCTATAAGCCTTCTTGATATCTCTATCACTGGCATCTTTGGACAATCCAAGAGTATCGTAGTAGTCACCAGCAACTAATTGAAAAGAAAAAAGCAAAAAGGAGAGAAAGTTGTTTATCTTCATCCTGGGGGGGTTTTTATAATGATATTTGATATACTTGTTGGCTGGCTTGTCAACTATCGGAATATTGTTTCTTTCTAACAGTAAACAGTTGTTCAAAAAAAAACTGAAAAATTCAATAGATATGCAAGGGGTACAGAACCCCTTTTATAAATTCTCAGAAAGCTCCCAAAAAACTTTTGGAGATCAACCAACATTTATATGTGCAATATACTATAATATATTACTTTATATTTTAGGGGTTGAAAATATACAAGGCATAATAAGATGAAGGAAATAATAAACATTTCGCTTTCTCACAAAGCAAACCATTTGAATACTCATTTCTACAACTTCCAAGAGGATTTCCTCGATTACAATCCCTCATCGTCTCAGAAATCATCGACTAATGACGCTGATTTGAATGTGTATAACAATCCAATTATATCACCAGATAAGCGATCAGTATCTTATAGCCCTAGATTGATGTTATGGGATATGAGAAACGGGTTTGGGGCTCTTGATGAAGCAGAAACTTATAATGAATCATTGACAAAGACTAGTCAAACCATCTACAATACCTACGGCATTGAGACTTGGAATAATAATCAAGCGGTTCAACAAATTAAAATAAATGATAACAAAAAACAGAAAAAAAGTGATTATCAAGAGGCATTGGATAAAATGAACTTGGCCCCGAAATTGACCCCTCAAAATACAATGTATTGGTCAGATTACTCTCGAATGATATATTCTCCAAAAAGCTTCAATACTTTGAAAAACTGGGAAATTGATCCGGTACATTACCCCAAAGGGAAGCTAAAGTATCTTCCTCATGATTCACCAGCACAAAAACCTTTCAATGATTTCGATTTGGGGGTTGATGAGTGGAAACAAAATGGGTTCAATGTCGATTATTTAGACACCAAATTCAGATATCTCTTGGAACAATGTGATAATTTGTCAGGGATAAATATCACCACAGAATGTGATAGTGGCTGGGGAGGAATTTCTCATGAAATGATCCCATTGCTCAAAGATGAATTTTTATCAAAAAATACCATATTCTCTTGGGGGTTATATGATAACTCCCCAATGAAAAATGCACAGCAAGTGGTTACAAGAATCAGAAGTATCTTGGCTTTAGTTGAAAATAGTTCTATTTTCTTACCGATATCCATGCCAGAGAGCCTTCCATCAAGTTTTTTTGGTGATAATAAGGCACTAGAAGCAAAGTTTTGCGGATCAATGTGGTACGAAACTGCTTTGCAATCTGTCGCTTACGAAACTGTGATGTCTTTGTTTGCCAATAAGCACAAAGAGGGCGGGCAAGACATTTATTCAATGAGTGAATTGGAAATGGGATTGAACATGGGAACTAATAGAAACATTGTCTCTCTGATAGCTTCCAGTTTTGGTTCGATGAATGATTACATTGATAACAGTTTTACTACATTAGATTTTTCAGGAAAAGCATTCGATCTCAAGCTGACTGGGAAATCTGATCATATTTTTGCCAAGAATCTCGTAATAAGACCACCAAGCGTTACGAATGATGAAATTTTTGATGAATCCTTAATCATTGATAATTTTGGGAAATTTACCGACTTGAATCGAAATCACGGAGTCTCATTGAGGGGACTTACTAGTTATTCCAACCAATTGGCATTTAGAACCCCTGATACTTTCCCCGCAGAACATATTCCTATTAATCCAAGAGATCACTCTGTTTCTGTTGCGTTGACTGTGTCGACTAAAGCTAAGAGAGTATTGTTGAATTACAAGAGAAAATTGGGTACCCTTCTTAGAAAAAATAGTGATGAAAAAGAGGATTTGGTCGATAAATTAGCGACTTTGGCACAAGAATACGAATATGGTTGGGATAGTGATGATGATGATTTTGATGATTATTATTAAATTAATTTTTATGTTGATTTACAAAATAAAAGCTACCTTTTTTTCTTCTTTTATTTATTTTGTATTTTTATGTATATTAGTACAAATTGAGAATTAGAAACAGAAATACAATTTTAGACCTTAATTTCATTGATGATCTCTTCTTTGGTAATCAAATGGCCAATAGTTTCAATCTCACTCAATAATTCATCAACATTTCTTGACCATTCATTCAATAAATCATTAGAGGCCTTTGGTTTGGAGAAGCTGACAATCTTCTTTGGTCTATTAATTTTTGCGTAAATGACTCCCTTGAATACCAAGTCACTGATGAATTGTTCAGTTTCTAATTCAGACAAGTCTAATAATTGATTGATTCTTTGAATTGATATGTTTGAATAGTATTTGGAGATAATTCTCAAGTTGTGCTCAATAACTCTGCTTCTCAAGTCACCCAAACGCTTGTCACCAATGGTTGGTTCACTAAAAACGAATGATTTCTTGAATTCAGAACCAAAAGTTTCTTCGATTTTTGGCCATCTCATCAATTCTTGCTTGATGAATGATTTGATCAATTGATAGTGTGTTTCCAAGTTTTTCAAGTTAGCATCGATATAAACCTTGTTGATGAGATCATGCTGAAGGTTATCATATGGAGCCAAAATAATGAAGTAAACAATATTAATCAAAATTTCGTTCAATGACTGTTTGTCATTTTGAATAGTGTCTATCGAGTAAATTTTTAAATAATTTTTAGCAACTTCGAGGTAATCACTATCGTTCAAACTAATCTTTATTTTCAATTCGAAATATCTTTGTTTCAAAACCTTGAATTCATCTTCATTCAAAGTTCTTTCCAAGATTTTTCTGGACAAAATCTTGGCTTGTTCAAAATCACCCTTTTTGATGGTCAATTCCATTTGTTCCAAAATGAACTCAATCTTCTCATTCAATTCCATTGAGCCGTATGTTTCAACTTGTAATTCACATAACAATTCAGCGGCTGTATCGAGGTCACCTTGATCTAATTTAATCTTAGTTAATATTCTGGTGACTCTGGCCCTTTCTACTTCAACATAAATCTTATTTTCTGTGACAGTTCTGATGGTTTCAATAACTTCGACCTTTGTAGCAGTATCAGAAATTGTATCAATGGATTCTATGATTTTCTGGACCATCAGTTGGATGGATAATTTCAATTGCCCATGTTTCTTGGACAATAAAGTAAGTTGTTCGTTTAATAAATTCCAATCATTGTTACTAGTTAACACCTCGACTATTTTACCCAAAACTCTCTTGGATGACTCCAAATCAGAAGCTTGTCTGGTTTGTTTTTCCAATAGCAATAATTTATCCAAGGCTGACTGGTAGTCGTTCTAATGGGTTGATTGTTAGCAAATTCGCCACTTTCAAAAAAAATACACATATATACATAAAAAGGATTCAAACTTACCTTGGTTAAAATATCAATTTGTGGAAATTGCTCATTAAGAGTTTCTGAGAAATCCTTTTCCGCTTTCAATGGGGCTTCTCTGGACATTATTTAAGGATGATTTGCTTGAGTATATTATAGTGATATATATGTGGTGCATGGCGGTATTTGTCAACTTTTCCCAAATCTCAGAGCATCATAAAAATACTGCGTGCGTTTAGAGGTTATGATGTGTGGGTGTGTTTTCCAAAATCATATATGTAAGCAGCAACTTCTCTGTGATTACAAGGATTCAAATATATACATATATGTAGTCTAGAATACATTAAAATTATTAATAATCTTGATAATTATACAAACTTAAGGTCTTTTAACCAAATTGCCACCACAATATATACAATTTGTAAGAGTTTCAGTGATCACACGTAGCAATTTGCTACCTGAGGCCAGCTTTACAGAGTCATCCGCATCATGATCCATAAATAATGATTGTTTGCCACAAATTTCACAATGTTTCACATTTTTCTCCAAAACTGGCAATAATGTGGTTGGACACCTTTCAAATTTCAAACCATCAGTAGTTTCTACCCATTTCGTATCAGAATTCTTTTTGTAGTCAAAATCAAAATTTAATTCAAAACCTTCATAGATTTCTAACGGAATGATGTAAGATTCATCAATTTCAGGACTGGGTACATTATTGTATTTCATATTAACCATCAATGCACCATAATAGATGGCCTGGTCAAAACTATTATTCAAAGGTACTTTGAAGTGTTTGACAAGACCAACAATCAATCTCCCAATACTTCCCATAATTTTCCTTTCAATGTCAGCATGCAAAGTATCAAATATTTGACAGTCTTCTTCAAATTCTTCTTCCGCTTTCTGCTTGGATTCTGCACTCATATTTTTGATATCGTCATATCGAGGTTTTTTTGGACGTTTAAGTAAAATACAAAACATTTGAAGTTTTTTGATAACCGGATGCTGATAAAACACGTAGTCTAAATTTCGCTCAATTTCGACAACAGTGCCTTCACTTGAAAACTTATATTGGACGGAATTGGGATCAAAATTAGATAAATTGTCCACTGCATCCTTGTATTCATTCACCAACAACTTATTGGTGATATTCAATTTCTTGAAATATGATTGTTTTAAAATACTTTTCTCCATCAAAAAATTGACTGGAGGTCCTCCAACTGCTACCCAGCTATCAATATCAGTAGCATCCATCATTTTAGTGTCCGTTTTGGCAGCCATTGGAATGAAATTGACATGAATGGTTGAAGCAGCTAAGATTCTTTGGTCTATAAGATTGGGTTTAAATAGTTTAAGCAACACGCAACCACTTTCCTTAAATGAGCTTGTACAAATTCCCAAACATTCAAAATATTTCAAAGAAGAATCATTTGAAGATTCAACTCTTCTGGAAACGAGATCATAAAATGCGGGCCAAACATCTTTTCCAATAACTGGCTCATGAAATCCATTTTCAACATCAAAATTTACCTTGAATAACCAGGTATTTTTATTTTCGTCATCTTCAAAAGCAATGAGACTGTTCACAATCTTTACCGTCATAACATTGTTCATCTCATTCACAAAAAAGCCACTACGTTGATCAATACTGGCCAATTTCACTGAAAATAGTTTGTCTATGTCCACAACATAGCCTTTCAAAAAGCCCGCAAAAAGATAAAATAGCACTAATCCACGCTTTTCTGTGTGTACTAGTCTCAATGGCCCTTCAGGTTTGAATTTAGTAGCATTTTGAAAAATGACGGGATCATCTGAACATTTAATTTCAAACTTATCTAGATTAGAGGTTATTCTAACATACCCTAAAGAATTGTTTGGTAAAACATAAAAAATATATGACTCGTGTGTATCATTTTTTAAAGTCCAATCTGACCATGTAATGCTCGTTACAAAATTACTGCATTTTCTTAAAGTTGAAACCTGCTTTCCAAAGATCAAAAATAATTGATCATCAACGATACTCAATACTAATATGTGACCTGATTCTGTACCAACAGCAAAAAGTTTATGTTTGCTAAAGTTTTGCTTCAAGGGCTTGCTCCAAACGAATGAGGCTATTCTAGCTTTGTTCATTATTGGTTGGCTGATTTTCGCAGCATTAGCATCGAAAAACTTGTGCGCAAGAGTGTGGAATAAATTAAACTTCTGCTTCCACATAATTCCTATGGGATCTGATATCTGTTCATATATTACACAATTGAAGTCATTGGTAATTGCTGCCAAGTAACAATAACCATCGGCTGAAAATCTTGAAGGGGACCAAAAAACGGATATAACCTGGGAATCTGAGTTCATCGCTCCTGCGGAAATCTTTTCATCCGGAGATATAATATCTAAATTAATCGGCTGTGGAATTTCTTCTGTTTTCAGCAATTTGATATTTTCAGGTGAGAAGGATGTTTCGAATGAATTAAGGGTTTCCAAATGCACAATCGTCACGGTACTCTCACAAGCAAATGCAATCTTTCCCTCGTCGGACCAGTCCACAGCAGGTTTTCCAACCGAAGGGAGAGTTCTCTTCACCAAGATATCCTTCATAAGATTTTTTTTTGTTTTTAATAATAATCCTCCATCAATTGAATGAATGCATGATTCTTTTGTTTATGGTTTTTTTTTTTCCTCAAAATTGTAAACAAAGAAGTTAGAAGCCTTGGGTTGACAAGCAAGATGATCATCCCGATAGAAAACAGCATCTTCATCTCTTATCACCCTCCTTTTTTACGAACAGAAATAGTGGGCTAGTTGTTGGCTATAGAAACAAAATATCATACCATCACGATTTTTGCCAGTCATGAGGTGGCTCAATTTGTCAGTTTTGCTTCTCCTACCGTGCGTCTTATCGGCAAATACCCCAATCACTCCTATTCATGAGGAAGGCTATTGTGCCATATACGACTCTTGCGGCAAAAAAAGCTTCTTTGGAGCAGAATTACCATGTCCTTCAAATATTAAGGCGGCTATCCCTTCTGATAGTCAACGAGAATTGTTAGAGGAAGTCTGTGGTGATACATTCAAAGAGGGTCTTGTGTGTTGTACAGAAGACCAAGTGGTGTCATTACAGCAAAATTTAAAGAAGGCAGAATCATTAATATCTTCTTGCCCAGCTTGTCGGGAAAACTTCTATCAGCTATTTTGCAGATTTACTTGTTCTCCAAACCAATCTCAATTTATTAACGTCACAAAAACTGCGGTGGCTACAAATGGTAAAGATATCGTCACAGAACTTGACCAGTATGTTGATCCTCAATGGGCCTCTGATTTTTACGACTCTTGCAAAAATGTGAAATTTGGGGCTACAAATGGGTATGCTATGGACTTAGTTGGCGGAGGTGCAAAGAATTATAAAGAATTCTTGAAATTTTTAGGTGATGAGAAGCCGTTACTTGGTGGGTCACCGTTTCAAATAAACTATGTTTGGCCAGAGGAGCCTGTGGAAGAAATAATTCCATCAAGTGGGAACATCTATCATTGTAATGACAAGGACCCTAGATACAGATGTGCCTGCTCAGATTGTCCAGGCTCTTGTCCCTCGTTGCCCGAAGTTCATGAAAAGGGTAGCTGTAAAATTGGAAGCCTTAATTGCTTTTCCCTTTCAGTCATTATAGTTTACCTTTCCGTTCCTGTTATATATTTTGCTATCAAGGGACTCATATCGGTCTACAGAAACCACACAATTAGAAAAGCGCAAAGGATGCAACTATTCCAGAATGATTCTTTAATTGATGATGCGTCCTATAGATCATTCAATGATGATGATTCAAGCTCATTCTCTAGACAGCTAATCCACGCGAAGGAAGTTTATGTCATTAATGGCATTCTTGAGAAGTGGTTTGGGAAATTGGCTTTTTATTGCGCTTTCTATCCCAAATTCGTTATCATCACCACCCTTATTATCACTGGATTACTTTCAGCATGTTCCACTTTTGTTCAATTGGAAAAGAATCCAATTAATTTGTGGGTAAGCTCATCATCGGAAGGATATAAACAAAAACAATATTTTGATGAGAACTTTGGCCCATTCTATAGAACAGAACAAATTTACCTTTACAATGAAACTGGGCCAGTCTTGAGTTACGAAACTATCAGATGGTGGTTTGAGGCCGAGAAGGAAATTACCCAAAAGTTGACCACTGATGGAGTAGCTTATGATGACTTATGTTTCAAGCCTACAGGAGAAGCTTGCGTGATTGAGTCTTTCACCCAATATTTTTCGGGAGACATCAATAGAGTTGATGAAAATAGTTGGGCCGCAAGCTTAAAAAGCTGTGCTGATGCTCCGGTGAACTGCTTACCACCATTCCAGCAACCTTTGAAGAAGGAGCTATTATTTGGGGGCTATGCTTCCGAAGATATTTTAACCGCAGAAGCTTTGGTTATCACGCTTTTAATTAATAATGATAATGATGAAAGTTCTGCTCAAGTAGTAAATGCTGCGAAATGGGAGACTGATCTTGAGCAGCATCTTTTGAAACTTCAAAAAGTTGCGGATGCCAAAGGGTTGAAACTCAGCTTCAGCACTGAGATTTCTTTGGAAAAGGAACTAAATAAGTCAACGAATACTGATATAAAGGTAATCATTGGTTCTTATTTGGTAATGTTCATTTATGCATCTCTAGCCCTCGGAAATGGATTGCCAAGCTTCTCTGAACCAAGCTCGTTCATAAATACTAAGATTTCTATTGGTCTTGCTGGTATTTTCATTGTTCTATTATCAGTATCTTCTTCTGTTGGTCTCTTTGCGTTGTTGGGGGCTAAATCAACATTAATTATTGCGGAAGTTATTCCATTCTTGGTATTGGCGGTTGGGGTTGATAACATTTTCTTAATTTCTCATGAATTGAAACATATCAATGCTCTGTACCCAAATGAGTCAATTCCTGAAAGAATCTCCAGGACGGTGGGTAGAATTGCCCCTAGTATTGTGTTATCAGCAACCACTCAAATATTAGCCTTTTCTTTAGGCACTGCTGTGGCAATGCCTGCTGTTAGGAACTTTGCGTTGTACTCTTCAGCGGCAGTGATGTTTAATGCGTTATTACAATTGACGGTATTGATCTCATTGTTTTCTTTGGATCAGAAGAGAGCAGAATCGAAACGATTAGATATTTGGCCATTCAAAAAGTTGACTGCCGATGAAATCAGCGCTTCACAGTACATTGACAGCAATAATGATGATAGCAGATTGTCTTTACTCGGATCACAAATAGTTTTAACTGATGGTTTTTCTCATGAATCTGTCTTTAACGATATTTTGAAAAAATATCTTGCTCCGGTGATTTTGAGGAAAACAATTAAACCTATTCTTTTGAGTATTTTTGTCCTATGGCTAGGTGTGTCCTTGGCCTTTTTACCAAACATCAAATTTGGACTTGACCAAAGAGATGCCATTCCTTCAGACTCATATTTGATTGATTATTTTAATGCAATGTATAGTTATCTAAACGTCGGAGCTCCAATTTATTTTGTGGTCAAGGGTTTGGATGTGACAAAAAGACAAGGCCAACGGAAGCTATGCGGGAGATTTACTACCTGTGACGAATTTTCTTTATCAAATATTATCGAGCAAGAGAGGAAAAGGCTGGAAATTTCTACAATTATCGAACCTGCTGCTAGTTGGATTGATGATTTCTTTTTGTGGTTGAATCCAGAGCTTGATGAATGTTGCCGTTTCCGCAAAAACACTAACCAAACTGAGGTATGTCCACCATACGCGTCTCCTAGAATGTGTGAGGTTTGTTATGCCAATCATGAACCACGGTGGGATACAACTATGGAGGCTTTCCCGGAAGAAGATGAATTCATGAGATATTTTGACATCTGGATTAATACACCTAGTATTCCTTGTCCATTAGGTGGTAAAGCCCCATATTCTTCATCCATTTCTTTGGACGAACAAACTGGAGAAATAAAGGCCTCTGTTTTTAGAACCTCTCATGTTCCTTTGAGATCTCAAGACGATTTTATTAGAGCCTATCATGAATCATTGAGAGTCACCAAGGAATTGAAATCAAAGGTTTTAGCCGCCAATGAGCCAATTGTTGAGTCTGATGATGTCTTAAATGTGGAGAAAAACAATCTGGAAGCTGAAATTTTTGCTTATTCTCCGTTCTATATCTTTTTCATACAATACGAGTCTATCGTGAGTTTGACTTTTTCCTTACTTACTTTGGCGATCGGTGTGATTTTTTTGACTTCTTCATTCCTCCTTGGCTCTTTCAGAACTGCTTCATTATTATGCATTACAGTTATCTCCATATTGGTTAACGTTGGTGGTGTGATGGCGATTTGGGGCGTTTCGTTAAATGCTGTCAGTTTAGTGAACTTGGTTATCATTGTTGGGTTAGCCGTTGAGTTCTGTGCTCATATTGCTAGAGCGTTCACGGTTATTGATAGATTTGAGTACCGTGATAATAAAACAATGGGCTCAAGAATTCAGAGATCCTTCCATGCTTTAACAGGAGTTGGGGGATCTGTATTTGGTGGGATCGCGATGACGAAATTAATCGGAGTGTCAGTTCTTGCGTTTACTAGTTCAAAGATCTTTAGAATTTATTATTTCAGAATGTGGTTATCATTGGTCATTATTGCGGCGTTACACAGTTTGGTATTATTGCCTATTTTATTATCTTATTGGGGTGGTCGGTATTACATTTATTCATCGAGGGCCAGCGTTGTTTCTGATGATTTGGCTTCAAGGTTGAGATTCAATGAGTTGAGGGATGATGATGGCGATGATCAATGAAGTTTCAATAGTACACACCACTAGATTTATGGTTTCATAGAATTGCCACATTGAGTACATTCCCGTCCTTTATTGAAAATATCTATATATCGCCCGCTGGTTTTATTGAGGGCTGGTCTTTTTTTTTTTTTTCTTCATTCTTTTTATCCTCTTCATTCTTTTTATCTTCTTCGTTACTTTTACAAAATACAAGTATTCAATAAAACAAAACAAAAAATAGCTTTGGGTTTTATCTAGAAGAATAATAAAATAATATATATATACAAGCATAATGATTATTTATTTTCTGTCAACAAAATACTGATCCTTTAGGGAAAAGTAAAATAGAAATACATGAAGGATCGCAAGACTATTTCTTTAACCATAAAATTCGTTATACTTTCTCAAGTAGTAAGCACCGGACAAAGCACCAAGTGTAGTCAAAACAAGTGGAACTGGCTTTCTAAACTTGACTGGAATACCTCTAGAAATACCACCAGCCAACATGAGGGCACTACCACTGATAGCCAATTCAAGGCCCCAGTCAGCATTTTGTTTGAGCAAGTAACCTGCAGTACCAAACATGGCAGAGATGGTAACACCAGCAACAAGAGATGGAACAGATCCTTTACGGCTAAAAGAAGAGAAATCAATGTTAATAAACTGTCCAATTGAATTGTTTTTCCCCCTCACAGAATAATAATTACACGATTTGAGATAGAATAACAACGCAAAAATTCCCCGAACTTTTCCACATGCCATAAACTTTCAGATCGATCACCCATAACCCATAAATATTAAGATGCTTACACGTATCCCATGGTCCCGCCGACCAAGCAAAGAGCAGATAAAGTAAAACTTGGATGTTCCATGTTGAGAATATATCGTTAAGAATTCGGAGTAAAGCGGTAAACTGAAGAAATTGAAGTCTAACAAACACATCCCTGATTAATAATAACTTTTGAGAACTGTATGCACGTGATGAGGTTTGTTATTTTGCTTTGCGCGCTTCGGAGTTAGTCCCTATACATTCTTCCAGATTTTTGACGTAAAGTAGGCTTGCTTCTATTGTTTGTTTTTGGAAAACAAACGGATACTGATATTTTGAATCACGAAGAAGAAAAGAAGAATTAGAATAATTATAAATTCCATAATGACAAGAAGTCTGGTTGTTACTACTGGTGAAGAAAAAATTGGTTCCAAGATCACCATTGGTGAACCATCTTATGGATTGATCAATGCTGGTTCAATTGACAAGCTTGCCAAAATTCCCGACTATCCATTAGATTACAACATTTATGTTTTCCGGAAGATTAAAGAAGCCAGAGAGAAGCTCACAAAAGAAGACTTAAAAGATATCATTGAAACTGTGAAGCTCGAAGACGTGCAAAATCATGAGGATAATAAAGGCTATTTGACAAAGACAACTGAAATGCATGACAGGTTGTTGAAGTACTTAACCCTTGAAAGAAAGAGAAGAGAAAAGATTATCCTCAAGAAATTCTTGGACGACGAAATATCGAAAAGTAAAAAAAAATCCTCAGAAGCCAGTACCTTGGATTATAAATTACAATTAACACCCGATGAAGAAAAAGGGGTTTTGAATTATACAATCAGGTCGCCGATATATAACTCATTTATAAAGGTGGATGAAACCACTAGCGAGGCTGTTGATAAAAATATTAATTATAAAAAATTAGCAATGGTACAAAATATTGAGTATATCTTTGAAGAGGAATTGAATGATGACGAGTTAGTAGATGTCTTTGCTGATTGTAATGAGTTTGCGAGTTTTGAAGTTATTTACAACAATTTACGAAGCGATAATGGCAAATGGAATGATAAACACTTGATCAATATAGATGAGCTGAAACAAGATATTAGAGATGCTGAAATTAAAGAGGTTTTAGATAAGTTAATGGCGGTAGATATTATTAGACTTTTAATTCCCTTAGCAGGGCAAGCAGTTTTGACAGGCATTGACGTGACTAGGCAGAGGCCAATAAATGGAAAATAGTTTGAGCAAATTGAAGTTGATGAAAACTGGAATTTTGTTCCCCTTTATTCATCTTTGTTTCTTCAGAATATATTTGGCTGGATTGTAATAGAAGTGCTTACAAATCACACAGATAAAGAGAATGGTATTTTAAGTAACTTTTGAAAATCGAAAAAAATATGCAGAGAAAATAGCGATGTTGAATCTATTGGGAACAAAAAAAAAAAATATTATGAGCTGTCTAAAAAAATAATGGTTGAATAAAAATAATGTCTGAATGAAAATGATCAATGATATTCATTAGCGGCGTATCCTGTAAGCTTTACTTGTTGATGTGTAAAACTAACAAATTTGAGAAAATTATTGGTTTGAAGAAAAGAAAAAAGTTTTAGAGGTGAAATGTTTGCTTTTTCAGAAGATCTTACTAAGAACCCTTTCGTATAAAGTGTCTTGTTTTTGAACTTTGAGCTCTTCTTCATCAAGCAAATCATCTTCATAACCCTCTCTCATTCCAGTGGTAATATCAACTTGTTCGATTGGTATCCATACCTTGGTGCGCATAAAAACTTGATGGCCAAGCCACAATGCCACGAAGATAATCACAGAAATATAGTTGATGATGAAGGTTTTGGCATCAAAGTTCAAGAACACGGCGTACCCTTGAACGAAAACTAAAACAAACACCCAAAAGAAAGAATAGTATGACAACCAAGGCATGAGAGCAGCTTTGAATGGCAATTCGTTTCTGCTGATACCTTTCAATTTGAGAGCATTCATGAATCTGATGTGACATAATGAGATTCCCATCCAGGCGAAAAGACCTGCTACTGCACTGATTTGAATCAACCAATTGAAGGCCACCGACCCTTTAGTACTGCAAGAAAGAAACCCAAGGGCACCTAAAAGCGAAGAAACAATCACTGACCAGTATGGAACACCAGCTTTATTCACTGTTCCAAAGAATTCAAATGCGGAGCCGTTTTGCGCAAGGGCATGAAGGATACGGGACGAGCAATAAATGTCAGAATTGGCAGCAGAAACGATGGTTAAAAGGATCACAGCATTAAAGATATCTGGAAGAACTTTGGTACCTGAATTTGTTATGGCGATCACAAATGGAGAGGATGCAATGTAAGTCGCAGTAGAACTGAGATTTGGATCATTGTAAGGAACGAGCAAACCAAGGAAGAAAAGAGATCCGATATAGAAGATAAGGATTCTGTAAAACACTGATCTGATGGCCTTTGGAACAGCCTTCTTTGGGTTTTTGGTTTCACCAGCAGTGATACCCACCAGCTCAGTACCTTGGTATGTGAAAATAGCATTAACAAAACAGTCGACCCACCCTAAAAATCTCTTGGTTGGGGTTTTCCCTGGGCCCCAAGGACCTGGGTTTCTCCAGTATCTAAAGCCAACTGGACCAGTTTTCCCTGCACCGCAAACCATACAAAGCGCATAAATGAGGAACCCTACAATAGCAACGACCTTAACGCAGGCAACCCAGAATTCAACTTCACCATAATACTTGACCGGGAAAAGATTGATTGCGGTAAGAATCACCCAGAAAATCAAAATCCATGCCCAAAGTGGCACGGCAAAAGTCCAATATTCAATGACTTGGCCGACAACAGAAAGTTCAACTGCCAAACCAATAACCCAGTTGAACCAGTACATATAACCAGTACTGAACCCAAAGGACTTAGAGATCATGCGCTTATTGTAGACAGTGAAAGACCCAGCACAAGGTATATATGTTGCCATTTCACCTAAAGACTGGGTGACACCATAAACGATAGATCCAACGAAAAGGTAAGCAATAAGAGAGTTGACAGGACCGGCAACAGAAATAGGAGTAGCGATACCAATGAACAAACCGGTACCAATAGTACCACCTAAAGCCATCATAGAAACCACTCTAGGGTTCAAATCACGCTTGACTTCATTCTCCAAGGATCCTACTTCTAAATCATGAACATCTGGGAAACTTTTTTTGAGATATTCAGGGACTTGGTTATCTGATGATAGTGATCTGGAACATGATACTTCTTTCGAGGACGGAGATCCTGGCTTCGAATTTATTTTAAATAAATCCATTGCATTAATTATAATATGCTTTGAAAAGTTAGCAATAAAATAAAGGAAAGTGAATAATCTATAATTCAAGAAAAGAAAGAAGAGTTAACAAATTGATTAAATGAAAATGGTAAAAGACACTGACAGTAAAAAAAAAGAAAAAAAAAAGGGTCTTATCCTCCATCTGCATGGGAAATTTTGCCCTACCAACAAGTCATCAAACCTGTACCCACCAGGTTATTTAATGCTATTAAATAATGAAACAGGTCATATATTCTTTATGTGTTTCTCGTTCAATTCTTCAATACTTCAGTTCTTTTGAGCCATGATCATTACAGTGACCAAGGTCCTTACTTAGCGAAATTTTTTTTCCCGCGCAATTGAGTGTTAGCAAGGCATTTTGTAGATTTTTCATTTTTGTTTTCCCACGCAATATCTAATGTTCGCAGGCAATTTCCGCGGAAAAAGCATTCTGCCAGTGTACCAGAGGGCATCTAGTGTATAACATTGTAGGACTGTCTCAAAAGAGAAGATGTAGAGATTTCCCCAAGCATTATGACATGTGGTAACTCAAATGAGTCATCCACGGATGGATATCAGGAAAGGGGGTGAATGGGAAAATAAGCTTTGAGCTTCTATGTTTTTTCTATTTTCTCCGAAGACCCTTGGTGATGATTGATTGACCTGCTCCAATATTTTTTATTTTGTGATATCCTTTTCAGGCATAATATTCTCCCGTTGAGTGTTGCTTAAAAGATGAGCAGAATTTACACTGGTCAGCTGGTACAGTATCATACCACTCTGAGTTCATTATAGGCGGATAAAGGGTCCTTGGAAGACACATATCGCATCACGTAAATTTAAAAATGGGATCCAGATGCGGATTGAGAATATAAGACAAAGATAATCAAGATATAAGCGGATGCTTTTTAGTGGAGGGTCACTAAAGTGACTCGGAACATTCAGTAATGAGTCATCTACTATTAGCCTAAAGGCAAGTAATGCTGGATTTAATGGATTACTAGCCTATGGCAAAAATGAAACATAAAAAAAAACCACCTTAGAGATCTATTCATGGAGACGGACGCTTGTAAAAGACAGCAATTTCGCATTTTTCATAATCTCCTTCTTATAAGAAATATCTATGCATGGTCATCTTGAGCAATACTGGGCACAACTCCGGTACTATTCCTGAGGGAAGTTGTATAGAGGAATCACAAAGACAGTTACAAGCATTACTTGATGTGTCTTATTAGAAAGGTGATCTTGAAAATATAATTTCTACCCGCGAATTAGTTTTATCAATAGTTCATTTCAATTAGCTAATTTCGAAGAGAAGACATAAAATAGTAAGTACATTTTTGAATGGGGATTGAATGGTGATGAACTAGTTGATGCCTTTGTTGAATGTGACGAGTTTAAGAGTTTTCACAAACAATGACGCGACTAAAAAGAGGTGACTAAATGGGAAATAGATTAACCAAATTGAAGTTGATTTGTATCGGAACCTTGTTTCGCATTAGTGATTTTTTTGTTCTTCGGAACAGACTTTGCTAAAGTCTAATAGAAACACTTACAGATAACGCACTTATGGAGAATGGCATAATAACTAACTTTTGGAAAACAACAAAAAAAAAGTGCATAACGATGATAAATCTAGTGAGCAAAAAATAATATGAGCTGTTTTAAAAAAAAAAAATGATGACTGAATAAAAATTACCAATTATATCCGCTTACTGCGTATCATGTAAGCTCTGCTCGTTGATGTGTAAAACTAAGAACGTGGAGAGAACCATTTTTAGGTTTGAAGAAGCGAAAGAAAGGGGACAAAAAATTAGAGGTGAAAAGGTTTGCTTTTTCAGAAGACCTTACTAAGAACCCTTTCGTATAAGGTTTCTTGTTTTTGAGCTTCAAGTTGCTCTTCATCAAGCAAATCATCTTCATAACCCTCTCTCATTCCAGTGGTAATATCAACTTGTTCGATTGGTATCCATACCTTGGTGCGCATAAAAACTTGATGGCCAAGCCACAATGCCACGAAGATAATCACAGAAATATAGTTGATGATGAAGGTTTTGGCATCAAAGTTCAAGAACACGGCGTACCCTTGAACGAAAACTAAAACAAACACCCAAAAGAAAGAATAGTATGACAACCAAGGCATGAGAGCAGCTTTGAATGGCAATTCGTTTCTGCTGATACCTTTCAATTTGAGAGCATTCATGAATCTGATGTGACATAATGAGATTCCCATCCAGGCGAAAAGACCTGCTACTGCACTGATTTGAATCAACCAATTGAAAGCCACCGACCCTTTAGTACTGCAAGAAAGAAACCCAAGGGCGCCAAAAAGCGAAGAAACAATCACTGACCAGTATGGAACACCAGCTTTATTGACTTTGCCAAGGAATTTGAATGCTGAACCGTTTTGGGCAAAGGCGTGAAGGATACGGGAGGATGAATAAATAGAAGAATTGGCAGCAGAAATGATGGTTACAAGAATCACGGCGTTGAAGATATCTGGAAGACCATTGGTACCAGAATTCGATATGGCAATCACAAATGGGGAGGATGCAATGTAAGACAGAGTAGAGTTGAGGGCTGGGTCATTGTAAGGGACGAGCAAACCAAGGAAAAAGAGAGATCCGATATAGAAGATAAGGATTCTGTAGAACACTGATCTGATGGCCTTTGGAACAGCCTTCTTTGGGTTTTTGGTTTCACCAGCAGTGATACCCACCAGCTCAGTACCTTGGTATGTAAAAATAGCATTGATAAGGGAATCGACCCATCCCATAAATTTTTTGGTTGGAGTTTTACCTGGGCCCCAAGGACCTGGGTTTCTCCAGTATCTAAAGCCAACTGGACCGGTTTTCCCTGCACCGCAAACCATACAAAGGGCATAAATGAGGAACCCCACAATGGCAATGACCTTAACAGAAGCAACC